TAGAAGACAGGGGATTGGACAGTAGAGGGAGCCACCCATATTTTGGGGAATATTATAAGTACTGGATGGAGACAAAGAAGAGCAGAGCGGCCATTACAATTTGGGAAACACTGCTCTCCGGGTGATCATGACATCTGTAAACTTATGCTGAAATCTTGTGATATGAATAAAACTTATGATCAAAGTTCAGTATAAGCAGACTCCTTTGTTTAACAGCAATAATTAGCAACATTGACTCGACACTACACTATTTCAGTGTCTCTGTGCGTCTCCCAAAAGGTTGTAAGTCTTTTGGGATTTAAGTAACGGACAGAGTCCCGGTCTGCATAGTCAGAGATATTTATTCATTGAGAATTCTGCCATCACAATTTCAGAGTCCATCTTTTATACTCATATGTCATACAAACATCCTGCCCCCCCCCCCCCCCCCCCCCCCCCCCTTTGGCGGCCTGTATTTTTCCACTATACAAATCTTGTAAGCACACACACTTCGGTTCAGCTCATGTTTTCCTCTGCTCTCCTGACCATTAGGTCACTCACTGTTCTTATCTTTTCCTACTCCTTGCTCGGCCAGGTGGCAAACTTCAGTTATCGCATCCTCACAATATCCTGCATACTCCTCAAAAAGCCTAACAGTTTATCTCCTCCCTAAATTGGGAGGCCCCTTTATCTTGGTTTAGACAGTTCTCCTTTGTTGTCTGGTCTAACTCTTACTCACATTGCTAAATAGTAGCTCAATGTCATAGTCTTTACTGGTCCTACACTCACACATTCTAACACATTTCACTCAGTTTCAGGGTGTAATAATTAGTCGTTAATAATTAATCTATCACCAACACTCTTACCCACCAGGATACCAAGGGTTAAAGTTAGGGATAGGGGAAGGGTTAGCTAAAAGGGTTAAGGTTAAGGTTAGGGGAAGGGTTAGCTAACATGCTAAGTAGTTGCAAAGTAGCTAAAAAGTAGTAAGTAGTTGAAAAGTTGCTAATTAGCTAAAGTTGTCCGTGATGAGAATCGAACTCGCAACCTTTGGGCTGCTAGACATTCACGTTATACGCCCACCCATACATCTCGACCAACCACCCTTCTTCTGTTTTTGCCTTTTTGCCATCTGTCTAATGTAACCATACCAAACGTAAGGTATCATACTAATTTGAGTGTCCCAGATTTACATTTACTATGTTATGTCTAGTCTATGAGACCAGGTTGGACACGCTCTCACCTAATGCAGCCCCTCCTGGCAATGACTTTTGCATGGCTGTCATTAAGCATATCTCCTGATGGGATGAGAAGGTGAGTGAGCTACTACCTGTCTATGCTTTATGTGTGTGTGTTTGTGTAAGAGCATGTGTGTGAGAAAAAGTGTGTGTGTAAGTGTGGGGCTGTGCAGGTATACCAACCCTTTGAGCTCATGGCTAAGCGCCCAATACACTTGGTGCCAGTTCCCAAAGACACCACCTCCTTCTCAACAGTGGAGATAAAACAAAGTCCTTATTGTACTGGCATTTACTTTAATAGAAAATCAAGTACAATTTTGCTTGGGTTGCCTACATATATAGTTATTTCTCTGATATTTGTATTATGAACTGAAGGGGAAGAAACAATGTCAACGACATGCATTTATATTTGACCTTTCTCTTGATTCGGGGACGCAAACTTTTACTATCGCGGCCAACAGCGTCCACTCTCTGCCCGGCTCGGGCTTTCCTCTGTTGGGCAACTCGCTGAAGCACTCGTAGCACAGCTGGCATCAGCAGCCCACATACTGCAGCAGTAGCAGTGAGTTTTAAACCAACTAGCTAGCTAACTATGGTGGCAGGAGCACCCTGCTGTGGTGGTTAGTTAATTTAATTAAAAAGCTATACTCTTTTATTATAGTTGTATCTCACCGATACATTCATTGCATTGCACATTTTTCAGACCACTTCTCTCTCTAATACTTACATAATTCCAGAGAGGACATATGAAAGAAGAAAAAATATCCATTCTTATGTCAAGATCACGATTTATCTCATGTTCACGACATAAAAAAAAGTATAACATAAACCATTCTGTCTAATCCGGAAATTCTTGCGCAATATTTCAGCCAATTTTTGACTCCTTTTGGCTAAAGAGCACCCCCAGAGGCAAAAGTTCTGTATTGCCTCCAAATTGTGTGTTCAAGCTCCTCACATGCCCATTGACAATGCAAAAGTTCAGGGCTGATTAGATATTTTTCTATCGTCACACTGAACCGACAAGGATTTATGAAAACGAGCACATCTTTTGTCAAAATTGTATGGCAAATCATGACTCTGCATCGATGTAAGCCTACTCTACACTCAAGGTTATGTAGCTGTAGGCCTACTCTGGTACTTCGGCCTAGGCTTACTTCAACATTTACATTTACATTTTAGTCATTTAGCAGACGCTCTTATCCAGAGCGACTTACAGTTAGTGATTACATTTTTTTTTTTTTTTTTTTTTTTATACTGGCCCCCCGTGGGAATCGAACCCACAACCCTGGCGTTGCAAACGCCATGCTCTATCAACTGAGCTACATCCCTGCCGGCCATTCCCTCCCCTACCCTAGACGACGCTGGGCCAAATATGCGCCGCCCATGAGTCTCCCGGTCGCGGCCGGCTGCGACAGAGCCTGGATTCGAACCAGGATCTCTAGTGGCACAGTTAGCACTGCGATGCAGTGCCTTAGACCACTGCGCCACTCATGAGTTCAAGGTTCATGAAGCATCACAGGAATGGTGACAGTTATATGTGGAAATATTGCTGTCATTTGCTTTGCAGTTCATTCTGGTATGTTCATTTTCACATATAAATTTAACATTTTGGTTATTTAGCAGACACTCTTATCCATAGTGATTTACAGTCTGTAAATTGTGTTACATAGATGCTGTGTTCACGGTGCATGATTAATACATCATTCATGGTTTATTTGATGTAGTAAATAAATAAATGATTTATTGATCTATAGGTAAGAATTTAAATGTGATGTAACAGGTTAAATTAACGTTAGGTCAATGTTTGTGTTTTTATGTTCCATCCCGGAACTAACGTTCTCTGTTGTGTTACTGCTACGGAATTTGTTAATTGACTGTGCGCAATCTAATTTAAGCAGATCTTAGTCTGAGTTCTAATTGTTGATAGCAGAGGCCAAGAAAGACAGTAAAGGGATTTAAGGATTCAATAACCTATTTTTAGGACAAGCAGCCAACGAGGTATTTGTTCAACCTGTAGAACTTTGTTTATATTCGCGCCGAGCGCCATTTGTATTCTTTTGTTTCAGTACTGTATAATTTATCAACGTTACTGTGTTCATTCAAATATCGTTTTTTTTTTTTTTTGTCATTTAGCAGACGCTCTTATTCAGAGCGACTTACAGTTAGTGAGTGCATACATTATTAAAAAAATTTTTCATACCCCCGTCTACCAACTGAGCTACATCCCTGCCGGCCATTTCCTCCCCTACCCTGGACGACACTGGGCCAATTGTGCGCCGCCCCATGGGTCTCCCGGTCGCGGCCGGCTACGACAGAGCCTGGATTCGAACCAGGATCTCTAGTGGCACAGCTAGCACTGCGATGCAGATGCATCGGAGAAAAATACGTGCAAGGCAATAAACGCCCGTTTCAAGGAACCAACCTGTGTCTGTTGTCGTGAAGAGAGCTACACAGTCAGTGCATTCAACTAAAGTAGATAAACAACACATATCACAGTCATAGCGTAAAACGTTTCTGTAACCCTTACTGAGAATGTTGTTGCTGTTCGGCTGGCTCCATGCAAATGTATTTCTGTATTTTAAAATACAATACAAGTATTCTGTAGTTTATTTTGATACATTGATCTTTATGGTATTTTGCAATAATATTTTGTAATTTTTTCCCATCCCTGGCTGTGTGCTTCCAGGACTGCCCCAGGCAGCTCAATCTCAGCCTAGACCCAAGCATTACAATGTTTTGGACCTTCATTGATGTTTTACCATTGTTACACTACTGTGCTTACATTTTGAGATGCATTAATCCATGTAAATATTGAGTTGTTAAAAAATGAATGTCGACTTATTTCAGCAGCACAAGTCTTATTTTTATCATGAAATGCTTGATGTGCCCAAAATATGTAACTATGTATTATCACTTGCTTACATTGTCATTGTCTCCTGTCAGTATCTGCAGTTGAAGTTTATGTTTGAAATGGGTAGCCATCAACACAGTGTTTCACAGTAATACTGTTAGCAGACAAGCATGGCTGGCTGGATAACCAAATCAGTGTTCTAGCATTAGAATGACATTATAACCAAAACCAGATTCAGGTAAAACATTTCTAACCAAGGCTTTAAGAAAATTGGTTCCTTGTACCATCACAATCAACCCACTTCAAGATTTGAGTAATTTATTTTAGCTATGTACAGGTAATGCTGAATTTCACAATGAACAGAAAAGAAATAAAATCACATCTCACCAATCCATCCTCTTAACAGAAGTCACTAATTATAACCACTATCTCTCTCCCATTCTCACACACACACACACTCTCTCATTTTTAAATGTTAATTTCTCTTAAGATAGATATGATATACTGGCTGTAGCTGTGCTGTTGTTGCAATTTGCAGTTTATATAATTATTTGAAGACATTATCCTGTTTCATGCTCCAGATCTAGTGGGTGGGGTCTTCGGGCAGGACAGAGGGTTTAGGGTCATATATTATAACACTAATCTTTCTGGACCGTCCCTCAGCTCACACACCTGTTACCTACTCTGACCCTGGTTCCCTTGTACCTGCCAGCCTCCTCCACAGCCTAGTGTGAGGATCGGTACAGGTGGGCACCCACAGTCCTATGGTTCTCTATGGTTTCCCAACCACACATGATCTGGAAGTGGGGCTAGATGTACAGATGATTGGAGAGTTCATATCCCTGTGATTAACAAAAAAAACTACTTGAATGAATGCCTCTTCCTTCTCTATCCACCTTCCCTCACTCGTGATTATTTTTATTTTTCCCTTATTCCTGCCCGAATCCTTCAGTCTCCTCGATGGCAAACATAAGTTTCTCTCGCAGTTGCTCCAGACTCTTGTAGGGTGGCAAGTCCAGACGATTGAAGCTGTGTGAGTGATTGAGATGGAGAGAAAAGTAAGAGTGAGGGATCAGTTTGTGTTCAGTAGGGGTACATACACAGACAAAATTAATTGATGTTATCATAGGAACGATAATCAACAATAAATCAACTATGGGAAAGGAATTCAGGAAAACGTCAGTCTCACCAGGTGTGGCTTCTTGGAAGCCAAGTCTCCTTCCCCACCTTGTCTATACAGAATTTTTGTGGCCCATTACTCCCTAAGGAAAAAATAGACTATGTTAGATTATTAGACATGGAATTACATTTCTGTCAAAATACATTTTACAGTGAAAATTGTGGTTAATGAATGGCGGATAAACTGCACCTATGAGTTCAGCAAAGCCTCCGACTGGCAGACGGCATGTTCCTGTGACAAACTGGAGCATGCGGATCCGCTTCTCATTGTCCATCTCCTTTACCACCTACACAATACACAGGTAAGACTCATGACACGGGTAATACGTACACATAGTGAGACATAGACAGTCACACACACAAACACACACACATGATGCAGTAAACAGAGGCCACTGTACTGTACCTGCCAGAACCAGTGTATCTGCTTGCTGTTCTTGGTGTAGTGCCGATAGATGGTGTTCTTCTGCCAATCACTGAGGTCTATCTCCTGCATCCCACATAGCATCAGCTGGAGGGAGGAATGAGAACATACCATTAACCCACAGTCACAGAAAGGGAATCTGCAAGAAATAGTCCCCTCTACCAACTTAAGTCTTTGTGAAAGCTCCATAACCTATAACTGCCTATCTAATCCAGCACATTTTCTTCCATCCCCATTACGTACCTCCAGCTCTTTCTCGTCAAAGTAGCGTAGCCACTCCAGAGGCACGACTTCATTGAAGCCATCTAAGAAGGCTTTGGTCTGCTCCTCCACCCCACGTGTGAACCGCCAGTCTGTCAGCAGACTGTGGCGAGACAGGGATGATAAAATAGCATTTTCTAGGCAACAAGGAAGGATATTAATTGATGCAAGTGGAGTGTCAAGATGGAACAAGATTAATGCTAGTCTGTGGAGCACCTGTGATGGGTATCACAGTGACTGACAGAGACACTGACTAGAGGGACAAAGTAGTGATGGAGATGGCTGACCTGATGTACTCTTCCTTGTTCTCTGCGGTGACCAGCTCATTCTCTCCGTCATCCTTCAGCTGGTGGGTGGAGACCTTCCCCAGAATCTCCATATCCTGAGCAAAGTACAGCTCCACCCCACCCTCCTCCAGACTGTTATCTCTGTAGACAGATCACAGGCGCATCGTACACTTATTGAAGCTTTAAGCTGCACAATTATGTCAAATGCTTCCATCACGCTCTTCACATACTTTTCGGATTCACACAATTTGCCACAAGGGCGAACATTCAAACAGATATAATGAAGGGGTGGAGTACTTACTTCACCCACATGATGGAGTTGTAAAACTCAGGGTCAATAGACTCCAAGTCTTTCAGAGTGGGTTTCTTGTTGAGCATACGCTTGTAGAACGGCAGAGTGAAGCCAGTATCGATGAACTTGCCATGATACAGGGCCTAGAGGGAGAGGGGAGGAGAGAGTGGATGCGATAAGTACTACACCAAAACATGTCATACGCTTCACCTCTCTCCTGTGCTGATACACATAGATGAAGACACATTTAGCCTAACCACAGTAAAGTGATATCACACACACACGCACCGTTTCACTACTAACTGAATGCACACACAGAAAACGTAAGAGTAAGTTACAAGTCCGTCTCTGTGTGGAGAAGATTGATTCAGTTAGTAGTGAAACGGTGGATAAGAGGTAAGAGGTGTGGTCTGGGTCCAGCAGTGAGCTCATGCTCTGGAAGGGGGGAGGGGGGGGGGGGTTCTGTCGCTTCTGGATATTGTCACAGAGAGAGTTGGGTTTGGAAAGATGGGCGATGGGAGAGTTCTATACTTGGTTTAGGAACACAGTTTTAAAATGACTTACAGATTAAGGAACACACACACAGACCCTCATACACTATGCTTACCTCTCCTGTTCCTAAAAATCATTCTGTGCAACACATCCTCATCATATGTTAAATTCTAACCAGAACTATTGCTGTAGTTGACTTTTTGTTGTTGTTGTAAATCTGCACCAAATTTGCCAATGAAGCATTTCTCACCATGGCGATGAATCGCCCTATGAAACGGAAGTATGTAAGGTGGTCAGGGTTGATGGAGGAGGCAGGGTTGATCTGCAGGCAGTAGTTGTTCTTCCCAGCATACTCAAACAGACAGTACATGGGGTTCAGCACCTCATGGGACAACAGGAAGAACCACTCTCTGTATGGAGGAGAGACAGGGCATTACACATCTATATCTATCAAAGGGACAGGAAATTGATCTACCTAATCTGGCTGTGTGAGGGCTACAGATTGTCACTTTTGACACTGCTTTTTTGTATTGACTACAGAGTAGTACAGAATAAAAAACATCTCATACATTACAAAACCACACAACATTTGACAACAACAATCAGTGACATTCTGACAGCACAAAAAAGCGGCACAGTTGCTATAATTTCAAAATACTTAATCAAAATTGTGTCAGGTTTCTGCACAAAGCACACACTTGCTAATTAATAAACACATGTAACTCAGAAGTAACTACTAAACTAAGGAATAAAAGCACAATAATGTAAAATTCACAAATAATTCTAGATGTATACTAAAATTATAATATGGAGGTCATTAGCTGTATGGAGTTTCAACAAAAATGTCCTTCTAAAAAATTAACAGGTATTTGTGATATCGGTTTTATTCTGGTAATGACTTTTCCATTTATCACCATAGTAAGTGCTGTAATGTATGCTAACATTTATTTATGTCAATGCTATAACCCAACTCCAAAATGCCTTCCAAATGTCCCCTTTCTGTCTGCAAAATATGAAAGAGAAACTGCCATACTGAGGAATGGTCCAACCAAACAGGGTTTCTGGAAATTTGACCGGCAACATTTTATTTTACATTTACATTTATTTTACCGGACATTTGAGAAATGTACCAGACCCATATGCATTGGGTGCGTAACCTGATTAGGGCGTCCACCCACGGTGCTCAGAATGATAGAAATCACATTTAGATCATGGTAATTCATATTAACAGAACAGTCAAGTCGAGGATGCAACGATGTGCTTTCCTTCTTACCGAATTCTGATGTGCACTTTGAAGATGTTAGAATAACTGTCCACATTTACTCTTCCTCAGCCAACAAAATGAGTAACGAACAGCAAAATCACTAGCCTAAGTCAAACTACTATCCCCCATAGTAGAAAGGTTGACCTATTCTACTGGTCAGCTTGTCAAGGGAGAAATAGCCTATTCCAAACAGACTCTGGGACAGTTGTGGGATGATAGATCCCTAATTCATACAACCAGAAGGCCTAGGCTACATTTATATATATATATTTTTTAAAGCAACGAGTGATGCAACAGATCAGAACGTTTAGCTTAACATGTTGATAAACTATTATTTCTTCACATTATAAGCACATCAATGCACACAAGGCAGTAGGCTTTGCGTTACATAATGCAATTAGCAGGAAAACATTGTTGTCAAAAGGGCACTGCACATGCGAGCGGTTTCATGTGACAGAGATGAAAATATCCGTTAGAAATTTTGAAAGAGAGGAGATCTAATAGGCTCATTTGAAGCAAGGTAAGACATGAATCATATGTATTAAAACTTTCAGGTTTCAAACAATTAAGTACTTGTTTTCAAAATGCATACGTCTCCAGCTCAAAGTCTCTGTATGCTGTGCGTGAGTGATAAATAAGATACATAACGCATATACTGTACACACGAGGCAATTTAATTCCACAAAATTATGCAAATTAACCTATAGACCGATAAGCATGACCACAGTCAAATGTATTTCCATCAATGAATAGTCTAAAAAGCATTATTTCGCAATGGGATTTATTATTCTCCCGGACAATTGGATTTTCAATATTTATTTATTTTTATCGGCCAAAAGCCGGCCATTACCGGCTAACGTTAACCCTGCAACCAACACTGAGACATCACTGAATTGTTGTTCAAAATCATTACCTTTACACAGTCAGTACATGGACAAACAAATATACATACTCACTAACACACACAAAACACCATAAAGCACCACGAAGACAAGCAGTATAATGTGGAACATGAATGCATGTAGAGAATGAAGCCCCGGCCACCACTAAGCCCCTGACCTTTGCCCCCACGGCCGGCCAGCCAGTCCCAGGGGTCGTACCGGGGCTGTGCAGACACATCCAAACATCCCGTCCGTGGTTCTACCCTGTGGTAGAACAGCATGACGTAACCTACCATAGGGTAAAACCACTGGCGTGACACCGGAGACAGAGACACACGCAAACACAGACCACGAGGAGCAGGAGGAACAAAGCCCGGGATCCCACTGCTGACACCAACCAGAGGTGGACCCACTGTCACAAAGTCCACAAACACCAAAACACACAACAGATGATAGTGCAAGAGACAGGGAGGTGATAAATGATGGATGATGGATATTTAAGTGAGGAACACAGGGTAGACAAAGAATACTTATAGCTGAGGTAGGAGAAAGAAAGACAACTGTTGTAAGAGGCAGAAGGCCAGGCATGCAGGCAGTAGACAGCCATCTTACCTAGCAATGCCTCCATAATCAAGACCTTCCTCTCCCCTCATGATGATGTAGAGTCTTCTACGCAAGTCATATGGTTTCACATTCATGATCTGAGGAAAGAGAACAAAACACAAGCACATACATCACAACAAAGAAACCGCCACCCTACGATCCTATATTAGTTGTTAAAATACAAATAGTGATACTAATGAATAGATAACCAACAATAGAAACCCTCATGCATGTTTAATTACATAACATTTAGAATTGAATATCCTCAGCAGGGAAACTGACTCCATGTCATCCTTACCTGCTGAAACGAGTCCTCAAATAGAGTCTGTCTGGACACTGAGATTTTCACGTGGCTGGGTAAGGCATTGGACTGGAGAGGCAGAGAGAAGTGTAAACATCAATTTCCTCAATGCTAGGCATTAGGCAAAGAGATCTGAGTCGGAACAGTAGAAGAGAACTGGGCTGTCTGAGAGACGAGTCAGCACTTACATGGCACAGGAAGCGGAACTGGTGGTATTTCCACCTGAAGCTGCGATCATAGGCCCCGGGAGAACCACCCGTCCTCGACCTACAGAGAAATAAAAGGAGTGTATTTTTTGCTGTTCCAGCGAAAAACAAAGCCAGGTTTCAAATTGGTGCATGTCGGGGAGGAATACTGTAGCTGTACTGGGCAAAGACAGGCCTGTCATGGCTGTCCCGTGCACAAATGCTTTAGAAACTGGAAAATAGGCCCAGCTGTGGAGCTGCAGAGTGAGGACTTTGGGCAGTATTCTAAGGAGGTGGTCAGATCTGACGTGCAGCAGCAGTGAAAGAACTGGGTTAAGCCCAGAGATGGAGGTATGCTTTGGTGTGCAGCTGTGTTAGTACAAGCTACACCACTTCACTACAGACATACTGGATATGTGCCTCGTCAGCAAAGTAGAAACCGAGAGACGGAGCAAGGAAGGGGAAATATGGAGGCCGAACGAAAGAGAGAGAGGCCTCTAATACTCGCTGACTCGCTTTGTCGAAAGCTGCCAGGCCCAACTTGGTTTTGGTTAGGAAGTTTCAGACCACAGAGGCAACAGATATGGACTGCAGCAGTATCAAATGTAAAACATTTTAGACAGTTTAAGAACCCTCTATGGCCACTCATCTAAAAATATAACACCAAGACCTTCATATGTTTCAACATCAGCATGATCACTTGCTCTCTCTCAATCACACACATCCATACATACACACAGACAGAGTCAGATAGCAGAGCAGTCTGCTTTGGATTTGATTTGTTGGCCCACATATGTTCATTTTCCTGACTTTGTCTTTTTTGGAAGATTTCAAAATTAGGGCCATGCTTCAAGGCAAAACACATGTTTATATTAGTGTGTGCTTGCTTGCAATGTGTGTACGTATATATAATATCCCCTTTCTCATATCTAGGCTAGCTATCTATGCCCTGAAGATAGTCAACGTAAATTCACTTGGGTTCAAAGAAACAGAAAAAAAGATGACAAAAGTAGGCTGTGATGAGAGAACCCTACATACATAATCCCTGACAGAAATGAGTCGTACGGTGCTTTTATCAGAACATTTTATCAGGAAATGTATCTGGCCTTCTCAAAAACAGGTCTGCAGAATAATATTTACCCTGACTCAAACCCGGGACGAGGGTCTTTAAAGCTGGTGGTGCGAGAGTTGTGATCCACAAAATATCGGACTCCCTCCACGGTGTACTTCATTTCCCAGCCAGGGGGCAGGGGGGGTTCCTGGATCATCCTGTAAGAGGGAGAGGGCAGTGAGCAGAGCCTAAACGGGAGGCTCCCCAAACTAGGCACACCTGTCCCCCCCCCGGCCCCGGCCCTTTCCCCGTCCCACTAGAAGCTCTCCCTGCACAGGACTCAGAACCTCGGAGCTCAGTGGTGATGATTCTAAGACCACATGGATGTTATACAACATGAAAATATAAATACGAGGGAAAATATAACTCAAGTTCACTGAGGGGGTGAATGAGGGAGTGAATGAACTAAATGATTAATGAATAAAATGTTATGACATTGTAAAATGATCTAAAAATCCCTAATACAATTAAGATAAAGCGGCCATCCACCATTACTGTAGTTTTGCTGTTAAATTTGATGCGAGGGGACAGCGGCGCCATCCACACTAGCTCAGGGGTAGAGATGCCCTAGGCCTCTCTTTGACCAATTAGCTTACAATACTAATCTAAACCCCACCCACACAGCTTAGAGGACAGCCCTAGTCAGGTTGACATGGCCTACTATGGTGGTGATACACGACACTGTCCTATTGATATTAATCTCAATGATCTGTACATTTCGTCTATGATTATGATAACATGGGTGTGCTGCATAGTGTTGGGCCCTCGAGCTACCAGTCCCTATCCTACATTAGTTAATGTAATATCAGTGAAAATATGGTAGCAAAGTATGGTGACATTTCTCTGAGACACCTGTGTGTACAAACATGAACACGCACACACACAATGATACAGAACACACACACAATGATACAGAACAAACACACACACACTCAAGCATGCGCACGTACACTTTCACAGTGGAGCAGAGACAGAGTGGCTTACCCTTGGGTTCTTGGGTCCTCCCACTGTGTGGTCCGTGTGTTGTGGTTGACAAAATACACCCTCCCATTGTCCTGCCGTTTCTCTACAGGGACCACGAGAAGTGGCTACAGTTAAAAACAGGATGGATCAACAACAGTTTATTATTTTGTTACATGACAGAGTGGCTGTACTGCATGGGGACTTCGGAGATGTGAATGTCAACCACAGTTGTGAGTGAGAATAAGAGAGAAGAGGAGGAAAATGGGAAAAAGGGTGTCTGAATCTCGCAAAGCTGATTGAAAACTGACGTGTGTGTGGCATTTCGCTCAAGCTTGTTCCAAAATACCTTGCTACAATCCACCTCAGCCTTTCTGACTTGGCTCCGGTGAAGACAGTGTTTGAGAAAGATTGGGGCATGGGGCTCAGAGAGAGAGAATGTTACAGAGGTGTAAAGGGCAAGAGCTAAACTGTGAGGGAAAGTAGAAGTATTAGAAAAGGAGTATAACAATTTGCTGACTCATTTCTATTTCTAGCAGTGCAGCACTACATGACTACATGAAAGATAATGACATGGTAACCGTGTCAACTTCCTCCACCAAGAATGTGTGTATAGTGTGTTGTGTGAGTTAATATGTTCAACTTTATACATCTCTGTGTTGCTTTAGTTTCCTTACCGTAGTTGGTGCCCCCTCTCTCCACCTCATCCTTCTCGCGCTCTCTCCACCCCCACCACCGCTCTCTCTCCATCCCCACATCTCTCTCTCCATCCCCCCCCCCCCTCTCCAACCCCACTCCTCTCTCTCTGACATCTTGTTCTCATTAGCAGAAGTGTGTGGAGCGTGCAGGAACAGTAGCCCTCACCTTGCAACTCTTACTAGCCTGTTCATTTCCCCCCCTCTCCTTAACTTTCCCTCCTGTATTCATCCACCCCTCCTTTATTTTACTGTTCCCGCGCTCGGTCAAGTCTTTCTCTCCTTTTTCTTCTCCCGTTAAGAGTTTCTTTCAATCCACCCCCTCTTCTACGCCCCACAGATGACACACATAAATACATTACAGGAAATCCATAAAAATGTAAGTCCAATGTATAATTGAGGCTTTTGCCTGCGATGCCGCAACATGTTGAAAACGAATCATGGTTAGAAAATATGAGTGTGCATGGGTGAGTTTGTATGTAAGTGATAAGCATGTGAAAATGGGAGGTGGAGAGAAATGCCAATGACCATAACTTTTGAGTGATGGAGTTTTTTTTTGTGTACGCAATGTATAATTGTGTGGGTGGGAATATGTTGGTAAAATATGCGCTTTTGAGAATATGAATGAATGAATGTATGAGAGTAGAGCGCTATAGGGATATAGAAGTAGAGAATATTACAACCAATTCCTTGAGATTATACTTGAACCAACAACTAATCAATAATATCAGGGAAAAGACTGAAATCCCCCAAAAACATTTCAATCATGTTGTTGACCAATAACTAAACTGTAAGGAGAGTTATGCTGAATGTAAGAATGAAGGGATCTTCAGCATGAGCTTCTTTGATTAAGGACAAGGCTATATATCACAGTGTATACAAGATAGTGAACAATAAATCTGGGCCCAGTGGTGTGTATCTGTATGTGTGTGTGTGTGTGTGTGTGTGTGTGAGAAAGACACACAAACCAACTCTCCCCCGTCAACACAAAAACAAAGCCTGTGCCCTTGAAATGCATACAGGCATCAGAACCCTCTCTCATAACAAGTAGTGCAGGTGTCGATGTAGCCAATGCCACTCTCCAGCATCACTGGACCCAGTAGTATTTCCCCTCACTCATCTCACTGGTCTCAGGTCCTGGGACCACTGAGGGCTAGAGCCGGGACGATACCAGTACTGAGATACTCGTTAGTATCATGGGCAAGGAAACAAAACACAAAGCGGATTTCACTTCTTTAGGAAAACAGCCCTAATGGTAGAAACAAACATCATGATGTTGTCATCCAGAGTCCCATTTATTTATTTATTTTCCAAGCTATAGCACACAATATTTTACATACAGCAGGTTTTTACCAAAGAGTTTGGTCTGCTTTGTGTTTTAATTTTTGCCATGGAAAAAACATTGCGATACTGGTATCGTCACAGCCTTACTGATGGCCACTGACTACAGGGCCTAGTATGAGTATGGTGAGAGGTGTAGATGAAGGTGTACTTACCCCATCCTGGAGGGAGCGCACCAAGAGGGTCATTTTCCACAGCAGGAGCACCAGACGACTGATTGAGAAAGAGAGAGAATACGTTTCCAGTTAGAACACTTTCCTCTCCTCCCTCCTTCTTCCACCTTTCTGTCTTCTCCTCTCACTCTCTTTACTGCAGCGGCTCTGTGTGAAATTGTTCTGTCCGTCCATAAAGCTCTCAACCGACTTCTCACACTGCTGTGAGGTAGAATAAACCCTCAAAAAACCAAACATACAGACAAAAAAATGAAAAAAAAGCTGCAAATGCCTCAAAACGCCACAGAAACCACACAGTTTAACACCTCGAGTCTAGTGGAGCAGGAGTGACCAGAGTGGAGCGTGGGGTGTCACGGGGCAGTAGTCTTTTTTGAGGGGTGCTAAGGCGTACCCCAGAAGGCTGAGGTGACCTCTCTCATGCAGCTGGAACAGGAGACTGACAGAGAGGCTCAGACGCAGCTCGTATGCCTTCCAAAATCTACACGCTCAGGAGAGAAAAAAAACCACACTGTTCCAATGAGCTCACTCGCTGGCGTCAAGCCCCACCCTGTCTCCTACCCCCCCCCCCCCCCCCCCCCGCCCCTCCCTACCCCACCCATCTGCAGAGGTCCTCCTCTTCTAGATATGCTGTGAAAGTAAGCAGGGAGGCGCAATGTCTGAGCGAACTGAGGGAACATTCATCCTTGTTCCAGACTGCCCACCCCCTCCTGACAAAAGCACCTTTATTCACCCTGACCTGGAACCAGTGTGGTTTACTCAGCCTGTGCATACAGAGAGAAAGAGAGAGAGTGTGTGTGTGTGCGTGTGCCACTGTACGGAAAATGTGTATACAGCAAATACTAATTGAATGTGTATGAGATTGTGTTTGAATCTGTGTGTGTGTGCGCGAGCATGTTTAAGATGTTTGTGAGGAGTTAGTACACAGACTGTTGGTTTCATGAGTATGAAAGCTGTACCTTTGGAAAAGTCCTACACAAATCTAATTCATGCATTCATTCTCCTCACCTCAGGTCTGCAGTTTCTTCCTATAATGAAACAAAACTGTCCTTACAGCAGTCCATGTGTCACTGAAGGTAACGCCACACAACTTCACTCAGCATTTCCCCAGAATAATAATACTGTGCCCATTTATGAGAATTCATCATGGAAAGTTTGAGAAGAACTGAAGGAATAAGATAGTAAAGAGCGCAAAGAGGAGAGAGAGGCATATGGAGTTAAAGGGGCACGCGTGTGTCACTCGATCAACAGCCAATCCATATATGAGACCCACCCTTCTGTGTTTCTGTGACTAAAAAAGGTTAAAAAAAAGAATGAAATAAAGACATGACATCATCTTCTGCCCTGACCATTCAGTTCCTCGCCAGATCCAAGAGGATGTGAGAGAGAGCTAGAGAGAGAAGAAAGAGGATAAGACAGGGAAAACAAGAGAAAAAATAAAAGAAGCAGCGGGGGTGGTAAAAAGTGGTATAGTAAAGTGAAAGAAGTACTAAAATACTTAATATGGTGATTGAGTGGTAAGTGGATGATTTTAGTTGAGATGCTATTTTAAATACCTTTATCAAGAATAGTAACAGACTCCTTCTATCCCGCTTCAGGACCCAGATAATTACACCAAAAAGGCCAGTTAGTCTCTGAACACTGAAAACCTTGCTAGAACCATATGAATGACCGGCACTATGAGTGGGAAAAGTCACATAGACCTACATTGCACACTGTCGCATACATTGTAGTGTCTCCCTAATTTAGTTACTCTAATGTTAGCGCTGGAAAAAAAGCCTTAAAAGAAGTTCACTCAAAGGGGAAAAACAATGGTAGTGATAGTAGGACCCCTGATAAGATGCTCAACAGTGATTAAAATACTCAAATGAGCGTTAACCAGGTTGTATAACAATGTGATATCTTAGAAAGGTGTACAGAAGGTCCAATGCAGCCGTGTTTATCTCAATATCAAATCATTTCTGGGTAACAATATCAATTAAGTACCTTACTGTGATAGTTTTCAATTAAAATTGTCAAAAATAAACAAAAAATAGCTTCTTAGCAAAGGGCAATTTCTCAAGCAATAATTTTGCTAGGACTGTCTGGGAGTGGTCTGAGTGGGGAGGGGAAAACTGAAAATGAGCTGGTATTGGCAGAGAGGTTTGGAACTGGCTTTCTTATCAGTCTAACTATACTGAACAGAAATATAAACGCAACATGTTAAGTGTTGGTTCCATGTTTTATGATCTGAAATAAAAGATCCCAGAAATGTTCCATACACACAAAAAGCGATATTTCTCTTAAATATTGTGCACAAATTTGTTTACATCCCTGTTAGATAATCCATCCATCTGACAGGTGTGGCATATCAAGAAGCAGATTAAACAGCATGATCATTACACAGGTGCACCTTGTGCTGGGGACAATAAAAGGCCACTCTAAAATGTGCAGTTTTGTCAAACACAATGCCACAGATGTCTCAAGTTTTGAGAGAGCGTGCAATTGGCATGCTGACTGCAGGAATGTCCATCAGAGCTGTTGCCAGATCATTTCTCTACCATAAGCCACCTCCAACATCATTTTAGAGAATTTGGCAGTACGTCCAACTGGCCTCACAACCACAGACCACGTGTAACCATGCCAGCCCAGGACCTCCACATCTGGCTCCTTCACCTGTGGGATTGTCTGAGACCAGCCATCCGGACAGCTGATGAAATTGAGGAGTATTTCTGTTTGTAATAAAGCCCTTTTGTGGGGAAAATCTCATTCTGATTGGCTGGGCCTGGCTCCCCAGTGGGTGGGCCTGGCTGCCAAATGGGTGGGCCTATGCCTTCCTAGATCCACCCATGGCAGCACCCCTGCCCAGTCCTTTGAAATTAATAGATTAGGGCCTAATTAATTTATTTCAATTGACTGATTTCCTTATATGAACTGTAACTCAGTAAAATCATTGAAATTGTTGCGTTTATATTTTTGTTCAGTATAATTTACAGGATGGTGATGTCACCATGGAAGGCCAAAAGTCCATCCCACCAAAACAGACTAAATTTGCAGGCGTTTTTTCAAACAGCTCTTACACTAAAAGGGCATTATCATAATTTTCACAATTTCACAGTATTATTCCAACCTCATAGTGTGAAGAGTTTATTTCCAAAACACTATAGTCACACATTTTTCAAACGTGTGTTTTTTCACCAGATAAGACTGCTTATGGGTACCTCCATGTGTGTAAAATATTACTGTCCTCTGATTTTTTATTCATAGATTTTAGGTGTCTATTAAAATTTGTTTATTTTGCAAAACGCTATATATCCATTATTTAGCTGGAATGGAATGTTTGCATACCGTATATTTGACTGTGATACGTGGTTGCCTCACCCAGCTATCTTAAGATGAATGCACTAAGTGTAAGTCGCTCTGGATAAGAGCATCTGCTAAATGTCTAAAATGTCAAATGTAAATGTTTTACACACAGATCTCATATTACTGTATTGATTCTTTAAATTGTATTTTACAATATTGATGTCACAAATATTATTTGTACAGTTCTTTATGAAAAACATGATTATTTGTCTCTCTGAAATGAAACCATCAAGTGATAGATTTCAAACAAATACAAAAACCCCATGCCATGATTAGAAAGTGAAAAACACACCAATCTCTTTCATAAGTTCTTTAAACAATAAAATGTAATTTACCAACATTTCTCAAAAAGGATATATAGCGTTTTGGAAATAACCTTCATATATCAGCAGCATACAGCCCTGCATTCCACTGCTGGCTTGCCTCTGAAGCTAAGCAGGGTTGGTCCTGGTTGGTCCCTGGATGGGAGACCAGATGCTGCTGGAAGTGGTGTTGGAGGGCCATTAGAGGGAACTTTTCCCTCTGGTCTAAGGAGATCCCAATGCCGCAGAGCAGTGAAGGGGACATTGCCCTGCGTAGGGTGCAGACTTTCAGATGGGACAGTAAACGGGTGTCCTGACTCTCTGTGGTAATTAAATAAATATCCCATGGCATTTATTGCAATGGCTACATGGCCACCTAATCATTCCTAATTGGCATATATCACTCTCCACCTAATAGCTGGTGAGTGTTCTGGCACAAAATTGTCACCATGCATCACCCAGGTGGGTGGTGGATGAGGTGAGTTTCCCCCTACTATGTAAAGCGCTTTGAGTACCTCAGTTGGTAGAAAAGCACTATATAAATCCAATCAATTATTATATATAAAACAGGAAAATCACATTTTTAGGTAGTTGAGTATTGAGACAATGGTCCAGTTCCAGTGGTGTTGCTGCATGAGCCCCTCTTTCAGTGAGAATGGACAGAGCAAATAAGAAGCAGGAGGAGGTAGAAAAGGGGGAATTTGGGAGGAGGAGCCAGAAACAGCAGTTAATGACTCTGAGACTGCTCTCTCAGGAGTTCCTAACGAGCTGCAATTACTGGCCAAATGTGCACAGGCACACTCACACAAAAACCCACTGTGTATGTGTGTTATGTACTTAATCTATGCCTTGGTGTGTATTGTGTGCTGTGTCACATAATCGTTTATGTGTGTGTGTGTGTGTGTGTGTGTGTGTGTGTGTGTGTGTGTGTGTGTGTGTGTGTGTGTGTGTGTGTGTGTAAGCATGTGTGCTCACACCGCTGTAATGTTGGAGTCAAGTGTGATATTTCTGTCTTAGCACATGATAATGAGTAAGGTCAGGGTCAGGGGCCAGTCTACTTTAAATCGACCATGACATTATAATGGGCTCAGCTCACAAACGCACCAGCACATGTTCGCAACATTCTCCAACGTGGTAACATTTGATACAATGTAACAGAATGCAAATGAATGATCTCTCTCAAATGACGAGCAAAGCTAAAAGTATATAAATCACGTCAGAGTCCCAAGCAGCCAGCTGAACCCCTAGGCCAGAGGGGTGGTGTATGTCAACTCATTTTTGCACAGACCGTCCTAAAAATAAGCCAGCTATCAGCAAAGTGGCCATTTCAAAACAGAACCCGCCTATCTGCCAGCTACTTCTCAGGGACTCATGGTTACTCATAATCAATGAGGAAGTGGATGTTATTTTGAAAAGAGGCTCAGAATTAGCTTGTCGAGCAGCCTGGGTGGGTTGGGCGTAGGGAGGTTTTAATAGAAACCGATGAGAGTTGCAGCTCATTTCAGTAATTTGCTCTACCATGGAACGCCCATTTCAGATACAGAATGCTTTATTATTTTTACCTCAATGAACGCCCTTCTGTACCCTTGCGTTTTACCCAGAATTCTATCCTGAAGGGATGCTTTTAGAGGGCCACACCTAAAGGGACTAAATAGGTAGTACAGACAGTACAGTACCTCTATGTTGAGTTTGAGTTACCTGGTAGAGAAACCTCTGGCTGAACTGGTGCATGGCTCCCTGGAGCTGGTTGCGCTGGGACTGCCACTGCTCATAGTTCCGGACGGATTCTTCTGTGGGCCGCTGCCATGTGGTGGTTCTGGTGTTGTGGTCCACATAGTAGAACCTGCCTCGCTGGTCCACACGCTTCTCCCAACTGTACAGGGACAGAGAGAGGAGTGAGAATCATTCAAATGTACATACACAGACAGACATATGTAATTATGGACACAGACAAGCTAGGATATGCAAACACAAGATTAAGATATGCATTATCCCACAGATACACACGTAAACCAACACATGAGCACATTTCCGGTTCAGTGCAGTAGTGTTTTATTATGTGTGGAGGCTGCTGTTGCTATTCCCATATCTCTGACTAAACCAGAACAGAATTTAGAAGACAAAACAGCAAATACTTCCGTATGCTAACACAAACACACACAGAGCTCAGAAATTCCTCAAAAAGGAGCTTTGAGAGATGCAACGTAACATCCCTCCCTGTTCCCTGTGCTGCTGTTCCCCTGAGATACCCTACAAAGCAGGACTATGGCTCCTATATCCTACAGAGCAGGACTATGGCTCCTATATCCTACAGAGCAGGACTATGGCTCCTATATCCTACAGAGCAGGACTATGGCTCCTATATCCTACAGAGCAGGACTATGGCTCCTATATCCTACAGAGCAGGACTATGGCTCCTATATCCTACAGAGCAGGACTATGGCTCCTATATCCTACAGAGCAGGACTATGGCTCCTATATCCTACAGAGCAGGACTATGGCTCCTATATCCTACAGAGCAGGACTATGGCTCCTATATCCTACAGAGCAGGACTATGGCTCCTATATCCTACAGAGCAGGACTATGGCTCCTATATCCTACAGAGCAGGACTATGGCTCCTATATCCTACAGAGCAGGACTATGGCTCCTATATCCTACAGAGCAGTACTATGGCAGCACCATGCTAACTCAGACCAGATACGGGGCCCAAGCACTAAGCACCAAACCCTGCAGCTGCAGTCAGAACCAGCCCAGCCTCCGAGAGGCAAGACGCTAATTGAGCCTCATATGGGTACAGCATAGCGCTGCATACATGTGCTCTTTCTAAGAAAGGACTTTTGTTTTCCGGCCCGTTCCCTCCTGTGGAAAAAGTGAGACGGGGCAGGAGTGACCTTTACCTCAAACAGGCTTCTCACACAGTGCAAATGAAAATCAATAAATAATCACTGAAATAAAATGGCAATAAAAGGCCCTGGTACCCCCACAAGAGAGAGCTGGGTTTCCGCAACACACAGTGAAAAACACCACTGGAAATCAACAGAGACTCAAACCATCAGTGCTGGTGATTCACAGCCTGTTAAAGAGATGAGAGACCAAATGGCCAAACACATAAAATGCACACTAAAAGACCTGACACACTTCTACTGTAAGAAAAGGACTCCTCTAAATGGATAGAATAGTCTAAGTTGGGGTGGGGAGTGGCGGTAACCAATTATTCAGTCATTTCTCATATTTAATGGAGTCAGCTTCTTCCAGCCAGAGAAAATAGGACGTCTCCGTTCACTTGACTGTCCAGAGTCAGATCCCCAGGAACGTTACTGTGCTGTCAATGAGTCTGCCACTCCCTGACTGTGGGCCCACTTCACACCCCAACACCACCCTGCTAGGATCCTCCAGCTCTGCATGTCTATATAGGCAGCAGTCTGAGCTAAGGAGAGACATGCAGGGAATGTTCACAAGTGGGCAAGATCTCCCCTTCCCAGAGAGAGATAATCCCATCATGCACTGAGCTGGCTAACTGTCGTCACTCTCTTCTGATGGTAGGAAGTGTGAGATAAAGAGAGGAGGAGAAGAAGTAGAGGTCAAAGTGTGTAGGCTGACTGACCCAGGTGGAAGTGGTCTCTCCCAGGTGGTGGTCTTTGTGTTGTGGTCCACATAGTACACCCTGCCATGGGGTAGGACTCGCTGCTCCCAGCTGAGAGGCAGAGAGAGAGAGAGGCAGAGAGAGAGGCAGAGAGAGAGAGAGAGAGGCGAGCGAGAGAGGCAGAGAGAGAGAGAGGCATATTGGGTCATGTCTAGTTACACGTGAGGTGATTGACCGTAACTCCAATCACACAAGCACCAACACGCAAAATCTTACCCAGTGGGTAGTAACTCTGGAACAGGCTCTGTAGCAGTGGTTGGGTTGGCGGGGTCTGGGTTAGCGCCAGCAGGGGGTGCCTCTGTAGGAGGAGGGAAGACTGTGCCGTCTAGCCCAGGAGAGGGGCTGCTGCTGCTGGGGGTTGGGGACCGGGCCGACGGGGAGGATGGTGGGGGTGTATGACGAGCCAGGTTGCTACGGCCATTCTCCAGCCCGTTGGCAGGCAGCTCAACTTTACCTGTGGGGTAGGGCAGGTAAAGGAGTTGATTGATTTACACTGGGAAAAATGTATCAATGTATCAATTCTAGTGTCAAAATGTATCAATTCTAGTGTCAAGTGAATGGAGAGTGACAGAAAAATAGTTTCATGTCTCCAAGGTTATAGTACCTGCACTCCCAGGGCTGCTGTGGGAGTTCTTGGCCGAGCAGTTGCAACCAGAAGCCCCAGGACTCCGCTCCTCACTCAGTTCTCCATTAGTCAGAGAGCCCCTCGGGGAACCCCCTTGCGAACCCCCTGCAGAGTGTCTGTGAGTCCTGACCAGAACACATACACAGTCACAGGGGAGGGGTCAGGATCAATCACACCACATAAAATGACCCTTAACCTCTCTTTAACTCCTACTGAGACAATGGACAGAATGTAGATTTGTGATGTAAAGCTAAGCTACTGACGTAAATTTGAATAATATAGAATATGTTTGCGGTAGACTTTGGAGTGCTGCTAAGGAATGACTCAAATAATAAAGAAAATCTTGAAAAAGCAGCTCAACCCATCTCACACACAGGCGCCAGCGCGTGCATACACACGAACAAAGAAGTGTCAGTGTGAGATCCGTTTCCTCTCAAAATATACTCATATTTTCCTAAAGCTAAATATAGGTTCTTTCCTACAAGTGCTTTTATACAATGAAAACATGTTGGTTTTTACCCCCCAGACATCAGAATGCTGAGTACAAAGTTGGATCATTATCAATGGAAACTTTAGTAAGGTTCTGAAATGTTGTGTCTTCACGGCGAGTATTTTCCCCCACCAACTACCTATACTAAAAGCGGGACAGAAGAACATCCGTTATTTGAGCTGTTCTTGCCATAATATGGACTTGGTCTTTTACCAAATAGGGCTATCTTCTGTATTTCATAGTTTTGATGTCTTCACTATTATTCTACAATGTAGAAAATAGTAAAAATAAAGAAAAACCCTTGAATGAGTAGGTTTGTCCAAACTTTTGACTGGTACTGTATAAACCTTTTGGCTTTTTCCCCCCTTGGGAAGGGGGGGGGGGGGGGGGGGGTACATGCTTCTCGTCATGGGAGAATGCAAAAAAACATAGCATAGAACTCGCTGCACTTCTGTCTCTTTCTGCCTCTCTCTACACCTCCCTTTCTACTCCTCTCTTTAGGGACAGATGGATGGAGCCGTTGAATGGTGTTCCAAATAAAAATGGTCCACAGCAATGCCCTCTAATGTTTTCAGGGAAATACCATACAATACCATATATCTGTGTGTTGTAGTAAAACAGTGTCTTACGCTTGGCATGCTCTTTATCTGTAACTTATCACTGGTCTGATTAAGGCATCTCTGTGTTGGATCACTGCACTGACCATTACCCTCAAAGGAGTATATTTGTGTTTTAAGTAAGACTTCAGAGAGTTTGTGTGTGTGCTAGGGAGTAGAGAAACATAGTAAATCTCTGTACATCCTAACTGTGAAATTAGTGCATCTATTTGTGTGAATTAGTTTGTTCATACAACCTGTATTCTGTAGGGGTATGAATCCAACTAAGTATAAATAGTATACAGGTCAGTAAAAATAAATATTTGTATGTATGTTTGTTCTCACCTGCCGCGGGGGCCACAGGCTGTACTTGGGGTTTCCTCACTCTGGGTCCTGCGTAGGTTTGATCTGTCCGACTGCAGCATCTCTGTACAAACAGGACAGACAAAGGCCACACCATCAATACACCAAACTTCATTATAACCATTAGTAAGAAAATAATATATACCATCCCATCTCTACAGAGAATAACAAAATCACAGAACCCTTGACGGTTACGGTATCACATAGACCAATTTTCACTGCTATAGAATGTGGTCTGTGACTGTATGAGTGTATGTTCATTCCCTCACCTGCCTGAAACCACAGCCCTATAACATGCTTTTCATTATAAAAACAGGGACACACAATAGGAGTGGGGCACGGGAAGCAGTAACTAACCACCAAGAAAAAAAGCCAGTCTGTCTAAGACTGGGTCCTGAAGCATGACAGCTTCAATGCTTTAAAAGGTGCACTATGCAGAAATCGCTCCGCCTTTTCCTGGTTGCTAAAATTCTAATAGTTCGCCTAATTTTAGTTTATGTGACAAAACAAGCAAGTATAGTGTAGAGAATCATTGTACCATCTAAACCGCTGTGAAATATATTTTACATAACAAAAAATATTGCATTTTCAGCTGGTGTACAAAAAACAAAAAAGATGCAAAAAACGAAACTGAAGAATGGGAAGCATAGAAATAGCACACATAGAACAGATATACCGCTTCTTAAACTTGCTTTCAATGTGAATGACAGATCTATAACTAACATTTCTATGTGAATCTGGTCGGGTCGCCCAAAAAGTTACATATTGCAGCTTTAATGTGTTAATAGATAACTCAGATCCTGCCTTATGTAAACAGGTTGTTATTGAGAAAAACAAGCCTTTGCGCCTGTCCAGGGAACACCCCTGTTTCACCCGTATGAAAGGGCTTCTTATGAGACTCCATTGGACACGTAACACAAAGGGTCTAGTTGAGGAGAAACCACCGTCTCATACTGCCCTGAATGCATCATCCAATGACATAGCTAAGTCTAGCGGTTGCCCCCATTTACCTCCTGAGAGAAATGAGACATATCCATGTTTGTTTGTGTTGCCTTAACTAAAAACTTTCCAGAGATGGAGGAACAGTATGTCAGAAAGTGGTGAAAGGGGGCAACCATCTGTTGGTGAACAATGCTACATGAAATTCTCGCAAAAGTCAATGTTTCAACGAGTTGAGCTAAAGCGGCTTGGATTTCATGTGTTCCCCTAAAATCCATCTAACTTTAGAGCCAATCCTACATCAGCAGCTAGCCTCCTCACCAACTCCATCCCCCCCAAGGTTATTTTATTTGCCTTATTTCCATATGGTTTAACAACAGTTTCACAATTATTCTGAACATACTGTGTATATATGTTGTGACTTAGATGAAGATCAGATAAAATTTTATGACCAATTTATGCAGAAATCCAGGTAATTCCGAAGGGTTCACATACTTTCTTGCCACTTGTACATAAACTCAGCAAAAAAAGAAACGTCCTCACTGTCAACTGCGTTTATTTTCAGCAAACTTAACATGTGTAAATATTTGTATGAACATAAGATTCAACAACTGAGACATAAACTGAACAAGTTCCACAGACATGTGACTAACATAAATTGAATAATGTGTCCCTGAACAAAAGGGGGGGGGGGGGGGGGTCAAAATCAAAAGTAACAGTCAGTATCTGGTGTGGCCACCAGCTGCATTAAGTACTGCAGTGCATCTCTTCCTCATGGACTGCACCAGATTTGCCAGTTCTTGCTGTGAGATGTTACCCCATTCTTCCACCAAGGCACCTGCAAGTTCCCGGACATTTCTGGGAGGAATGGCCCTAGCCCTCACCCTCCGATCCAACAGCTCCCAGACGTGCTCAATGGGATTGAGATCCGGGCTCTTCGCTGGCCATGGCAGAACACTGACATTACTGTTTTGCAGGAAATCACGCACAGAACGAGCATAATGGCTGGTGGCATTGTCATGCTGGAGGGTCATGTCAGGATGAGCCTGCAGGAAGGGTACCACATGAGGGAGGAGGAGGAGGTCTTCCCTGTAAAGCATAGCGTTGACATTGCCTGCAATGACAACAAGCTCAGTCCGATGATGCTGTGACACACCGCCCCAGACCATGACGGACCCTCCACCTCCAAATCGATAAACGTGAATCCGACCATCACCCCTGGTGAGACAAAACCACGACTCGTCAGTGAAGAGCACTTTTTGCCAGTCCTGTCTGGTCCAGCAACGGTGGGTTTGTGCCCATAGGCGACGTTGTTGCCAGTGATTTCTGGTGAGGGCCTGCCTTACAACAGGCCTACAAGCCCTCAGTCCAGCCTCTCTCAGCCTATTGCGGACAGTCTGAGCACTGATGGAGGGATTGTGCATTCCTGGTGTAACTCGGGCTGTTGTTGTTGCCATCCTGTACCTGTCCTGCAGGTGTGATGCTCGGATCTACCGATCCTGTGCAGGTGTTGTTACGTGTGGTCTGTCACTGCGAGGACGATCAGCTGTCCGTCCTGTCTCCCTGTAGCGCTGTCTTAGGCGTCTCACAGTACCGACATTGCAATTTATTGCTCTGGCCACATCTGCAGTCCTCATGCCTCCTTGCAGCATGCCTAAGGCACGTTCACACAGATGAGCAGGGACACTGGGCATCTTTCTTTTGGTGTTTTCCAGAGTCAGTAGAAAGGCCTCTTTAGTGTCCTAAGTTTTCATAACTGTGACCTTAAATGCCTACCATCTGTAAGCTGTTAGTCTCTTAACGACCGTTCCACAGGTGCATGTTCATTAATTGTTTATGGTTCATTGAACAAGCATGGGAAACAGTATTTAAACCCTTCACAATGAAGATCTGTGAAGTTAATTGGATTTTTAAGAATTATCTTTGAAAGACGGTCCTGAAAAGGGGACGTTTCTTTTTTTGCTGAATTCATATACAGTCCCAGTCAAAAGTTTGGACACACCTACTCATTCAAGGGGTTTTCTTTATGTTTACTATTTTCTACATTGTAGAATAATAGTGAATACATCAAAACTACGAAATAACACATATGGATTCATGTAGTAACCAAAAAAGTGTTAAACAAATCAAAATATGTTTTATTTGAGATTCTTCAAATAGCCACCCTTTGCCTTGATGACAGCTTTGCACACTCCTGGCATTCTCTCAACCAGCTTCGCCTGGAATGCTTTTCCAACAGTCTTGAAGGAGTTCCCACATGTGCTGAGCACTTGTTGGCTGCTTTTCCTTCACTCTGCGGTCCAACTCATCCCAAACCATCTCAATTGGGTTGAGGTCGGGGGATTGTGGAGGCCCAGTCATCTGATGCAGCACTCCATCACTCTCCTTCTTGGTCAAATAGCCCTTACACAGCCTGGAGGTGTGTTGGGTCATTGTCCTGTTGAAAAACAAATGATAGTCCCACTAAGCCCAAACCAGATGGGATGGCATATCACTGCAGAATGCTGTGGTAGCCATGCTGGTTAAGTGTGCCTTGAATTCTAAATAAATCAGAGAGTGTCACCAGCAAAGCACCCCCCCACTCCTTTAGTAGTGGTTTCTTTGCGACTGCACTTGCAGAAACTTTAAAAGTTATTGAAATTTTCCATATTGACTGACCTTCATGTCTTAAGGTAATGATGGACTGTTGTTTCTCTTTGCTTATTTGAGCTGTTCTTGCCATAATATGGACTTGGTCTTTTACCAAATAGGGCTATCTTCTGTATACCCCCCCCCCCCCCCCCCCCCCCACCTTGTCACAACACAACTGATTGGCTCAAACGCATTAAGAAGGAAAGAAATTCCACAAATTAACTTTTAACAAGGCACACCTGTTAATTGAAATGCATTCCAGGTGACTACCTCATGAAGCTGGTTGAGAGAATGCCAAGAGTGTGCAAAGCTGTCATCAAGGCAAAGGGTGGCTATTTGAAGAATATAAAATATATTTTGATTTGTTTAACACTTTTTTGGTTACTACATGATTCCATGTTATTTCATAGTGTTGATGTCTTCACTATTATTCTACAATGTAGAAAATAGTAAAAAATAAAGAAAAACCCTTGAATGAGTAGGTGTTCTAACACTTTTGACTGGTAGTGTATATACTCTGTTGATTTTATATGATGTGCATGCATGTATAAGAGTGCATGTGTTTGTCCGTTTAGGCCTGTATATACGTAAAGGTGAGCTCTGTCTGGTCTGGATGTGTTTTTCACTGGCTGCAGCACAAAGGTCGGTTTATGGTAGCAGTGTGTGTCAGCGTGTCAGAAAAACTGCCAGGGGAAATGAGGAAAAACACTAAACTAACAGAGCTGCCTTCAGAGAGAACACAGAGGGCCTTAACACACCTTCCCCCTGCAACATTGCGCACACTTGAAACTTTATACACCCCCCTGCCAGAGAGCACACACTCCAGACCTCTATTCACTAACACTCCCCCCGCAACACACACACAGACTAAGACCTCAGAAAGCACATATTCATTCCCTTAATACACTTCTCCCCCTCCCCCATCCTTCCCCCTGTCTCACAGTGAGCCCCTACCCAGCCAGGCAGAGAGGAAACCCCCCCGGATCACAGGAGCCGATTGTCCTGCACAACTCACAGAAACGAGAGTCAATTATGCAATTTTGAGAAACAAATTCCACATAAGCACTCCCAAGTGTGTGCACGAGTGTGCATGGGTATGCGTGATGACGGTGTGCAGGTTTGAAAGAGTGCTTGGGGAACACCAAAATAACAGATCTGAATGGAACAGGGGTTGTAAAGCCTATTAATCGATTTAAGAACAATATTAACCTTCACGCACACGCATAAACACACACACACACACACACACAAATCTATACAGTGAGGGAAAAAGGTATTTGATCCCCTGCTGATTTTATACGTTTGCCCACTGACAAAGAAATGATCAGTCTATAATTTTAATGGTAGGTTTATTTGAACAGTGAGAGACAGAATAACAACAAAGAAATCCAGAAAAACACATGTCAAAAATGTTATAAATTGATTTTCATTTTAAAATGAGGGAAATAAGTATTTGACCCCCTCTCAATCAGAAAGATTTCTGGCTCCCAGGTGTCTTTTATACAGGTAACGAGCTGAGATTAGGAGCACATTCTTAAAGGGAGTGCTCCTAATCTCAGCTTGTTACCTGTATAAAAGACACCTGTCCACAGAAGCAATCAATCAATCAGATTCCAAACTCTCCACCATGGCCAAGACCAAAGAGCTCTCCAAGGATGTCAGGGACAAGATTGTAGACCTACACAAGGCTGGAATGGGCTACAAGACCATCGCCAAGCAGCTTGGTGAGAAGGTGACAACAGTTGGTGCGATTATTCGCAAATGGAAGAAACACAAAAAGGACTGTCAATCTCCCTCGGCCTGGGGCTCCATGCAAGATCTCACCTCGTGGAGTTGCAATGATCATGAGAACGGTGAGGAATCAGCCCAGAACTACACGGGAGGATCTTGTCAATGATCTCAAGGCAGCTGGGACCATAGTCACCAAGAAAACAATTGGTAACACACTACGCCGTGAAGGACTGAAATCCTGCAGCGCCCGCAAGGTCCTAATGCTCAAGAAAGCACAAATACAGGCCCATCTGAAGTTTGCCAATGAACATCTGAATGATTCAGAGTAGAACTGGGTGAAAGTGTTGTGGTCAGATGAGACCAAAATCGAGCTCTTTGGCATCAACTCAACGTGTTTGGAGGAGGAGGAATGCTGCCTATGACCCCAAGAACACCATCCCCACCGTCAAACATGGAGGTGGAAACATTATGCTTTGGGGGTGTTTTTCTGCTAAGGGGACAGGACAACTTCACCGCATCAAAGGGACGATGGACGGGGCCATGTACCGTCAAATCTTGGGTGAGAACCTCCTTCCCTCAGCCAGGGCATTGAAAATGGGTCGTGGATGGGTATTCCAGCATGACAATGACCCAAAACACACGGCCAAGGCAACAAAGGAGTGGCTCAAGAAGAAGCACATTAAGGTCCTGGAGTGGCCTAGCCAGTCTCCAGACCTTAATCCCATAGAACATCTGTGGAGGGAGCTGAAGGTTCGAGTTGCCAAACGTCAGCCTCGAAACCTTAATGATTTGGAGAAGATCTGCAAAGAGTGGGTCTATAGACTGATCATGTATTTGTCAGTGGGCAAATGTACAAAATCAGCAGGGGATCAAATACTTTTTTCCCTCACTGTATGTATGTATATATACACACATATATATAAACACACACAAAGATACACATTTATGAACCATATGCTCAGAAACCCAACCCTGACTTCTGCTGTGTTCATTCACTAGGAAACACTCTGGCTCTGTGATTCGGAATGAAAAGGCTTGTGTGTTATTTCATACACAGATGAGCGATGCAAGAACTGAGAAACTCAAGCCACCCCTATAAGTCAGTTTAATGGGTTGTTATTCATTAAAAACACCACGTTTAACATAAACTCAAGAGGAAAGTCCAATCTTTGTCTCACAAAAGTATATTTGTTTGCTGTTTGTAAACTGAAGATGCTGTTGAACTGTTTGGATTGGCTTTTTCACCACTTGTTTGTATACGTGCAGTAAAGTATTGACAACACAAAATACATATCACTGTCGTTAACCCTATCAGTTCCGAAACCACAGCAAAAATCTGCGTTTCAAAATCGGACTTTCATTCATCTGCATGTGCAGCCCTTACATTTAGCCTCACAATTAAGTGTTTAACCATTTTCTTTTCAGGACAACCAGGGCTACAAGTATAAACAAAATAATTTCACATAAACAGTTGCAATAAGAAAAATAAGGTCAGACAAAGCAAAAACGCGATAAAAATGAATTTATATGAATGCTGAAAATACAGATATTGTTTGCTCAGTGGGAAATGAATATCCAACTAGTCAGAGACAACTGTGTGGCGTTTGTGACACCAACTATGTGAGCTTATTACAGTATTATAGACACTATGTATTGGGATTTCCTATGATATTCTATGTAGAAGAACCCCTTACCTTCTAAGGACTCTTGTGTAGCTTTAGAGCAAAACATGTTATGTGTGTGTTCGTGAGAGTCTCAGCTTTTAGATATCTTTTAATAGTTTGTAGCTGAAACCATTCGGACTCTACAGATGCTTTTGTAAAAAGATCTGGCCGGGCCCCTTCGGGATCTGCCCTTGTCTCACAAACACCGCTCTAGCTCAGCCCCCATTAATCACACAGACTAATTGTTGGTCTAGACGAATCCAATAGTACAACCCAGAAGTCTGTAGCTCAAACACAATGTTTTAAAGGGGTTAGAAGTCCAAAACGCGCCGGCGTCACGATGAGACTAAAAAGTTAACATCGAATTATGTTTCTGTGTCCACAAGTTATATAGATTCAATGGTTGTAAAGATGGGGAGAGGTCTGTCCGTAATAAAGAGACACTCTGCTTTTTTGACACCACACTCCAAAAAGCAAGTTCTGCATGCTCTAGTTTTGTCTAATCTTGATTATTGTCCAGTCGTGTGGTCCAGTGCTACAAGGAAAGACCTAGTTAAGCTGCAGCTGGCCCAAAACAGAGCGGCACGTCTTGCTCTTCATTGTAATCAGAGGTCTGATATAAATACTATGCTTGCCAGTCTCTCTTGGCTAAGAGTTGAGGAGAGACTGACTGCATCACTTCTTATTTTTATAAGAAACATTAATGAAAATCCCAAATTGTTTGCATAGTCAAGTTACACACATCTCTGACACACACACTTACCCCACCAGACAAGCCACCAGGGGTCTTTTCACAGTCCCCAAATCCAGAACAAATTCAAGAAAGCGTACAGTATTATATAGAGCCATTATTGCATGGAACTCCGGTACATCTCAAATAAACAGCAAACCTGGTTTCAAAAAACAGATAAAGCAACACGTCACGGCACAACGCCTCTCCCCTATTTGACCTAGATAGTTTGTGTGTATGTATCGATATATAGGCTACATGTGCCTTTTTTATTTTTTATGTATGTAGTTCTGTCCTTCAGCTGTTCTTGTCTATTAATGTTCTGTATTATGTCATGTTTCATGTGGACCCCAGGAAGAGTAGCTGTTGCTTTTGCAACAGCTAATGGGAATCCTAATAAAATACCAAATACCAAAATAGTGGACATTTAGCAATAGTATCAACTAGGCCTACATGCAAATTTGGAAAGCGGTAATTGTCAAATAGCCACATAAAACTCCTTGGTCTTTGTCTCAACATGTGAAAGACTGTGTGCAAACTTGCACACTAGTAACATGATGGCTCAAAATACTCCTATTCCATCACATTAAAGACTCCACCACAACATCACAAAGTACACTCTTTGGCTTTTTCCAAATGAGCCCCACACTACTTGCTTGGGTGGAGTCTGAAAAGCATAAGTCCTCACACACGTCACTAACTGTAATGTGTGTGAATATATACCAGCGAGCAAGAGACAGAATGCGAGAAAGACAGAAAGCGTGTGGGAAGATTTTGTTAGCATAAAAAAATAGTGTGTACTCTTTTGTAAGTGTTAATCTGTGCGTGTGTTGCAAGGCGGGACTCACTGTCTGTTGCTGTGCTGCCATTGGGCAAAGATCCCAGATCAACAACCAGGCCATCCAGACAGACGTTCAGCTCGCCTCCTGCTACAAGTGAGCCTTTGTTCTCTGTCTGCAAGACCAGACTGAGCTGCAGATTCTCCACTGGAGGGAAAGGGGGAAGTGTGGGATGGAGAGAGGGAAAACGAAAGAAAAAGAAAATGAAGGATTTGGGAAAAGTAAGATAGATGATAAGAGATAGGTTATTGAAGAGCAGTGGTCTATCAACTGCATATAGAAAACCAAAGTTCTTTCTCTTCTTCTTACATGTTCACAATTGTAAACTTGATCTTGCAGTTCGGTAGAGGGTAACCCTAAATATTTTAAACTAGATAGAATAAAATAGAAGCATGACTGGGTGTCCTGCCAACTATCCATGGACAATGACTTATCTAAAAATTAACTTTTATTGTCTTACTCTTGCCATCATGTGTACGCAGAGTGTCTAGCAGGTCAATGGAGGCACTCCCCAGCAACTCCTTCCTCAAGGTGTGGCAGCTCCACAACTTAAGATCTAACCGGCTCTGAGGCGTCACATTCCTATACAACACACAAGTCAAAATCAGATACACAGTCAAATAGGCCTACATTACACACACACTCTAAACAACATACAAGCATCTAGAACAGAGTGAGGTTGAGATAAGGGGGGGGGCTCACAGGGTCAGGTCCTCGTTCCACTGTAGCTCAAGGTGTCCAGTGCGTTTGCCCGTTTTCTTGGTTTCACTAGTCAGGCCATCTGCAGTCACCTCCACAAAAGAGCTGAGTCTGGAGCGGGTGGGCAGCTTGGGTGACTGAGGCTTTGCTGAGACCACTGGGTGAAGAAAACATATAAACAATTGTTGAACATAATAAAGACTACTGTTGTACACCAACCCCAGCCATTCACTAACCTACAGTTTGTAATACAAATCCTTATTACAGCAACTCTGGATTTTTAACTGTATGACAAGCAAACACTAAAATGCAAATGCTGCCCTCTAGCTGAAACAGGCAAACAGGGTGGTAGTTTAGGCACAGTGTCCTTCTGTTCAGAAATGTGTTGTTTGTTCCATATTACTGTGATGCTCACTTTGCCAGCAAAATGTCAAAACGTTCAGGCTACATGGGCTATCCATGTCAGAATGAACATTGAACTTAATTAAATATCCGCTAAGGAAAACATGGGCAGAATAACTGTTAGGATACTGCTGAATCTTATCAATAGGGAGGATAGACCTGAAATATTACAATTATTTAAAACTGTCGAGGTGAATTAAACCTGTTTCATCTGATTTTATACGAGCGGGGGAGCGAGTGATGGGTGACAGCGTAGTAGTGCATGAAATATTAACTGAGGAAAAGAGAGAGAGGAAATAGAGTAATAAAGTGCAGGGAGAACAAATGGAAAAGTGGAATAACAATGGAGGCTGAAAGATGAAAGTGGGACAATAATAGCTTGGGATGGTTCAGGTTGTCATGAGTCTAAGAGAAATTGACACAGACACAGGGAAGAGGAGGATGAGTATTAGAGGACGTTACAAGAGGACGTGATAGATGAGAGGAATTAAAAGTTGCTTATTACCTTTCAAGGTCAACTGTGATTTCCCTGTGGTATGGACATTGCCAGGTCTTGTCACACTGGCTGATGCCATGACATCACAGCCTTGAGAAACACACAGGCACAATTAGAGAACACACATAACTGACATGACACAGCAAACTGTGAAGTAAATCACACACTGCAATACAAAAAAATTGCTAGCTATCTATTTCCCCTGTGTAACCTCCTTTCCAACACACACTGTGGACAACAACATACAGTGCATTCGGGAAAGTATTCAGACCCCTTGACTTTTCCCACTTTTTGTTACATTACAGCCTTATTCTGAAATGGATTAAATTAAACAAAATCCTCATCAATCTACACACAATACCCCATAATGACAAAGCGAAAACAGGTTATTTTTTTTAGCAAATGTATTACAAATAAAAAACTGAAATAACTTACTTACATAAGTATTCAGAACCGTTGCTATGAGACTCAAAATTGAGCTCAGGTGCATCCTGTTTCCATCTATCATCCTTGAGATGTTTCTACAACTTAATTGGAGTCCACCTGTGGTAAATTCTATTGATTGGAGATGATTTGGAAAGGCACACACCTGTCTATATAAGGTCCCATAGTTGACAGTGCATGTCAGAGCAAAAACCAAGCCATGAGGTCGAAGGAATTATCTGTAGAGCTCCGAGACAGGATTGTGTCGAGGCATAGATCTGGGGAAGGGTACCAAAAAATGTCTGCAGCATTGAACGTCTCCAAGAACACAGTGGCCTCAACCATTCTGAAATGGAAGAAGTTTGGAACCACTAAGACTCTTCCTAGAGCTGGCCACCCGGCCAAACTGAGCAATCGGGAGACCGAGCTCCACAGTTCCTCTGTGGAGATGGGAGAACCTTCCAGAAGGACAACCATCTCTGCAGCACTCCACCAATCAGGCCTTTATGGTAGTGGCCAGTCGGAAGCCACTCCTCAGTAAAAGGCTCATGACAGCCCGCTTGGAGTTTGCCAAAAGGCATCTAAAGGACTCGCAGACCATGAGAAACAAGATTGTCTGGTCTGATGAAACCAATATTGAACTCTTTGGCTTAAATGCCGAGCGTCATGTCTGGAGGAAACCGGTGAAGCATGGTGGTGGCAGCATCATGCTGTGGGGATGTTTTTCAGCAGCAGGGACTGGGAGACTAGTCAGGATCGAGGGACAGATGAACGGCGCAAAGTACAGAGAGATCCTTGATGAAAACCTGCTCCAGAGCGCTCAGGACCTCAGACTGGGGCGAAAGTTCAGGACCCTAAGCACACAGCCAAGAAAATGCAGGAGTGGCTTCTGGATAAGTCTCTGAAAGTCCTTGAGTGGCCCAGCCAGAGCCTGGACTTGTATCCCGATCGAACATCTCTGGAGAGACCTGAAAATAGGTGTGCAGCGACGCTCCCCATCCAACCTGACAGAGCTTGAGAGGATCTGCAGAGAAGAATGGGAGAAACTCCCCAAATACAGGTGTGCCTAGCTTGTAGCGTCATACCCAAGAAGACTCGAGGCTGTAATCGCTGCCAAAGGTGCTTCAAAAAAGTACTGAATAAAGGGTCTGAATACTTATGTAAATGTGATATTTCCGTTTTTATTTTTAAGAAATTTGCAAACATTTCTAAAAAAACTGTTTTTGCTTTGTCATTATGGGGTAGTGTGTAGATTGATGAGGAAAAATAACAATTTAATATATTTTTGAATAAGGCTGTAACGTAACAAAATGTGGAAAAAGTCAAGGGGTCTGAATACTTTCCGAAAGCACTGTACATACATTTAGTAAAATAGCAAATCTCATGAATCCTTACAACAGACATGACTTGGCCAGCAATATCATGCCAATGCCACTCACCAATGCCATCTACACTACAGCCAAATGATCATACAATAGCTACAGGTAACTACCAAAATAATGGAAACACTTGAGTAAATGAGGGATATTGAAAGCAGGTGCTTTCACACAGGTGTGGTTCCTGAGTTAATTAAGCAATTAACATGGTTAGGTTTATGTATAAAAAACAATGTTTACTACCATGGCTATGTCCCCATAGGATGACAATGCTTTCATCCACAGGGCACGAGTGGTCACTGAATGGTTTGATGAGCATGAAAAAGATGTAAACCATATGCCATGGCCGTCTCAGTCACCAGCTCTCAACCAATTGAACACTTATCAGTCTGGCTTTCTTGAAAGTTGTAATAGTAAAATGCACACAGTGCAATTTCGAAATTGGGTAGTGCGTCATCAGTTTCCCTTATTATGTCAGTCATTGCATACTTTAGAGAGATATTTAGAACTTGTCAGAAATACCCAGATCAACTAGCCCATGTCAGCTAGGTTTTTTAGCCCATAGATTTTGTAGTAATGTTCGAGTCACTCAAGTATCACATGAATACATGGCAAATTTATAGAATTGCAAGAAAATTCTCTTTAAAACAGCAACATTTTCTCTGCACCCCATGACAAAATGTGCAGAATTGCAGGAAATAAGCTTTAAACCTGCAACATTTTCTCTCAGCCAACAAGAGGGGTGTGAACAGTTTGTGTCACGAACAGTGCTTGTGCCCATAGAAATAAACGTGGGGCGCACGTGGGGCACGGGATGTTCCCCAATTCTGGAAGGGGGGCCTGAGTGAAAAAGTTTGGGAACCCCTGCTCTATGAAATAGTCATAGGAGACATTAATAGCTTGAATAGTTTCGACTTTCAAGTCATATCTGGGTGTTATCACGTCCTACAATAGACATCTTCGGTCCAGCATAAATGTTACCCCCAAAAAATGACTGTAGCTAGCTAACAAAACTGTTAACAAGCCAGCAGATCCGATCCACTTGCTTACAGCTGCACTAGGGACAGACTTCCTGTGTAGATTAAGACACCACGGAGCCGGTGTAAAAATTGGGATTATGGGACATAATCGGAGTACAATGCATTTCTCCTCCCTGGATTGAGGTATGTTTTCCAAGACATATCTCATGCCAGCTATGCTGTGTCTTAATCTACACTGGGGCGGCAGGTAGCTTAGTGGTTAAGAGCGTTGTGCCAGTAACCGAAAGGTCGCTGGTTCTAATCCCGGAGCCGACTAGGTGAAAAACCTGTCGATGTGCCCTTGAGCAAGGCACTTAACCCTAATTGCTCCTGTAAGTCGCTCTGGATAAGAGCGTCTGCTAAATGACCAATTTTTTTTTTTTTACACAGGAAGCCTGTCTGACCCTAGTGCAGCTGTAAGCAAGCAGGTCAGATCTGCTGGCTAACCGTTAACTAGTTAGCTATCACATACATAAGTGCAGGGCTAGTCTGATAAGGTTTGATATCTCTTAGCCAATAACTTGGATCGTTGCCAAGTCCTTGTGAATCACCCTGCAATTTAAAGCTGCAACATGTCACTTTTTGGGCGGCCTGACCAAACTCACATAGTTATAGATATGTCATTCTCATTGAAAGCAAGTCTAAGAAGCGGTAGATCTGTTCTATGTGGCTATTTCTATGCTTGCCGTTCTTAAATTTCGTTTTTGCTTCTTTTACTTTAGGTTTTGTACACCCGCAATTTTTTTGGTTATTGAGAATATATTTTACAATGATTTAGATGGTACAATGATTCTCTACACTGCTTGGTTTGTCACATAACTGAAATTAGGCGAACTATTTGAATTTCAGCAACCAGGAAAGGCTGAGCGATTTCTGCATATTGCACCTTTAACCACTGATGATGGTGAAAGAACATTAGCTAGCTAAACGATGGTTAATGATTAGCCTGTAGCTAGCTATCGTTAGCAAGCTAGCTAAGCAGTGTTATCAGAGACGGAAGAGGATGCGAGACATCCCACTCCCTCATTTGTTCTGTTTCAATGGAAGTCAATTATCCTACAGTCATTACAATGAACTACGTAGACCAGACACAGCTGTTATCGCATTGGTGTCTATGGGAGGGCCACCCCCTTAAGTAGACAGGAACACTGACAATTTTTTCAATGGTAAACGAACGGTGTGAACTATCCTCATTTATCCACCATCTTTGGTGTCATCCCAACAAACATTTACTCAACATTTACTGCGTGTAAGATGCACAGGGTGAGACATCGCATTTGCTGCTAACTACTAGCTCAATTTACATCGATTAACTGTACACATCAAAACCTCAAATTGGCTCATTGCCTCCTTATTTAAATACCCTGCGCACAAAAACAAAACACGGAAGATGGTGAGCTATTTTAATGCTAGCCAACAGCTTTGTGTAGGCATAAGGACATGACAGCCACATTTTCTCGTAAACGTAGTTAGATAAATGCGTACTATTTAAGATATGTTTTCTACAACACTATTTTACTTGACATTGCTGGCAATGTATTTCGTTTATTTTCTCATAAATACCTTTTTCAGCTGTGGTCCTCTGGTACCGCTTGCTGGTTAACTTTCATTTCCGCCTGCCTCAATGACGGGGTCACGTGATTCATAGTAAAACGCTGGCGCGATTAATTGTGGTTCACAACATGCAAATACAGGTACAGTAATTTGACCGCTATAATAAACCAAAGATAACAATGCATGTTTATTTAAAAGTACATTTGCCCCCCTTTACCGGCAAACCTATATGTGACAAAAAGGAGAACATTTTAAGTGCTGGAAAGATAATATCAAATACACAAACTATCTGAAATAAAGTCAAAACAATATATAAATACAATAGAAATTATCTTCATAAAATATGTTAAATACTTAAGTATATTTCTTCCTAGAAAGTCCAAACAGTTTATTAAATCTCGGTAAGAGGGCCAGCACATCACAACTATCACATTTCTTATAGCTTTATAAGCTTGCCAAAGTATTAAGTACAATTCAGCTATATACTGTATTTCACTCTGTTCACACTGTGTGTGAATTCAACATGGTGTGGTTGCCCAGTAAAAAGTAACAACACAATTCAATTGGAAGCTATACTGTATATTTCACACTGTGCTTGAACTCAACATGGTGTGGTTTCCCAATAGTTTTCACCAGGCAGTTAGTTACCAGTAGTCTGAAAAAAGTTGGCTATGATCCATAAGCTTACAGTAAATGTTGGGTGACCTGTGAACAAAACCATATGTTGATAAACAGTGAATAAGCAGCCCTATCTTTCATGTGTGATTGAGTCACATAATGACAGGACATAGGCTCCAAAGATTCAAATTAAAAAGAATTATGAATAGCTGTGAAGGTGTAGATTTATTTGGTCTTTCAACAAAAATTAGAAAAAAAATTATATCTGTGATTACTCCCTACAAATGGACGAATGCTGAACTGGACAGTAGTCTTTCAAAGATATCAAAAAGTGCTAGAGCCTATCCAAAGTCAGTATAAGGGAGTGATCATGACAAACAGTCAGCAGCGGACAGTCCAGGAGGATGTTGGCCATGGTGACTCATGTAGTGGTCATGGAAATAGGTCATCACAGCCAGGGGAGGACCGAGTAGCAAGCACAGCCACACCAGCCCACTGCCATAGTTACCCCTGAAATAGTGACCAAGGTAAACAGCTACCAGGAGCTGGGACAGGGAAAGAGAAGTGGGTGTTAACATGAATGTTCACACAAACTGCATGAACACATATAGACTTATACTGTATGGTAATTCAGTGTCACTCACCTTAAAGATCCTCATGAGGAAGATCCCTAGACGACAGTTGTGCAAGGGCAGAGCAATGACATATTGCAAGGCACAACAAAACAAACAAAATGTTAATACATCAATCAAATTGTATTGGTCGCATACACATATTTAGCAAATGTTATTGCGGGTGTAGGGAAATGCTTGTGTTCCTAGCTCCAGCAGTGCAGTAATATCTTAACAATTCACAACAATACACACAGATCTAAAATTATAAGAATGGAATTAAGAAATATATAAATATTTGGACGAGCAATGTCGGAGTCCGGAGTATAAATATATATATATGTGCTGGGATGTATATTGACATTATAGACATTATGGACAGTATGTGGGTTGAATATTTAGTATATCTGTAGAATACGTAGGGTAGTATAGTATATACTGTATACAGCAATAGTTAAATAGGATGGCATTGACTAGAATACAGTATATACATAAGAAATTAGTAAAACAGTATGTAAACATTATAAAAGTGACCAGTGATTCCATGTCTATGTACATAGGGCAGCAGCCTCAAGGTGCAGAGTTGAGTAACCGGGTGGTAGCCGGCTAGTGACAGTGACTAAGTTCAGGGCAGGGTACTGGGTGGAGGCCAGCTAGTGATGGCTATTTAACAGTGTGATGGCCTTGAGATTGAAGCTGTTTTTCAAGTCTCTCGGTCCCAGCTTTGATGCACCTGTACTGACCTCGCCTTCTGGATGATAGCAGGGTGAACAGGCCGTGCCTCGGGTGGTTGATGTCCTTAATGATCTTTTTGGCCTTCCTGTGACATCGGGTGCTGTAGGTGTCCTGGAGGGCAGGCAGTGTGCCCCCCGGTGATGCGTTGTGCAGACCGCACCACCCTCTGGAGAGCCCTGCGGTTGTGGGTGGTGCAGTTGCCGTACCAGGCGGTGATACAGCCTGACAGGATGCTCTCCATGGTGCATCTGTAAAAGTTTGTGAGGGTCTTAGGGGCCAAGACAAATTTCTTCAGCCTCCTGAGGTTGAAGAGGTGCTGTTGCGCCTTCTTCACTACACTATCTGTGTGGATGGACCATTTCAGATTGTCAGTGATATGTACGCCGAGGAAAGATTTTTACCTTCTCCACTGCGGCCCCGTCGATGTGGATGCTCCACTGCTGTCTCCTGAAGTCCACGATCAGCTCCTTCATTTTGTTGATGTTGAGGGACAGGTTATTTTCCTGGCACCACTCCGCCAGGGCCCTCACCTTCTCCCTGTAGGCTGTCTCGTCATTGTTGGTAATCAGGTCTACTACTGTTGTGTCATCTGCAAACTTGATGATTGAGTTGGAGGCGTGCGTGGCCACGCAGTCATGGTTGAACAGGAAGTACATGAGGGGACTACTGCACCCACTAACTAAAAAACTAACTGGTTCCAACTGACATAACTGGAGATGAAACCGACCCCTGACGACACCAACTGTTGGTTTCTTGGTAAGAATAAAGCTTGAGCCCAAGAACAGTGTAGGTCCATGAGAGAGAAGTATGCTCCTCCTAATGGGTAGACAGTCAAACAGTCTGACCAGACAGGGTGAGTCATCATCTCAAGTTGAGGTGCAAATTCACATAAAGCTATATCTGATTTATAGCAACTGAGCCATAACAACCTGGAATTTCAGGTGCAGGTCAATATCTGTGCAGATCATTTTTGGGGTATTTACCTGTTGATCTTGAAGAATCATATAGAATGGTGACAGCAGGAAAAGTGTAAGTTATCCCATGTGCCCCAGGTGTAAACAATGCCCTGCAATGGGGGATAGTGTTCCCTAGAATCAACACATACATCAACCTTTGTGAGACAGTTCACATAGCTGAGCCTCTCCTATTTGAAAAGTAGGGGTAGACTTGTCTCACCTTATCCAGACACCTCTCAAGTAGAAGAGTAGCAATAGCAAACATATTGGCAGCTGCAAGGGTGAGAGAAGCATGAAGGATGAGTGAGTTTATTACTCATATTCATTAACAGTATATTCATTGTGCAGTTGGTTGAGGTAGGGTACTATATATCAAAGCTGACAATAGTGCAGTGATGAGAAAGCCTCACCCAGTATCAGGTTGACAGATGGCCAGTTATAATTGTCCTTCATAAGGTGCTCCAAGACTTTCCTCAAATCAATTAAGAAGCCATGTCTGTTCAAAAGAGAGAAAAATAAAACACATGAATTGCTAATCGTGTGTGTGTGTGTGTCATGTACTCACTGTATGTCCCCTGTAGCTCAGTTGGTAGAGCATGGCGCTTGCAACGCCAGGGTTGTGGGTTCGTTTCCCACGGGGGGCCAGTATGGGAGAATCTCAATTGCATACTCCTCGCATCCCCTCTCCTCGCCTGCTTTTCAAAACCCATTGGATGGGAAAGCCAGAGCGCCCGCCCCTCTGACCTTCTCCTCCAATGGGTTTTGAGGAGGCGTGGAGAAAGGACGCAAGGATAATGCGATTGAGATTATCCCCAAAATATCAACGCGCCGCCATGCAGGGGGCAGTGTTGCCAATTTAGCGACTTTGTCGCTATATTTTGTGAGTATTCAGACCCCTCTAGCGACACATTTTCAAAAAAGCGACTAGCGACAAATCTAGCGACTTTTTCTGGTGTTATTGGAGACGTTTGGAAACTCTGACGTGAAAGCACGTATCGTTCTTACTCTTCTCATGAGCAGCGGGAGCTGCCGTGGCCCCACCCCCATCTACAACCTGTGAGGAGGACAAGGGTGTTCTCAAGACACCCTTGTGATGCTGTAGGTTTCTCTTATCTTCAAACATTGATGCGGTGACACCTTGGGACCATTAGTAGGCTGCATATCCCCAAGTCACAGTGACTGCTCACCTATGCTCTAATTTGCCACCTTGTTTAGATTAAAAGGCAATCACTTTCAAGCTGGATGAAAATTGGGATTTATTGTTTAAAAAACTGTTTTTCAGTACACAAAATAAACAATTCAAAACAAGGAATTCTCCTGCGAACAACTTCTACGAAGCGGAAAAATACAAATATATCAGAGAATGAAGAGAAAAGACAAAACAATATGGCAGATGTAGAAACAACGGATGATATCAGTATGTGAGCTCTTGGCTGGATCAACTTTTCTCCTGCCTATATCACAAATTTGCCACCATCAAAAAAGTTCATGATTTGCAACTGGGTCTGCTTCAGATCTCTGTGAGCGGTGTAGAACTGGCTAAAACTGCAGGTCTTAGTTGATTGTGAGGACATCACTCTGGATTTCGTGGCTCAGCTGGGTCTGTAAATCACTCAGTTTCTTTTTCAGCACTGCCAGAGCAGACATGACGATGGTCTCCGGTCGCAGTGAGCCACATGTCTCCACGTTGTAATAGAACCTGCAAAAGTTTGTGCCACAACAGAAATTAACAGGTCTCTGCCATCTTTCCTACTGATCATTATTCACCATCTTTGTCATCACATACTGTTTTAACACCATCAAAACCTGTATCACACAGTTATTGTCATCATCATAGGAATGGACAGTTGACACTGATGATGCACAAAATAAATGCTCCATAACAGACTGCATTGATTACATTGGTACTGACTTGTAAAGAACCATTTAGACTCCAATTAACTGATACTCACCGCTCAGGTTTGCCATTGGGGTCAAAGGGTGCTTGCACCTCATCCTCCTCAATCTCTGAGTATTCACTCTTTGGCCTGAGACCGAGAATAACAGGGTCAATTCACAGTAACACTCTCCCTCACCGAATACTGTCATGTGTCTCCCTTAAGAACATTAAAATGTAACACACCATTCCTCTGGCCGTGGATAAACAGTGTGCCTCAGTGCATTGTCTGGGTCATACTCAAAGGACACCCCTGCTGTAGGGTTCCACTTGGCATGCTCCTTGCCAAAGCCTTTCTTGGCATAAGCTCTGAGACGCAGCTCCTGACCCTTCCGAAGCTTCACCAGCAAAATGTCTGACGAGAGGAAGGAGGCAGAGCCAAGATGAGGAGGAGGGTAGAATTATAAACGCGAGCAGCAATGCATGTAAGAGACCAAATATTTCTAATAAAATATTTTAATAGAAAACCATGGGAAAGAGCAGCCTACCATCCTGTTCAACATAGTCATTGGGATCATTGTCTCGACTCTTGGAGGTCACCTGAAGATCACATAAGTCAACTCACTTCTGAACAAAATAATAAGTGGAGGAAAATCTGTATGTGAATTATTGTTGAATGGAAGCTCACTCACAGGAATGACTCGAGGGTGGTTGGACAGCAGGTCTCGTGAGGTCACATGGCGGGTCTGGTCTTCTGTGCAGCGAACGTCCAGTGTCAGTTCAACAGAGCATTCTGGGCAGAAATCGTCACATGTACAGTCCTATGGTAGATGGGAATAGAGGGGCAAAGCATTAGTGGTTTTATCTTCAAGTGAGCATGGCTGGCAATGTAACTTTCAGCCATTGTCTGGTCTTCATCAGGTGTCCAAATGCTTACTCTGGAGTACTGCATCTTGTCCACAACGTCATCACTGGTAAGGGGGATAAGACCTGAAAATGTGACCATAGACTTAGTGATCAGTACAATATTGTTATAAAGGAGAATACAAGGGACAGAAAAAATGTAGAATCGTATAATACGCTCTGGATAAGAGCGTCTGCTAAATGATGTAATACACTAGCTACATACCCACTCTGTGAGCGATAAACTCGTCGTGGATCACAGAAGAATTTGCATCAATTTGAATCCAATCAATAGCTGAAATGAGACATAATGACATGAACACTTCCGCAAATATTAATCATTGCGGGGACATGACCAACACAAATGTCTACACGTTCATGAGATTCTAAGTAACACTGATGAGAACAAGCACAGGTGATGCTGTATCTTACCTAGTCTGATTAATCAGGCTGTAATACACAATTAATTGGTATATACAGCCTGACACGAATGCCCGCAAAACCATGTAAATGTTCCTTACAAGCCAGAATGTTGAATAAAATTACATTTAAACTTACTCTACCGGTTGTCTGTGCGGTTTTGTCCTTCAGCTGCTCATAATTTGAGATAAAATATCCACAGGAATGTATTGTTTACCCTACTTTATAGAGAGCCGGTAATTTGCCTCTAAAAAGTTGTGTAAACAATACTTTCCTGTGGATATTTTTGTCTCAAATTCCGAGAAGGGTGTAATTGCAGACCGCAATTAGGGGCGTTTTCTGATATCGGATTTTCTTGATGTGAAGTTACACCCATTGATGCTCGCTATTGGTCCGTGGATGTTTCTTTTACTTCAGGGACATCAGTTGTTGACTGTAGCATTGTAGCTAAGCCTAACCCCAACTTTTTCCTAACCTCATTCTCCTAAGCCTGCCACGCCAGTAATTATCCTACCAAATACAACAGGTGTAGACCTTACCATGAAATGCTTACTTACAAGCCCTTAAACAATGCAGAGTAAGAAAGTATTTTCTAAATAAACAAAAGTAAAAAATAAGAGCAACAATTAAATAACAATAACGAGGCTATATACAGGGAGTACCGGTACCGAGTCAATGTGCGGGGAATAAACAGCGAGTAGGGGGGGGGTAGCAGAGAGAACAGTCTATGACTAGGGTGGCTGGAGTCTTTGGCAATTTTTAGGGCCTTCCTCTGACACCACCTGGTATAGAGGTCCTGGATGGCAGGAAGCTTGGCCCCAGTGATGTACTGGGCTGTACGCACTACCCTCTGTAGCGCCTTGCGGTCGGAGGCCGAGCAGTTCCGATACCAGGTGGTGATGCAACCAGTCAGGATGCTCTCGATGGTGCAGCTGTAGAACTTTTTGAGGATCTGAGGACCCATGCCAAATCTTTTCAGTCTCCTGAGGGGGAATAGGCGTTGTCGTGCCCTCTTCACGACTGTCTTGGCGTGTTTGGACCATGCTAGTTTGTTGGTGATGTGGACACCAAGGAACTTGAAGCTCTCAACCTGCTCCACTACAGCCCCGTCGATGAGAATGGGGGCGTGCTCGGCCCTCCTTTTCCTGTAGTTCACGATAATCTCCTTTGTCTTGATCACGTTGAGGGAGAGGTTGTTGTCCTGGCACCACATGCTCAGAGTACACGTCCTGGTAATCCGTCTGGCCCTGCGGCCTTGTGAATGTTGACCTGTTTAAAGGTCTTACTCACATCGGCTACGGCGAGCGTGATCACCCAGTCGTCCGGAACAGGTGGTGCTCTCATGCATGCTTCAGTGTTGCTTGCCTCGAAGCGCACATAGAAGTCGTTTAGCTAGTCTGGTAGGCTTGTGTCAATGGGCAGCTCGCAGGCTGGGCTTCCCTTTGTAGTCTGTAATACACTGCTCAAAAAAATAAAGGGAACACTTAAACAACCCAATGTAACTCCAAGTCAATCACACTTCTGTGAAATCAAACTGTCCACTTAGGAAGCAACACTGATTGACAATACATTTCACATGCTGTTGTGCAAATGGAATAGACAACAGGTGGAAATTATAGGCAATTAGCAAGACACCCCCAATAAAGGACTGGTTCTGCAGGTGGTGACCACAGACCACTTCTCAGTTCCTATGCTTCCTGGCTGATGTTTTGGTCACTTTTGAATGCTGGCGGTGCTTTCACTCTAGTGGTAGCATGAGACGGAGTCTACAACCCACACAAGTGGCTCAGGTAGTGCAGCTCATCCAGGATGGCACATCAATGCGAGCTGTGGCAAGAAGGTTTGCTGTGTCTGTCAGCGTAGTGTCCAGAGCATGGAGGCGCTACCAGGAGACAGGCCAGTACATCAGGAGACGTGGAGGAGGCCGTAGGAGGGCAACAACCCAGCAGCAGGACAGCTACCTCCGCCTTTGTGCAAGGAGGAGCAGGAGGAGCACTGCCAGAGCCCTGCAAAATGACCTCCAGCAGGCCACAAATGTGCATGTGTCTGCTCAAACAGTCAGAAACAGACTCCATGAGGGTGGTATGAGGGTCCGACATCCACAGGTGGGGGTTGAGCTTACAGCCCAACACCGTGCTGGACGTTTGGCATTTGCCAGAGAACACCAAGATTGGCAAATTCACCACTGGCGCCCTGTGCTCTTCACAGATGAAAGCAGGTTCACACTGAGCACATGTGACAGACATGACAGAGTCTGGAGACGCCGTGGAGAACGTTCTGCTGCCTGCAACATCCTCCAGCATGACCGGTTTGGCGGTGGGTCAGTCATGGTGTGGGGTGGCATTTCTTTGGGGGCCCGCACAGCCCTCCATGTGCTCGCCAGAGGTAGCCTGACTGCCATTAGGTACCGAGATGAGATCCTCAGACCCCTTGTGAGACCATATGCTGGTGCGGTTGGCCCTGGGTTCCTCCTAATGCAAGACAATGCTAGACCTCATGTGGCTGGAGTGTGTCAGCAGTTCCTGCAAGAGGAAGGCATTGATGCTATGGACTGGCCCGCCCATCCCCCGGACCTGAATCCAATTGAGCACATCTGGGACATCATGTCTCGCTCCATCCACCAATGCCACGTTGCACCACAGACTGTCCAGGAGTTGGCGGATGCTTTAGTCCAGGTCTGGGAGGAGATCCCTCAGGAGACCATCCACCACCTCATCAGGAGCATGCCCAGGCGTTGTAGGGAGGTCATACAGGCACGTGGAGGCCACACACACTACTGAGCCTCATTTTGACTTGTTTTAAGGACATTACATCAAAGTTGGATCAGCCTGTAGTGTGGTTTTCCACTTTAATTTTGAGGGTGACTCCAAATCCAGACCTCCATGGGTTGATAAATTTGATTTCCATTGATAATTTTTGTGTGATTTTGTTGTCAGCACATTCAACTATGTAAAGAAAAATGTATTTAATAAGATTATTTCATCCATTCAGATCTAGGATGTGTTATTTTAGTGTTCCCTTAATTTTTTTGAGCAGTGTAGTTTGCAAGCCCTGCCACATACAACGAGCGTCGGAGCCTGTGTAGTAGGATTCAATCTTAGTCCTGTATTTACGCTTTGCCTGTTTGATGGTTCATCTGAGGGCATAGCTGGATTTCATATCAGCGTCCAGGTTAGAGTCCCGCTCCTTGAAAGCAGCAGCTCTACCCTTTAGCTCAGTGCGGATGTTGCCTGTAATCCATGGCTTCTGGTTGGGGTATGTACGTATGGTCACTGTGGGGACATCGTCGTCGATGCACTTATTGATGAAGCCGGTGACTGATGTGGTATACTCCTTAATGCCATCGGATGAGTCCCGGAACATATTCCAGTCAGTGCTAGCAAAACAGTCCTGTAGTTTAGCATCTGCGTCATCTGACCACTTCCGTATTGAGCGAGTCACTGGTACTTCCTGCTTTAGTTTTTGCTTGTAAGCAGTAATCAGAAGAATAGAATTATGGTCAGACTTGCCAAATGGAAGGCGAGAGAGAGCTTTGTACGCGTCTCTGTGTGTGGAGTAAAGGTGGTCTAGAGTTTTTTTTTTCCTCTGGTTGCACATGTAACATGCTGGTTGAAATGATGTAAAACTGATTAAAGTTTCCCTGCATTAAAGTCCCCGGCCACACCTCTGGATGAGCATTTTGAGTGAGGTCTTAGAGCCAGCATCGGTTTGTGGTGGTAAATAGACAGCTACGAAAAATATAGATAAACTCTTGGTAAATCAAATCAAATTTTATTTGTCACATACACGTGTTTAGCAGATGTTATTGCGGGTGTAGCGAAATGCTTGGTCTACAGTTTATCATGAGATACTCTACCTCAGGCGAGCAAAACCTCAAGACTTCCTTAATATTTAATTTCGCACACCAGCTACTTTTGACAAATAGACACAGATCGCCACCCCTTGTCTGTTTTGTCTTGCCGATGCACGGAAAAACCAGCCAACTGTATATTATCCATGTCTTCGTTCAGTCACGACTCAGTGAAACATAAGATATTACAGTTTTTAATCTGCATGTTATTTATCCTAACCTATGTAAACAAATAATCTGTGTAGAGAAACCAGTCACATAACCCCGGAACTGACCAATGGCAGGCACCAATTGGCGTTACCTGATATCAAGGAACGCCCACATCAAGAAACGCCTCGAATTGCGGTTTGCATTTACACCATATTGCCAATTTTTAACAGCTGAATGACAAACCGCACATACAACCGGTAGAGTAAGTTTAAATGTAATTTTATTCAACTTCTGGCTTGTAAGGAACATTTATTTACACGATTTAGCAGGCATTCGTTTCAGGCTGTATATCCTAGTACCAATTAATTGTGTACAGCCTGATTAATTAGACTTTCTTACCTATTGTTGCAACCTCTGACATAAAGACACGTCGGATGGAATTCGCAACCCTGTGTAAATCAGACGACACATGTGAAAGAATGAATGTGAAACTTCAGGCAATAGCAGTCTCTTGTAATAAGATGATCTAACAGCAAGCCCTCCATGTCGTCGAGCACCACGACCCCAAAGGTAAGAGGCAGGAGAGTCGCTGGTTTGAGCCTCGCTACGCCATCCTTGCAAGCCAACTAGCTAATTAGTTAGTTACACATGTCTCAATTTCCATTGCTACTTATTCATTCACGTACATCTAGTTACAACGACTGAAAAATGAACATCGTGCTGTGGTTATCAAGTTTATCGCAGGCGCGCTAACTAGCTACCTATCAAGAACGTTATCTACCTTCATTGGCTACCCTCTCGCAAGCTTGCTAGCTAACAACTTTTTGATAATCCGTTTAATGGTTACTCACGACAGGTCGGTGTTCTCAATGACAAATTTAACATTCTCATCCGTCAGTTCTGTGATTTTCACTATTGGCTGGTTAGCATACGGCATGGTTAACGTATAAGAAAAGCAATATACAGTAAAGTTTGCAAACCAGATGCTAGTCCTGTCGGTGTATTAAAGAAAACAACGCCACCCGGAGGGCCTCAAATTGCTTACCACTCATTGGCCAAAATAAATTAATAAAGTCTGATGGGGTCACAGTTGTGGTGGGCGGGTTCTTTTTAACATCCGGGTCACACCCCCGTGACGTCTAGAAATATGTTTCAAACGATTTTTTTTTTGCACCAAGAAAATCTATGCAGTGTTGTTCACTGTAAGGAACTATGGCTAGGTGTTAATAAACACAGGATATCTCTAATCTAGATCTGTTTCTTAGTTGACACATTCCAATTATGCTTTGTCCTCATCCTAAATCAATAACTGGAGAAAAAAAAAATCACACTGTTCTGTTGTAAATAATATGTAATTTATTTAAGAACTCTCAATGGAGCCGAACAAAAATGTTTCAAATACAATCACTTTTTGTGTCCTTTATACAAAAGGAATAAGGGATATGAGCGTGCATGAGGGAAAACCGTTTTAAACAAACTGCTGACTGGCAGAGATCCGAGGGGATGGTGGAACAGAAATAGCCATCTTGTTTCACCGTCTCTGGTTAAGTCCGGTTAGATTCTTCAGCTGAAAAATAGAGAAATCTCCAGTCACTACTAAACACACAAAATACAATTGGAACCAAACAAATACAGTGCCTGGTATTATCATTTAAACAATGTAGAATTTTGAAAAAAAGCCTCCCAAGGTTACAAGCAATGCTGCTGTGCGTATTCAAGACACAGATACAACAGATCTTCACAATGCCTAGAGAAGCGTTTAAGCTGTCAATTTGTTATAATAATCCTTTATTCTGTGCATCTCAAACATGCGTATTCTCTCTAGCATCCTCACCGTAACAGCAGCTCCCATAAGCCCCTGCACCACTGCTTCTCCTGTGGATGCCACCTACAGGTCACAATAGCAAAAGAGATTTCAATTACACGTATTGAGTTCCCTTAATATAGGTTGTATACTAGTGAGGTCTTTCTAATGATTTATACATTTTATTACTGGTGACCTTTTACCTAATTTAAGGGACTATACACAGACTGAGGAAATGGTACCTGTTTGGCGGCGCCGGCCATGTTGACAATATCCTGAATGCGGTTGTCAAGGAAGTTCCAGGTGTCCTGGAAGTCTTCTGAGGAGTCCTGTACCATCACCAGCTCTGTGGTGTTATAGATCCCTGTCAGTGCAGCCCGTTTCGTATACCAGTTCAACTGAGATGGGAACAGAGGGAAAACTGAAAAAAAATGATTTTGATAGACAGATACAGCATAGTGGTTGTTGACAGGCTATACCAAAACCTTAATCAAGAGGGAAATATAAGTATTTGTATTAGGCAGATTAACAAATAATGTTAGTAGCACCCACATATAAAAGAGGGATATTATAGAGCATAGGAGATGGATTAAAGGAGTAAACAGAGTTAAAAGTGAGAGGGACAGGGAGAGTGCAGTGAGGAGAGGTGGTGAGTAGTAACCTTTGCAGAGGCAGGCCAGATAGTATGAGGTGCATGATGAAAGGGGGTGAGGAAGACATGGGGAGAGATGTACTTAGGCTGAGGGGATCGACTCACATCTGTGGAGCGGTCTCCAGCATAGTACCAGATATCATCTACCAGGGTGGAGAGGTGCTTCAGACTGTCTGCAATGTTGTGTGGCAGAAACATAATACTCATAGCCTGGAGAAAGGAAGATATACTTTAAATCAGCAGAAAAAAACAGATCTTTGTTACCGAGTGTAATAAATGTTTTTAATATAAGTGGGAGAGACTAAGAATGTGGATGGCAGTGATACATTTCTTCTAAGTAAGCTGTATGACACATTTGTGCACAGCACAGGAGGCTGCTGAAGGGAGAACGGCTCATAATAATGGCTGGAACGGAGCAAATGGAATGGCATCAAACACATGGAAACCATGTTTGATACCATTCCACTTATTCCGCTCCAACCATTATCACGAGCCAGTTCTACCCAATTAAGGTGCCACCAACCTCCTGTGGTGTACAGGTGTAATAAATGGTTGCCTCTATTAGTGTGTAAAGAAGACGTTACAAGATTAGGCTACCTTATACCAAGGAGTAGCTTGAACTGGTTCAAGGTGCAGGGATTAACTGTCACGTGTTTAAGGTCAAGGGCACATAGGGCCCAATTGTTATCCTGTGTTGTGTGCAAGATACCTGTGGCCAATTATCAATGTATGGGGTCAACATCCTCAATCTGATTTCCACGGCATCCCTAAGAAACTCAGCAGTTTTCTTTGGTCTGCAAGAAATACTGTGGTTAACACATGCTCACACACACACCAATAACAATCGCATACATGTTTAAATCCTAACTGCACAGTATAAGTGCAATATAATTCTTCCACCTGCTAATTTGAGAGTGAGGGAACATACTCTGCTTGACCAAGTTGGACCTGATTGTGATGCTCTGCCAGTTGCTCTGTTAGCTGGGTATTGGACTGAGCGATGAAGTGCAGGACCAGGTCCCCTGCCCCATTCTGGAACATTCCACTGGAGGCTGCTGAGAGGCCCAGGGTCTGCTCAGAGGAAAACAGTAATAGGAAAGCAACAATCATATTTAGTCACATTACCTTTAACTCTCCAACCTCTCCATCCACACAATTACAGTGAATCCAACTTCCCTAGACTCACTCACCTCAGCTCCTGCTGAAATGGCCTCAACAGTCCAACCATGTAGTGGGACAAAGTCCAGCGCAGCGTTAAGGATGCGCGCTTGCAGTTGCTCCTCTGTTTCATAATTTTCTCCTTGTTCTCCACTCTGGCCTGCATAACTGCACCATCACAGAGAGAACACAGCATAGACGGTTGGCATACACACGTCAGAAGTATCTTAAGAACAAAATTACTATGTTGTTCCAGTAGCAATGTAATCTCTCGCGGACAGATGCACGTAACAAATGGTAGTAGCATCTGTCAATTGGAACTTTGTTATGGTACGCAGATTTTTCTTCACTGATCATTTGGACAAATCACAATTTTTTCAGGTGTGGAGTGTACATTTGGCCCAAAGACTTGCCAGAAACTGGCTGAGAGTTACCGTTTAGAGGGGTGGAGATTTCGCTAATCTCGTTAGTACATTTTATAACATGTCTCCCCCTAGAACTTATTCAAGCATCTGACACACTAAAGATTTTAGTTCTGGGTGTCCAAAATTAACAGCAATGCCACAACATGGTATGGTAATGTTATGCATTGGTAAGGTGTGTAAGTGTCAGTTTGCGGTATCATCCTAACCTGGTGTTGGGCTGGGGAGCCTCCTCAGCAACAGCCTCAGGTGCAGCAGCTTCCTGCGTTGATGTGGCTGTGTCATGTTCAGATGGGTGAGCTTGGTAATGCTCGTGGAAGGTTGTAGTTGAGGATGCAGCAGAGGTGGAGGATGGAGGGACTGGGATGGACTTGTCCTCCTGAAGCCGAAGTGCAGCACAATGCAAGCCTCGTCTCAGGCCATCACACTGGGGACTGGATGTTTTTGGAACTACCACTAGAATAAATAATCAGAGAATGATGATTTAATGATGTTCATACTGAAACTTTGCATCCTGTGTCCTGAGCACATGTATTAGCCTAACTTATACTGAACAAAAATATAAATGCAACAGTTTCAAATATTTTACTGAGTTACAGTTCATATAAGCAAATCAGTCAATTTAAATAAATAAATTAAGCACTAATCTATGGATTTCACATGACTGGGAATACAGATATGCATCTATTGGTCACAGATACCTTCAAAAAAAATGTAAGGGCGTGGATCAGAAAACCTGTCAGTATCTGGTGTGACCACCATTTGCCTCAAGAAGCGCGACATCTCCTTCGCATAGAGTTGATCAGGCTGTTGATTGTGGCCTGTGGAATGTTGTCCCACTCCTCTTCAATGGCTGTGCGAAGTTGCTGGATATTGGCGTGAACTGTAACGCTGTCGTACACGTCAATCCAGAGCATCCCAAACGTGCTCAATGGGTGACATGTCTGGTGCGTATGCAGGCCATGGAAAAACTGGGACATTTTCAGCTTCCAGGAATTGTGTACAGATCCTTGCGACATGGCCGTGCATTACGTGACATTACATTGCATGCTGAAACATGGTGATGGCGGCGGATTAATGGCACGACAATGGGCCTCATGATCTCGTCAAGGTATCTCTGCATTCACATTGCCATCGATAAAATACAACTGTGTTCGTTGTCCGTAACTTATGCCTGTCCATACCATAAACCCACTGCCACCATCGGGCACTCTGTTCACACCGTTGACATCAGCAAACCGCTCACCCACACGACACCATACATGTGGTCTGCGGTTGGACGTACTGCCAAATTCTCTAAAACAACGTTGGAAGTGGCTTATGGTAGAGAAATTAATATTACATTCTCTGGCAACAGCTCTGGTGGACATTCCTGCTGTCAGCATGCCAATTGCACCCTCCTGCAAAACTTGAGACGTCGGTGGCATTGTGTTGTGACAACTGTATATTTGAGTGGCCTTTTGTCCCCAGCACACGTTCTCTCACGTCACCCCGCTCCTCCGCACACTCCACTGGCTTCCAGTTGAAGCTCGCATCTGCTACAAGACCATGGTGCTTGCCTACGGAGCTGTGAGGGGAACGGCACCTCCGTACCTTCAGGCTCTGATCAGTCCCTACACCCAAACGAGGGCATTGCGTTCATCCACCTCTGGCCTGCTGGCCCCCCTACCTCTGCGGAAGCACAGTTCCCGCTCAGCCCAGTCAAAACTGTTCGCTGCTCTGGCACCCCAATGGTGGAACAAGCTCCCTCACGACGCCAGGACAGCGGAGTCCCTCACCACCTTCCGGAGACAACCCCACTTCTTTAAGGAATACCTGGGATAGGATAAAGTAATCCTTCTACCCCACCCCAAAGAAAAAAAAAACATATTGTAAAGTGGTTATCCCACTGGCTATAAGGGGAATGCACCCACTCGGGAGACTGTAAATGTAAATGTATGTGCACCTGTGTAACGATCATGCCGTTTAATCAGCTTCTTGATATGCCACACCTGTTAGGTGGATAGATTAGATCTTGGCAACGGAGAAATGCTCACTAACAGGGATGTAAACAAATTCGTGCACAACATTTTAGAGAAAAGCTATGTGCGAATGAAAAAGGTCTGGGATCTTTTATTTCAGCTCATGAAACGTGGGACCAACACTTTACATGTTGCGTTTATATTTTTGGTCAGTATAGTTGGCAAATAATGTCTCAAAAGTCCCATAATACTTTTTCAAAATGTTGATAGTACAAATCTCATATCACCTCAGCGTGGGGGAGGAGAGAAGAGTCCCTATGTAGTTTGTGAAAACACACAAGCTGACTCGACACCCTCTCACAATTTAAGTGGTTAATTATTGCATATTACCTAGCTATGTTTATTGCAATGACGAGTTTAACACTTGCAGTTGTGAACTAAATACTTTCTTGCGTTGAGATTTAACTTGCAATTAGTAGCTAGCCAACGTTATGTTACCTAATTCTGTCCTTCAATGACATCATTGGTTGGCTAGTTAGCAAGCGCTCTTGCTATTTACATTTTAGTCATTTAGCAGATGCTCTTATCTAGAGCGACTTACAGTTAGTGAGTGCATAATTTTTTTCTTCATACTGGTCCCCCGTGGGAATCGAATCCACAACCCTGGCGTTGCAAGCGCCATGCTCTACCAACTGAGCTACACGGGACCAGTTGGAAGGACATAAATCAATCTACACAATTACCAAAAACAAGTTCCTGAGCTAATGTCTAGAGACTAAGACCAACTAGCAAGTCTTGGCTCACCGCTACCAAGACCTCGAAGGGCCCTTCCAACTCGTAGTCCTTGTAGCAACGCCGCCATATCCAGCTGATAACAGTTTTTTGTAGACATCGGACGCGTCATATTTACGCGACTCTCTTTTAGCAGCACCTAAGGTATGTCATTTTCCGCGTTCAAAACAACTGGGAACTCGGAAAAAAACGCGGTCAAATCATGACGTCAGTGACCTTCAGGTCGGAACTTTATAAAGAAGCCACAGTTTCCAAGTTGGAATTCCGAGTTGGATGACCATTCAAAAGATTTTTCCCAGTCGGAGCTCGTTTTTTCCGAGTTCCCAGTTGTTTTTGAACGCACTGAAGTCAGAGATTTCCGAGTTCCCAGTTGTTTTGAACCAGGCAATTGTTTTGACGGGAGAGGTAAGTTCGCAAGCAGGTCATCTAACGTTGACCGAAACCCGTTTTGCCTTATTTAATGTTCAGAAAGTATCAAAGTCAAAGGGGAATTACTACACATGTTTTGTGAATTTGCATAGCTAAAACATACATTTTGATTTGAACGTTTTAGCTTATACTAGCTAGCGTTAACATTAGCAAACCTCTACGTCACGCCGTTAACGTTACTAGCTGGCTGGTTGTCACAAAGAAAATTACACAACGAGACGACCAGACCAATATAATTTATAAAACATAAGTTGGTTAGAATGGTTGATGATGTATGTTTGACTGGGTTTGCCAGAAACGTTTTTGATTTCTAGTCTGTTATAGAATATTCCGGATTTCATGTGTGTTTATTATGAGGTTGGACTCTAGAGACATAACTACAGAGACACTAACACTAATCCTGATGTACCTGATGTATGTGTAACTGGTGCAAGGTGCTGGCTGTAACTAGTCCTGAAAATGTGAAATCCTAACATAAATCAGTAAAGCATTGTGTATTATTTCTGTTTCGCAATCACTCAGGTCATGTGACTGCTGCTATCAGGGTGCTCTAGTCAAAGATGATCTATTATATTGACAAGATCGTCGAGTGACTGCTCTAACAATGGAAATACATGTCCTCAAATAATAATAATAATATGCCATTTAGCAGACGCTTTTATCCAAAGCGACTTACAGTCGTGCGTGCATACATTTTTTGTGTATGGGTGGTCCCGGAGATGGAAGGCAGGCGAGATCAGGTGATACCATTCTAAACAGTGATAGGGCAGATACGCGTATGAACAACAGGCACAACTTCAATCAAAAGGTGCCCAAATAACACATGCGTCCACTTATATCAGTGCATTCGTAACAACCTAGCCATAACGAAACTTATTTTAGATCAAATATGTCTCACGTAGCAAATTAGCAATACATTTTTTGAAATAGACCTGCAATAAAAAAAAAACTTTTGACAGATTTTGGGCTGAGTAAACCCTACCGCTTCGCGTCTTCCTCTGGTCTAGTAAAACTCCTGTCTCACTGCTGTGTTATCAGCAGGATGTCCACCCACTCAGACAACTCAAGTCTGGAAGGAGTCAGACCTGAGACGGTGACCTATGGTGGTTTCTTTAGGTCGATTTAAAATTACATTGAATTAATTGATTGCTGCTCTGTTTGCAGGAGGCCATGGCAGACCTTGATGTGAAAGCAGGAGATAAGGTGCTGTTGGTGTGGAGCCAGCCTTCGTCCCCAACAACCCTGAAGGAGCTGGCAGAGAGTCTAGGGGCCATGGTTGGCACAGAGGGCCGAGTGTCCCTGGAGAATATGGAAAGACTTCTAATGTGTAAGTGACACTCATTCACCTGTTACAACACTTGGCCTATGCTTGTTCTTTAACCCATGCATTGACATGTGGGTCGTTCCACCTCAAAAAGCACAAGAAAGAGAATTTCGACACCCACCATCTCAGATTGTTCCGAAATTGTTAATGTATTTAGAAACAGATAAGATAAGCTTTCCTGCAACATTATTTTGTTGAAATATAATTTGATCTACAAGAAATTAAGTTCATTGTTTGGACCCAAATTGGCCATTTTAAATTATAGTATTCATATAATGTTCAATAAGTATAGTACATAACATCCGATTTGGACCCCCCAAAAAATCTAACAATGAGTAAGACATGAGGATTCCTAAGAAATGGTCAAAAGCCACCCATGTACCCCCTATATCCCACGCCAATCCCACCCCAACAACGAGTATATAGTATCAGTTCTCTGTCTGACAAGTAGTATGGAGCTGCAGCTCTGAGTATTGTTTCTTCATCTTATGTAATGTATTCCAAGTGAATTTGGTGATGGTTTTTTCTCCCTGTTCAGCGATTATTAGTCATTGAAGTTGGTAGGTTTATGTCCCATCCTACATCCTGATATGACCAGGTTCTGACCACTAGATGGTGCTGCTCTGGATTTTTTTGGGGGGTATGACAGCAATCCATGCTTTGGTTTTGTTGTCCACGGTTTCAAATGCTAACTTTTTAGCATTTGTGGCACAAATCCAATGCAAGTCAATAGCTAGGTTTCCAACCAATTTAGCAACAGATTTCCATGCAAATATTTTAGAATCCGCATAAAGATAATATGTGCATTTTCACAGCAGTGGTGTCGACCAAATGGACTTGTTACGGATAAAAATCAGTGTGTGATGACGTCGTGCACACTGTACTTTTTTGCTTAAGCTTTCATGTACTGAATAAAAATCATAATTCAACGTGTTTCCATCGCATTTAAAACTCTACCGATAGTTTTATCACAAACTGTTGCGTTAAATAGCAAATGTGTCTACTACTCTGGTCTTGGCACGTGCGCTCTAGGCAACAGCTTGCAGATAACCTACTGTAGGGTTGTCTACATGATGAGATTATTATGGATAATATTTGTATTTGTCGAATGTCAGTCAAGCATTGATCATCATGTCACCAGAATAAGACCCCTCGATATTTATTGGAAAGGAGCATCAAGATCACTGTGCACTTTCACCACCGTGAAGTTCATCATCATTTATTTAATCTGTAGCCTAATAAACTGCATGGTTTTCCGAATTGTAGTGGGAGGACCACACACCATATCATTGCGTAAATCCACGTTTACTTCGCTATGATGGTTATTATATAAATATTTGCGCATAAAGGCATTTCCACAGCCATTTCGCACATAATTAATTTAATCGACACAAAAAGATCCCACCATGTCGAACGAACAAATTCTGTCGCATTTAATTTTTTTTACCGAAACGTCCTGTTTCCATCACAGCTGTCATTAATTTTTAAAATACGGTATGACTTTAATCAAATAAACTGTGGATGGAAATGTTGTTCATGGTACCTATATTAGCATTTTCACGCTTCGTGTCCAAATCATCCTAAAGTATCTTAAAATGTATTGTATAACTAACTCAATGTGGTTACATATAGATTATTTGGATATGAAGCGCAAAAATGCTAATATAGGTAACATTGACTTGCATTGGATTTGTGCCACAAATGCAAAAAAGTTAGCATTTGGCCAAACAGTGGCCTAGTAAACAAAACCAAAGCATGGGTTGCTGTCATAACTTGTCCATAAACTGCTTATAGGGTAAGGAAACCAATATGTAATTTTCCCTTTAACATTGAGGGGGGGCTTCTTTACAAAAAAATCACCTAGCAGGAACAGCACCATCTAGTGGTCAGAATATCAGGATGTAGGATAGGACATAACCCTAACAGCGCCATACGACATACAGTACTTGTCAGACAGAGAACTGACATTGTATACTCGTTGTTGGTGTGGGTATGGTGTGGGGGGGTGGGGTCCATGGGTTGCTTTTGACAATTTATTTGGATTCCTCATGTCTTACTCATTATTAGAAAAAAAGTTTTATTCAAATCGGATGTTGGGTATTTCAACAAAATAATGTTGCAGGAATGCTAATCTTATCTGTTTCTAACTACAGAACTGATTTCAAAACAATCTGAGATGGTGGGTGTCATGGCGTCATGGGTGTGAACGACCCATGTCTGATATGTCTAGCTATATATACACTTGTTATAAGGGCATCTGATTGTACAATTTTACAAACTACTGTCTCTGTCCTCTCCTTTCCTCAGCTTCACATGCAGCATCAAGCTACGACTGGGTCCTCTCAAGTGTACTCTCTGACAGCTCTTCTGTCCACACCTCAGAGACACTAGCAGAGATGGCCAGAGTGATCAAACCTGATGGAAAACTAGTGCTAGAAGAACCTGTTACAGGTAAGAAGGTGGAGAGCGCAAAGTGTTTGAGTGTCCTGATCATTATTAAGGATACATAGTGAAGGATTCAGATTCTTGACACCTGTCCTTGTTCTTAGGAACTGATGACCAAAAAGTGAGGACTGCTGAGAAGCTTATGTCAGCCTTGAAGTTGTCTGGCCTGGTGTCTGTGACTGAGGTGAGTAAACCAGCACTGGAATGTCATAGATTCACTCCTCCAGGCGCTGTGTACTCTGACTCATTTTTTGTTTACCAACATTGACAGGTCAGTAAAGGACCCCTGACCCCAGAGGCTGTGTCTGCCCTGAAGACATCCACAGGCTTCCAGGGTAACACTCTCTCCAGGGTGCGCATGTGTGCATCTAAACCCAACTTTGAAGTGGGCTCCTCAAGCCAGCTGAAGCTTTCCTTTGGGAAAAAGACCCCAAAACCAGGTATGTGGAATTCTCCTTCCTTCTGTTACCATTTCATATTATTCCTCTTGGCCCTGGCCTCCTTTTAAAATGTAATTGATGTTCTTGTTTCAGTACACAAACCTGCTCTTGATCCCAATGCTGCCAAGGCGTGGACCCTGTCAGCCAATGACATGGATGATGATGATGTGGTGAGTGATTGGTGTGTATTTTTAGGTTTTTATATGATTTCTCTGATGGTGATTCACTCCTATTTGCCATATTTTCAATTTAAGCCTACTAGAATGTGTGTGCCCCCAGGCTTGGAGAGAAGCAAAAGTCATTCCGCTACCTAAGAATAGTAAAGCCCCCTTTACTGGCTCAAATAGCCGACCAATTAGCCTGTTACTAACCCTTAGTAAACTATTGGAAAAAATTGTTTGACCAGATACAATGCTATTTTACAGTAAACAAATTGACAACAAACTTTCAGCATGCTTATAGAGAAGGACCTTCAACAAGCACAGCACTTACACAAATGACTGATGATTGGCTGAGAGAAATTGATGATAAAAAGATTGTGGGGGTTGTTTTGTTAGACCTCAGTGCGGCTTTTGACATTATCGATCATAGTCTACTGCTGGAATAACGTATGTGTTATGGCTTTACTCCACCTGCTATATTGTGGATACAGAGTTACCTGTCTAAGGGTGATCTTTAATGGAAGCCTCTCCAACATAATCCATGTAGAATCAGGAATTCCCCAGGGCAGCTGTCTAGGCCCATTACTTTTTTCAATCTTTACTAATGACATGCCACTGGCTTTGAGTAAAGCCAGAGTGTCTATGTATGCGGATGACTCAACACTATACATGTCAGCTACTACAGCGACTGAAATGACTGCAACACTTAACAAAGAGTTGCAGTTGGTGTCAGAGTGGGTGGCAAGAATAAGTTAGTCCTAAATATTTATAAAACTAAAAGCATTGTATTTGGAACAAATCATTCACTAAACTCCAAACCTCAATTAAATCTTGTAATAAATAATGTGAAGATTGAGCAAGTTGAGGTGACTAAACTGCTTGGAGTAACCCTGGATTGTAAACTGTCATGGTCAAAGCATATTGATACAACAGTAGCTAAGATGGGGAGAAGTATGTCCATAATAAAGCGCTGCTCTTCCTTCTTAACAACACTATCAACAAGGCAGGTCCTACAGGCCCTAGTTTTGTCGCACCTAGACTACTCTTCAGTAGTGTGGTCAGGTGCCACAAAGAGGGACTTGGGAAAATTGCAGTTGGCTCAGAACAGGACAGCACGGCTGGCGCTTAAAAGTACACGGAGAGCTAACATTAATGACATGCATGTCAGTCTCTCCTGGCTCAGAGTGGAAGAGCGATTGACTTCATCACTGCTTGTTTTTGTAAGAGGTGTTGACAAGCTGAATGTACCGAGCTGTCTGTTTTAAACTACTAAACTACTATCACATCATACCCCACAAGACATGCCACCAGAGGTCTCTTCACAGTCTCCAAGTCCAGAACAGACTATGGGAGGCGCACAGTACTACATAGAGCCATGACTACATGGAACTCTATTCCACATCAGGTAACTGATGCAAGCAGTAGAATCAGATTTTTTTTTAAAAAAACAGGTAAAAATATACCTTATGGAACAACGGGGACTGTGAAGAGACATACACAAGGGTATAGACACATGCATACGCACACATTGTGATATTGTTGTATGGTGGTATTAAACATTTTGTATTGTAGATGGGTAGTAGTGTAATAATGTCATATGATGTACTGTTTTATATTTTGTTTTATATGTAATGTAAGCGCTTTAGTATGTTTGGACCCCAGGAAGAGTAGCTAATGGGGATCTCTAATAAATACAAATATGCCACTCCCTTGTCTTTCCTCCTCAGGACCTGGTAGATTCAGATGCTCTGTTGGATGCAGATGACTTGAAGAAGCCAGACGCAGCCTCCCTCAAAGCACCCTCCTGTGGTGACGGAACCACCAAGAAAAAGAAGGCTTGCAAGAACTGGTAAGAAACACCCCACACTCTTTCTTTATTTGGTTACAGAAAAGAGGGCTCACCCATACACCAATAAGATTGCTGGAGTCATAACCAAGAGACACAAGTGATGACATTCCAACTGATTATTGAATATCTGTAATGCAAATATGGAGATAATCACACATGGTTGCCTTGTATCATAACTGTTCTCTTGTAATTGTTCCCCACAATGAAATTGGGGAGGCGACTGTGGATCTGTCTCCATCCGTACATACATTTGTTCCAACGCTAGTCACACGCGATATCTGACAGCACTGGCCCGATTTTGACTGAAGTTGGGTGAATGATGTGTCTTGCCATAGCGATCCGACATTTACAAAATTATACTGATTGGCCAGATGGTGGCGCTATAAAGAGATTGGAAAGGTCACGCCCCTCACCCCGTTTTACTTAAATCATGAAATTCGGTACATAGGGCCCTCTCCCCACAAGGAACATATTTGCCTCATGGACCCATAAGGTCAGATTTTCCGCCATTAAAATGTTTGTGAAAAACACAACGCTACTCTGCTGGCATCGAATGAGCGATCTGCACAAAACTTGATATATGGACAAAGGTCTCTCAACGCAATATTTTCCTGAATAGTACCTAAAACAACATGGCCGCTATTGACCAATAAACATTCACAGGGCGTGGTCTGGCACAAATGCATATAAATCAGTCAAGGATATTTGTATTGTTACACAATTTTTGTGCATATGTTGCAAACACTGTCAAGTCTCAACATATGCAATAATTCATATCGACCACACGGTGGCGCTATAACAGGCACATGTTTATTTGTTGAGCTGTTTGACTCAGTGCTGAAATTTGGCACGCATGCTCAGGATGAGTCTAGCAAACGCACGCGATATCTGACACAACTGACCTGATTTTGACTAAACTTGGGTGAATGAGGTCCGGCATTTACAAAATTACACTTAGCCCAAGGGGGTCACTGCATCATTCTTGGGGGACGGCATGCTTACTGTTGCCTTGTTTGTCATTACTCCTATGTAGCTCTTGTGGTCTTGCTGAGGAGTTGGAACAGGAGAGCAAGGGTGCCAAGACAATCAGCCAGCCTAAGTCAGCTTGTGGAAGTGTGAGTGTCACTCTTTGCCCATATGCAACCACCATGGCTCTGTGTCAACACCAGTTTGTAATTTTTGACCTGTATTTCAGTGTTACCTGGGTGATGCCTTCCGATGTGCCAGCTGTCCGTACCTTGGGATGCCTGCCTTCAAACCTGGGGAGAAGATTGTACTGGCCAACACAGGGCTAAATGATGCCTAGAAACATAACCACAATATATACTTTCTGGAATATCGTATTATTTACATTATGCTAACCTCCCACCCCCTGGAGTCCATGACCAATGCCAGGTTCTCAGTGAGATGGTGAGAATGGCTCTTCTACATCTCTTCATGTATAAGAGCAAAAAGCAGATTGTGTTTGAGAAATTGAAGGCTTATTGTGCTGAATTGCAGTAAATGTGCCATTGCTGGTTGTAATAAATGTATTGGGAGTAGCATTTGAAGTATCCAAACATTACTGAATTTCATTACTGCTCCTGGACATATCATATACAGTGGGGGAAAAAAAAGTATTTAGTCAGCCACCAATTGTGCAAGTTCTCCCACTTAAAAAGATGAGAGGCCTGTAAAAAGAAATCCAGAAAATCACATTGTAGGATTTTTAATGAATTTATTTGGAAATTATGGTGGAAAATAAGTATTTGGTCACCTACAAACAAGCAAGATTTCTGGCTCTCACAGACCTGTAACTTCTTCTTTAAGAGGCTCCTCTGTCCTCCACTCGTTACCTGTATTAATGGCACCTGTTTGAACTTGTTATCAGTATAAAAGACACCTGTCCACAACCTCAGTCACACTCCAAACTCCACTATGGCCAAGACCAAAGAGCTGTCAAAGGACACCAGAAACAAAATTGTAGACCTGCACCAGGCTGGGAAGACTGAATCTGCAATAGGTAAGCAGCTTGGTTTGAAGAAATCAACTGTGGGAGCAATTATTAGGAAATGGAAGACATACAAGACCACTGATAATCTCCCTCGATCTGGGGCTCCACGCAAGATCTCACCCCGTGGGGTCAAAATGATCACAAGAACGGTGAGCAAAAATCCCAGAACCACACGGGGGGACCTAGTGAATGACCTGCAGAGAGCTGGGACCAAAGTAACAAAGTCTACCATCAGTAACACACTACGCCGCCAGGGACTCAAATCCTGCAGTGCCAGACGTGTCCCCCTGCTTAAGCCAGTACATGTCCAGGCCCGTCTGAAGTTTGCTAGAGTGCATTTGGATGATCCAGAAGAGGATTGGGAGAATGTCATATGGTCAGATGAAACCAAAATATAACTTTTTGGTAAAAACTCAACTCGTCGTGTTTGGAGGACAAAGAATGCTGAGTTGCATCCAAAGAACACCATACCTACTGTGAAGCATGGGGGTGGAAACATCATGCTTTGGGGCTGTTTTTCTGCAAAGGGACCAGGACGACTGATCCGTGTAAAGGAAAGAATGAATGGGGCCATGTATCGTGAGATTTTGAGTGAAAACCTCATTTCCATCAGCAAGGGCATTGAAGATGAAACGTGGCTGGGTCTTTCAGCATGACAATGATCCCAAACACACCGCCCGGGCAACGAAGGAGTGGCTTCGTAAGAAGCATTAAGGTCCCGGAGTGGCCTAGCCAGTCTCCAGATCTCAACCCCATAGAAAATCTTTGGAGGGAGTTGAAAGTCTGTGTTGCCCAGCGACAGCCCCAAAACATCACTGCTCTAGAGGAGATCTGCATGGAGGAATGGGCCAAAATACCAGCAACAGTGTGTGAAGACCTTGTGAAGACTTACAGAAAACGTTTGACCTGTGTCATTGCCAACAAAGGGTATATAACAAAGTATTGAGAAACTTTTGTTATTGACCAAATACTTATTTTCCACCATAATTTGCAAATAAATTCATAAAAAATCCTACAATGTGATTTTCTGGATTTTTTTACCTCATTTTGTCTGTCATAGTTGACGTGTACCTATGATGAAAATTACAGGCCTCTCTCATCTTTTTAAGTGGGAGAACTTGCACAATTGGTGGCTGACTAAATACTTTTTTCCCCACTAATGAAGATTTCACAGGCCACTCACCATATTTCAACATACAGGTGTCCATATTAATTGTCAGTTCAATTAACTGTGTATATTACTATCTGTATTGGTTTCTGCAAAAATAGGAATGTTAGTCATTCTTTTCAGGATTTCCCATTTAATAATCACTCATTTGCGGATCAGATTCTGTTAGAGCCAATGACAATCCTTCACAAGCCATTTTTCACTTTTCAATCTCATGGCCTGTCTATATATTCACTTTTACACTCAAAAGCACAATAATACAGTATAAAACAACAAAGTAACACCATCAGTATTTGGTTTTTCTAGAGTAATTTCTAGATTTATTTTAAATGTCTGTCCTCTGTATAGAAACCAACTCAGATGTCCGATTTCATGTATACTGGAGGTGTATCACTGTGAGGCAACTGCGAAGTCCATTTTGATGTCCCCGATGCTGGGTTCAAAGGTGAAACTATAAGACACTGATGCCCTTCCATCCCCTGAGCTCTCCCAGGGGGACCTGAAGAAGTACACTCCTTGTTTCCGATGGAGACTCCATTCACAGGCACCCTACAGGGGTACAAGAGGGGTTCATTTATTCAACTGTAGAAAAATGTATAGAATAATTTTATCAGTTCATTTATTAATTTAACCTTTATCAGGGATTCATACTGAATTACAGAAAAATACAAATTGCAATGCATTAGCAGTTGTATTGAATTTGAGTGATGTTAGTACCTCTTCACTGACTGGTCTCATCAGGCCCATGCTAACTTTGACGTCATCATTCAGTTGGTACTCCATCCACAGGGCCACACCATGGCAACGCCCCCTCCTGTACAGAAACACAAATGGTGCTAGGGACTGTTTGGAATGCCATTATCCTATCAGTGCACATTTGAGAATTTACGCTTCCTGTGCTCTGGCTAGGAGTTTTAACTACAATTTACTTACCGGTATGAGAAATAAAATACAAATTCTGAGACCAAAATAAGAGTCCTTACCTCGTAAGTGGTAGTGATCCCTGACGTCTGATTGGCTGTTCAGGAACACACTGTAGGAAGTCAAAGGTCATGACAGCTTTGGGCTGGGTCAGGGCCCGACAAGGGTACTCCCACAGAGGCTGTGGCTCAGCCTCACGGGACTCACGGAAATCCAGAGACTGCTGTAAGGGGATAATTAAAGGTGCACTGCTGTGAGTGAGCTAATGAATAGACTAGAGCAGTGCCCATTTCCATTGCTATCTTTGATCACATTGATAAAAAGTATATTTTTCTCCAGTTGAAATTAGACTAGATCAGCAATGCGATTATGTCCATTCACCTAACGGTAGTTTGAGTATATATTGAAAAAGGTTTGTGAAAAAGGTGGATTCTAACCTGAATCATCTCATCCATAGGTCCAACGTCAAAGCCTTCACATGTACCACAAGGAGCTCTTATCCTCCACAGATCCTGAGAGAGGTTGAGTGAATTAAAGACAGCGGAGAGAGACCGAATGAGAGTCACAAATAAGTTCAAAAGTGTACTTTTCATTTTACTACAGATGCCAATATCTCTTACCTGAAATTCCACAGCGACTATGCAAAGTGTGGCAGAGCAAGGCAAGATGGTGGCATTGGGTGTCAGCAGACGGACCAGAGCAGTGCGACAGTACCAGAAGTACAGGGAGTGCCAGGGCAGAAGACTGGTGCTGAAGTAGGGCTCACCTATCAACACTGATATCTAGGGGACACATGAAACAATATAAATACATGACTCAAATAGAAAGCAGCAGAAAAGAGTAACAAAAACTGTTTTATAAGTGTAAAATAGTTTTTGTACAGACACTGTTCAGGGGTTTCTAATACTGCATATCATACACAGTGGGGAAAACAAGTATTTGATACACTGCCGATTTTGCAGGTTTTCCTACTTACAAAGCATGTAGAGGTCTGTAATTTTTATCAATCTAAAACAAAAATCCAGAAAATCACATTGTATGATTTTTAAGTAAATCTTTTGCATTTTATTGCATGACATAAGTATTTGATCACCTACCAACCTGTAAGAATTCCGGCTCTCACAGACCTGTTAGTTTTTCTTTAAGAAGCCCTCCTGTTCTCCACTCGTTACCTGTATTAACTGCACCTGTTTGAACTCGTTACCTGTATAAAAGACACCTGTCCACACACTCAATCAAACAGACTCCAACCTCTCCACAATGGCCAAGACCAGAGAGCTGTGTAAGGACATCAGGGATAAAATTGTAGACCTGCACAAGGCTGGGATGGGCTACAGGACAATAGGCAAGCAGCTTGGTGAGAAGGCAACAACTGTTGGCGCAATTATTAGAAAATGGAAGAAGTTCAAGATGACGGTCAATCACCCTTGGTCTGGGGCTCCATGCAAGATCCCACCTCGTGGGGCATCAATGATCATGAGGAAGGTGAGGGATCAGCCCAGAACTACATGGCAGGACCTGGTCAATGACCTGAAGAGAGCTGGAACCACAGTCTCAAAGAAAACCATTAGTAACACACTACGCCGTCATGGATTAAAATCCTGCAGCGCACGCAAGGTCACCCTGCTCAAGCCAGCGCATGTCCAGGCCCGTCTGAAATTTGCCAATGACCATCTGGATGATCCAGAGGACGAATGGGAGAAGGTCATGTGGTCTGATGAGACAAAAATAGAGCTTTTTGGTCTAAACTCCACTCGCCGTGTTTGGAGGAAGAAGGATGGATGGGGCCATGTATCTCGAGATCTTGGCCAACAACCTCCTTCCCTCAGTAAGAGCATTGAAGATGGGTCGTGGCTGGGTCTTCCAGCATGACAACGACCCGAAACACACAGCCAGGGCAACTAAGGAGTGGCTCCGTAAGAAGCATCTCAAGGTCCTGGAGTGGCCTAGCCAGTCTCCAGACCTGAACCCAATAGAAAATCTTTGGAGGGAGCTGAAAGTCCGTATTGCCCAGCGACAGCCCCGAAACCTGAAGGATCTGGAGAAGGTCTGTATGGAGGAGTGGGCCAAAATCCCTGCTGCAGTGTGTGCAAACCTGGTCAAGACCTACAGGAAACGTATGATCTCTGTAATTGCAAACAAAGGTTTCTGTACCAAATATTAAGTTCTGCTTTTCTGATGTATCAAATACTTATGTCATGCAATAAAATGCAAATTAATTACTTAAAAATCATACAATGTGATTTTCTGGATTTTTGTTTTAGATTCCGTCTCTCACAGTTGAAGTGTACCTATGATAAAAATTACAGACCTCTACATGCTTTGTAAGTAGGAAAACCTGCAAAATCGGCAGTGTATCAAATACTTGTTCTCCCCACTGTACATATCACCCCCAAACAGAGTTACTGTTAATACCTGTTCCCCAGCTAGGTCAGTACTGGACAGCTGGTCAGGACGAATCCCCAGAATCTGAACTCCTCCTCTCATGGAGTTGGCATCCAGCACCTACAGAAAGATAAACGTTTTAGCAACTAGCAACCCTGTGTTCCTTGACTTTTACTAATAGATTTGAACTAAGTCAAGGCTTTTGTTATGGGGACTCCACTCACTTGTTCAATGACCTGCTTCAACATTCCAGAGTTTTCCAAACTGAACACCTGGATGGATAGAGACAAATCTTATTGTGTGGCCTTGTTGGAATAATTTCAAATACCAAATAGGCGAGTAAACATATACAAGTAAGAGCATCACAAAGTCAAAAGAGTAATACCTTCTTAGCTCCAAGCATGTGAGCGAAGACGGGTAACAGACTCCCATCACTGACCCCTACGCACACGCTGTCTGGTTTTACAACCTAAAATTGACAAACACCCATATTCATTATTTGTATCGAATAGTAGCTACACCACATCCATTATGGCAAAACAGCACAAACCCTGCTCTATACCTGAACCTCAAACCTCATCACTCACACTGCGTAGAGCGCTGACGTAGCTCTGTGTGCGCTGGTGGTCGTTGAGCTCCCCGAAGCGTGTGCGTGTCCACACCAGGTGAGCCTGACAGACGCAACATGGCCGACAAGGTGGTACCTCACTCAATGTGCCCTGTTGACTGAGAGGACACATAATAAACAAACACACACAGCTCTGATTAGACAACCTTTACTCACCCTTCTTTGTTTGTGCAACATTAGGTAACTACAGACAGTTTTGTACATCTAAGTGGTCTAGAGTGTATGTATGAGTTAGTTACCCGTCTGGCTGTAGGCTGTACCACAGGCTGTAGTCGTCATGGGAGACAGTAAGGCTGAGTTCCTCTCCCTTTGCCACCCTTCTCTCCACAGGAAGGAAGTAGACACTCTGCATCCAGTGATCCCGCCACTAAAAAGACAAACACACAAACATTACTTCCTCAAACTATCACACATGTACATCCATGACATTCCCACTGCACTCACAGGAGCGGACTGAGGGTCTGGGTAGGTCCAGCTGGGAGCCATGGAACACACGATGGAGCCGCTGGGGTCCATGTCTATGTCCCACCAGGAGAGGACCACTTGAGCCCGGCCACTGGACTGAGCTGGGAAGCTGGAGGAGTGGGACTGAGGGGCACTGCTCACTGGCTTACTGAAATCCACACTGAGAGAAGAAAAGAGAGAGAGGCATAAATTACCACTGAATGAGAAGATTCATTGGGAATATATGAATAATACATGTTTGTTCAACAATGTGCATCTCACCTGAACATGGTGCAGAGAGGCCCTAGTGGTGTGAAGCGGTGAGGGGGCACCTGGCTGAGCTGGATGTCACAGACAGAGTGGGCTCCAGCACAGTGACTTACAGCGGGAGGGGGCAGCAGTTTGCGACCATCCACCTCCATGGGTTGTAACTGTGCCCAACTCCACAACTGCTCTGACTCCACTAGCTGGGCATACACTGTGGCACGGTGTGGCACAGCCTCACAGCCCTCCTACAGGAGAAATACACATCTGCTTCACACGTCTGATTATTTTTCTCACTTTCGCACAAACGCACAACACACACACGCAAGCACACACAGACACACCTACCTGGACCAGGTTGAGATGAGCATGTTCGTAGCTGGGTAAGGCTCCCTCTCCAATTAGTTCAGTGTCAAACAGCTCTGTGATGAGGACGTTGGCTCGAGTCTGCATGTCTCCATCTGTAATGAAAACACATATGTAGCAATCTTATGATAACATACAGTTGAGGTTAAAAAGTTTCCCTGCACAGTTAAAGAAAAGTGCTCCAAAGTGGATGTAACTGCAATGTATGGGGCATATTTCAGAAATATTTCAGGTCACAGTTCATTACATTGGTTATTGTTAAGATGATTCTAAAATAAACTGTGTGTCAAACTTGGAGTTTGTCACACACAAAAGGAGTTACCGTTGCTGCAGCACAGGCAATTTGAAAAGTAACTTTTGAACCAGCACAACTGTACATCACATGGCTGTGTGTATGATACGTGTGACTTACCTAGTCCAATTGTCACTTCTGTAGAGTGTTTATTGATGATCTTGATCTTGTCTGAGAAGCCATTTTTCTTCACTATTCGGAGAGCAGCGTCTGCCATGGGCTTGAAAACCTATTGGATGATACAAACAAATCACAATCAAATGGTGTTTCAAAATAAATTCTTCATTAGGACACCTTTAACATTTTCCTTCATTCCATTTCCACTTTCCTGTCATTGACGGTGAATTGTAAATGCTCTTTGATTGATTTGCCAATGGTGTGTGGGTTTCAGCAAACTCATGCTCACCTCTACAGCGTAGCAGTAGTCAGCCCCAGCTGTGACAGCCATCATGGACAGCAGTCCTGTTCCAGTGCCAATGTCCAGAACGATGACTTTCTCACCCCGTGCTTTCACTCTGCTCACAGCAGCCCTTATGCCCTGGTAGTACTTCTCATTCTGGAGGGCAGACAGACAGACAGATGGATACATCAGTGGTTCCCAACCAGGGGTACTAGGGTCCCTGGAGGTACTTGGCCTATCCACAGGGGGTACTTGAGAAGACTCATGAGGCCATAAACCTACTGGTAAAATGCATGAGGGGTACTTCAGGGGTATTCCGGGCAGAGCTAAATTCAGTTGGTGGTACAGTAACCAAAAGGTTGGGAACCACAGAAACATACAGGGGAAGAAAACAGCTTCCACTGTCTCTTGTACAAACTATATGCTGTAAATGTTCTTTCCTGTCAAAGGAAGCAAGGACACACACTCACCCTATCGTGATCGTGCAGCATATCAGCATAGCAGGACCTGAGAAACAAACCGGTGATCATAATTTGATCAGATACTGACGTGGGAACTCTGCCTAAACGCCCCGGGCGCTAAATCGAGCTCACCTCATGGTTAAAAAAAGTGATTTGACAAAAATACAGAAAACAGTGCTTTGTATAGCTAGTGCAATAAATTAACATACAATTATATACACACGAAATATTGCATTGGAGGAATATTTTAATGGAAAAGATGTGGTTGGCTTGCTAGCATAACGTCAACTACCTGGCAATCTCTTGATGGTAGTCATACTCCTCACTCTCCTCGACCCAATCCAACGCGCCTGTGGCCGGGTTGGCACGTCCGCAGAAAGTCTTCATTACGGTAGCTATAGATCGATTCCAATGCCGCGCTTTTGATTCAATATAATATATATTATATTCCAGAATAATAAAGTTTTTTACACTAATCCCTAACAAATTGGATTATGGCAGCATTGCCTTAACCGGGGCAGACATGTTTTCTCCCCTCCCCTGGAACGTCAACTGGGGCGTATTCATTCCGTAAATTCTGTTGGAAAACGTTTCTTAAACGGAAGCAAACGGAACAAAACGGGAGGAAACTACCTGAATGTGTCCAATAGAAACTCTCGTTTTACTCGGTTTGCTTCTGTTTTCTTCTTAAACGTCAACGGTTTCCGTAATGAATATACCCCTGACGTCACCCTCCAACTCACATGACTAGTGTCGAATTAACCCCTTGTAATCTGAGAGTGCTTCTGCTCTTTCTTTCTGGCAGTGAACACTTGTCAATGTAACAATCAGATTCATCAACATCTATTTTTCCAAGTAAAAAGTAATGAATTCCACAGATTTTCTTTAGAATTTATTGTTCATCTGAATATACAATGAATCATACAGTAGAATACATCACATTACAGGTGCCCCAGAGATTCTGTAGGTACAGTCTCTTGTGGTAACGATCAATTCAGAACATCAAACTGATTGATTGAAATTATTTTGTAATTGTAATGTATTTCATTAAGACTATCTCACCAGCCAATATCCATAGTACCACCCTGTGAAGCTGTACAAGCATTTCACTGCACCTGCAATAACACCTGCTAAACTGTGTACAAGACCAATAAACTTTGATTTGAACTCTGCAGACCATCAAGCTTGATTTACAATCCACTGTGCAGTGGATGGATGTATTATAAAGTTTATATAACTTATGAATCACAAGCATGTGTGTTGTGTGGATTTAAAGGGTGCAAAATTCTAGTCAGGCACACTTGGCAGTAGGCAGACAGAATGGCATGCTAGGAGTAGGGACCAGGATGTCAGAGAAGATGGGTCGGTAGCCAGCTGGAAGAGGAGGGGTATTCTGCTCCAGGAGGTCCAGAACTGTCCCCCTCACATCCCTGGAGACATCCCCCCTAACATCCAGCAACACTGACACATGCTCATCACTGAGGGGCACAGACAGAAGAGAGTAGACCAACACAGAAGATCAACACCTGACCACTGAAGAGACACCTGTAGAAGTGTCCCTGATATAATCATGTCTATCACTTAGGAGTGAGGACATTAAGGCAAATGTTAGATGTGTAAAAAAACATGAATTGTTTTCAAGGAAATTGATATGGTAAGGATTGTGTGTATACCTGATATCTGGGTACTTGGCCACCAGTCCAGACACCTCGAGAGTAAGCATGCTGGGGTCTTTAAGCCGGATGAAGTCAGCCAGAACAGGCAGTAAAGCCATTGGGTTCACCTCACTCACTGATCCCTCCACTTCCTAAACAGACACAGTACATGCATGAAAATTGAATACTGTAAATAAAATGGTACAGTGAATTAAAATGAAGGAAGGGGTGGGTATATGTTGAGTGTGGTGTGGGTTGGGTATGTAGTCTGTGGATCGTGGGATAGAGGACAGAGCAGAGCTGGGCCGAGTGTCCCACTAGACTGGGTGTCACTGGGTGTGGCTAAACTCAAGTGTATCCTCACCACCAGGCCCTGGAAGAGATCCCTCAGATGCTGGGCATCCAGTGCCATTCTCTGGGCCAGCTGGCGCCGCTCCTCTGCATTCCGACACACCAGCCTCTTCTGCATCAACACCCTCACATACTCCACCACCGTCAGCCACTGGCACTCCTCCTGCAAACGCTACAGGAACAGGGAAGGGTCAACAATACCATACAGAAGACTAGTATAGTCAGCTACAGACTAATTTGATTGTCAAAGAGCCTGACCTGCCGGCAGGGTGGGCGAACACGACTATACAGCTCAAAATGTCGCTCCAGGACTCCACATAACTTCAGGGTAACCGTGACGTCTCCCTGGGCCAGCCAGGAGCGAGACAGTAGTCCCTGCAGGAAGGGCTGGAGCTCTAGCAGCAGCTGGTCCATCACCAGGCGGCAGGCCCTCCTCACAGCCCGGTCTAGAGCAGCCAGGGGGCCGGGGGGAGTCCGGGAGAACCGGCTGGCTGAACGGGACGAGAGCTGCTGCTGCAAACTCTCTGTGGAGGTCCTGAGGAGAGGAAAGGAAAGGAAAGAGGGAGAAGCAGAGGAGAGGAGATGAGAGGAGGAGAAGCAGAGGAGAGGAGATGAGAGGAGGAGAAGCAGAGGAGAGGCGAGGAGGAGAAGCAGAGGAGAGGAGATGAGAGGAGGAGAAGCAGAGGAGAGGAGATGAGAGGAGGAGAAGCAGAGGAGAGGAGATGAGAGGAGGAGAAGCAGAGGAGAGGAGATGAGAGGAGGAGAAGCAGAGGAGATGAGAGGAGGAGAAGCAGAGGAGAGGAGGAGAAGCAGAGGAGAGGAGAGGGGCAAGGACAGTCTTGAACAAACTGTATAATATACTGCATGTACAGTGAGCTCCATAATTCATTGGACAGTGACAATTTTTTTGTTATTTTGGTTCTGTACTCTAGCACTTTGAGTTTGAAAGGATACAATGACAATGAGGGTGAAGTGCAGACTGTCAGCTTTAATTTGAGGGTATATTCATACATATCGGATGAACCGTTTAGAAATTATAGAAGCTTTTGTACATGGTCCCCCCCTTTTTCGGGCATCAAAAAACATTGGACAGTTTAACATAATGTAGAATAAAGTAATCATTGTTAATATTTGGTCGCATATCCTTTGCATGCAATGACTGCTTGAAGTCTGCGATGCATTGACATCACCAGACGCTGGGTATCTTCCCTGGTGATGCTCTGCCAGGCCTGTACTGCAGCCATCTTCAGTTCCTGCTTATTTTGGGGACTTATTGCCTTCAGTCTCCTCTTCAGCATGTAAAATGCATGTTCAATTGGATTCAGATCCGGTGATTGACTCGGCCAGTCAAGGATTTTCCACTTTTTGGCCATCAAAAACCCCTTTGTTGCTCTAGCAGTATGTTTAGGGTCATTGTCTTGTTGCATGATGAAGTGCCGTCCAATGAGTTTGGAGGCATTTGGTTTTATCTGAGCAGATAAAATATTTCTATAGACTTCAGATTTCATTGTTCTACTTCTGTCTGCAGTCACATCATCGATGAAGACAAGTGAGCCTGTTCCACTGGCAGCCATACAGGCCCAAGCCATAACACCCCCTCCACCATGTTTCACGGATGAGGTGGTATGCTTTGGATCATGGGCATTTCTTTTTTTTCTCCACACTTTCCTCTTTCCATCACTCTGGTACATGTTAATCTTTGTCTCATCTGTCCACAATACTTTTTTCCAGAACTCTTGGGGCTCTTTTAGGTGCTTTTTAGCAAACTGTAATCTTGCCTTTCTGTTCTTCAGGCTTATCAGTGGTTTGCATCTTGTAGTGTACCCTCTGTAGTCCTGCTGGTGTAGTCTTCTACGTATGGTAGACTTTGACACATCTACACCTGCATCCAGGAGAGTGTTTTTGATCTGTTGGGCTGTTGTCAGGGGGGTTTTCTTCACCATAGAGAGTATTCTCCGGTCATCCACTACAGTGGTCTTCCTCTGTCTACCGGGTCTTTTGACATAATTGAGTTCACCGGTTGTTTTTTTCTTGTTAATGATGAACCAAACTGTTGACTTGGGCATGGCCAGGGTTTTTGCAATGTTCCTGATTGATTGATTTTCATTTCTGAGCCTTATGACGGCCAGCTTCATTTGCATCGACACTGCTGTCTTCCTCATGTTGTCACACCACAACAACAACCTCCAAAGGCAATAGCAAAGTCTAGAATCAATGCTATTCATCAACAGCTCTCCTGCATTCACTAACGACACAAATGAATACACCTGCCTAACGACACACATCTGTGAAGCCAATTTAACAAACACTTGTAGTACCTTAAAATGGGGGGACCATGTATAAAAGGTGCTATCATTTCTAAACAGTTCATCCGATATATATGAAAATACCCTCAAATTAAAGCTGACAGTCTGCACTTCACCCTCATTGTCATTGTATCCTTTCAAACTCAAAGTGCTAGAGTACAGAACCAAAATAACAAAAAAATTGTCACTGTCCAATGAATTATGGAGCTCACTGTATGTGTGTACACAGACTCACATTAATGAATGTACAGATGAACAGAAACAGATAGCACTGACAAAAATAAAACAATGTACAGAAGCTCACTTGAGGATGATGCAGTTGCTTATAGAGGCCAGTAGATAATGGAGGTAGAACTTATTTTGATTTGTGCTCTGATCCCTGCGGTGCTCCTTCCCAAATTCCACAAGAGCCTCCCGAAACCTGGAAACAGAAGGAGACGGAATGAAAGACTTACATATTGGAAAGAGAAAGTGGAACCGTAATTTAATTAATGTGTGAAAAGTATCACTGATTCTATGCCACATTCTCAAACATACTCACATAAGAACACACTGACCCACCTATTGAGGAGGTTCTCCATCTCATAGAGCCCCATCTGTATGGTCTGATCCCGAAGTGATTCACTAATCATCAGAGCCACCCGTGCATTCTCCTCCAGCATCTAACACAACCACAACACAAACACAAAATCAGCCCAACTCAATCACCGGCCTCAAAACACTCCTCAACGTGTCGCCTCAAAACAAACACAACATTGCCACAACTCATGTATGTGCATGTAAATATAATTTAACCACATTTTAAACCAATATTAATGTAGAGGTAGTGAGGTATGTATGTTTACCTGTGTGATGATGGTTGGCAGGCTGGTGAGGTAAAAGCCCTCGTGGTCAGTGTCTGGTTCCTGGTCTCTCTGCCAGTCTGTCAGCTCCACCTCTAGGGCCTTGTGCATCCACTCAGACACACTTTTCTACAACACAATACACACTCCACTCAACCACACCTTTCTATCACACAATAAAACACAAACTCCACGGGGGCCTGCCGAGTGGCGCAGCGGTCTAAGGCACTGCATCGCAGTGCTAGAGGCGTTACAGACCCGGTTTCATTCCCAGGCTGTGCCACAACCGGACGTGCCTGGGAGTCCCATAGGACGGCGCACAATTGGCCCAGTGTCGTCCGGGTTAGGGGAGGGTTTAGCTGGTGGGGCTCATCGCGCTCTAGCGACTCCTTGTGGCGGGCCGAGTGCAGGCTGACCCCGATCGCTGGCTGGCTTCCGGGTTAAGCTGGCGGGTGTTAAGGAGCGGTCATGTTTCGGAGGACGCATGCCTCTCGCGAGCCCGTTAGGGAGTTGCAGCGATGAGACAAGATCGAAAATATGGGAGAAAGGGGGTAAAAAATAATAAAAATAAATAAAAAAAACTCCACTGAGACAGACAGGAGTTTCCCACACCACAGTGCAGGTGCACACAAAACATCCCATCCACAGAGGCATTAGTATGCAGGCACACTGACAAACAAACACATAGACAGATCTAGTTAGAAACACAGACAGACAGACAACACAGCGATCCAGATGTCTCACCCACCCGCACACTGTGTACGTATTTGTTCTGCAGCTGTTCCAGACCCTCCTTGGAGATCAGCGGTCCCGACTCCATCTCCACCACTAAGTCTGGATGCCCCATCATATCTGAGCTGCACACACACATACAGGACACACTGATCACACCAAAACAACTCGGAGTCTTCAGTAATTAACATAACATCTATGATTACTTTGGACATTTATACTTGTTTTATTCATATATAGCATTAATTTGTCCATGAGTGTCTAGTTGATAGACCATATGGTTCAAGAGAAAATAGCCTAATTAATGATAAAACATTTAATCAACAATAGCATTATTTTCAATTACTTCTGCAACTCCTCAAACTATTTACTTTTTCACAACTGTCACCAGTTTGACACAAAAACATCGAAAACAAATACATATTGACAATGGCATAGTAAAATAAATAAAAGTGTGTAAAAACAAATATAAAGGATATTTCATTCTCAAACCCTCATATTAAACACCAATGGTATTATGGTTTATATTTAGGATAATTTTTTACAGCTTTGTCATTCAATTTTTTATTTTGAAATCATCTTATGTACTTATTTCATATAATAATGTGATAAGGCCACACAGAGGGCCAGAGATAATTACAGACACCTGTGATAATCTGAAGTACCCAAAAGGGCCACTAGATGTCTTGTGATAGATTACATAAAATCCTCGAAAGATACCAACATTCTGGTAGTTTACTGGTAAGCTTAGAAAGTTTCCAGTAATATACTCTCCTTTTGCAACCCTATTAACACCCAAAAACATATTTTAGCTCAAATTGGTTGGTCTATATTTGCTCACCTGTTGTAGATGTGTAGGACCCAGTTAAGAACAGCAAAGATCTCCCCACTCTCCAGCTCCCATCCGCTGACCTGGCCCAGGTGTGACTGTAGACAGCGGTGGCAGGCGCGGAGGTAGGCCCTGGTCAGGTTATAGTGGGGCGGAACGCAGTGGTCCAGCAGGTGGCGCACCGTGGCCAGGTCTCCCATGATGCCGTGCTGCAGGGCAGACAGGTGGCCTGCAAGGCCAGGCCCGCGGGTGTGCAGGTAAGAGACGCTACGGAAACGCGCAGACACCGCCTCTTCTAACACCTAACATTAGAGTACAACATCACTGTAAAGCACCTGTGCAATGCTACTGTCAAAACATAAGGAAAACCATCCCTGTATCTCATTAACATAGGGCCTAGGCCTATTGCATCATGCTCTGTTGCAGTCATGTATTGTGTTGTACAATTCTATTTGCATAGCAATGTGGGCTCTTGAATGATGCTCAACTCTATCATTGAATCTCACTGTATTCAACAAGTCTAGACATACTTGAAAGAAGCGCTCCCTCCAGCAGCGTGGCCGTCCAGGGGGAAGAGGCCTGCTGTGCCCCCCTGCACCTCCTCTCTCCTCCAGCATGGCCTGATCCAGCGCCTCCTCTCGCTCCACAATCCTCACAGCAGACACAAACGTTGTAGGGTTCTGCCTGGCTAAAGCCAGTCCACTCCCCACAACTGCCCACAGCTCCTTCCCCAGAGCCTCCACCAGCTTTCCAACGCCTGAGAAGTAGTTCCTGACCAGCTCCTCGTCCTGGGCACTGAGGGCTGTCCCTGCTGTCCCAGGGGCCCCCGCTCCATGGAGCTGCCACAGGACGTCATCCTGCCAGCACTCCAGCTCCATCAGACGGGCGTGGGCCTCCAGGAGCCGGCGAGACTCCACCAGCCTCTCTGTCTCCGATACCATGCTCCGTACTAACAGGTAACAAGGGAGGGAGACACTGTAGTTTTAGCCAAGTTACAGATTGACATAGTTATTGAAGTGTATGCTGAAAGGGAGTCATTCAATTATTCCTTAAGGAACAGGATATGTGCATTTATGTGAGTCTCTCTGAAGCTTCAATTAAGTTTTATTTTAACAAATTCATGAAATATTTTCCCAGTCGTGAAGCTACAGAACCAAGGAAGCTGTTGGGGCAGTCTCACCAGAGTAGAGGCGTGGCAGGTTGCTAACGGCAGCAAGGAGTTGACAGTGATTGACAGAGACCTCTTGCATCATCTCCAGAGCCTTGACCCCCTCTGCGTTTCTGCTGGACTCCACCCCTGCCTTCCCCAGGGCATGGGACACCTCTTTCAGCTCCGCCCGGGCCTCACGAAGCTGCTCCAGACCCCAGCCCACCCCCTCTAGGTAGGACTGGACCACTGACTGGAGGAAAGGCAATGCTCTCACATTCAGAAAATCATTCAAGGCACAACTGGAAGTGCCATATAATAATTTGGTGGGTGCTTATATTTGTCCTGTTTCACACATGTACAAGTGTGTATTATACAAATGTGTGAATTGGAAATGTGTTTTTTGCATATCCCAACTCTCCCTGAGACACCCTAGGAGAGTGGGGTCACGGCCAGGGTCTGCCATTATCAACAGCGACCCTGGAGCAATTAGGGTTAAGTGTCATCGACAGATTTTTCACCTTAACATATACTATGTTAATATCAATACAGATGAATAACCTGTCATCTTATAAACATTTTGAAAAATCTATTTCTCCCTCAAGTCTTAATAATTTAATGTGGGAAGTGACAAAATCCTCTAGTGAGAGCAGGTGTGTGTGTGTTTGTAGTTTACCTTGAGTCTTGACTGGATGGACGAGGTCCTCTGGCTTTCCCTTTTGCGGTACTGTCCTAACCTCTCAAGATGCTCAGGGCGACAGAACACACCCGATGCCCACTTCAGGGCCGCGCCCCGGGCCAAGCTCTCTGCCCTCTCCGCCTCTGGCCACACCTCTGGGAGCGCTGCCGCATCTGTCAATCACACGTAAACAAGCTAAATTCTCCAGACATTATGTGACAGGAGGATCCACATGAAAAGTATACATCTCTGTCTGTCTTTACAGAAGAATATCCCTGTTTTGTTCAGCTTGTATGAGTGTGTGGACATTAGTGATTATGAGTCAATGGAGAGCAGCACGGTGTGTTTATGTGTGTGTGTGTGTGTATGTGCAATTTAAACAAACAGCCCTCTCTCTGTCTCACAGGTGGTCATGAGACAGAGATGTTTACTACAAGCATTAAATGTGACATCAGCTTTTCTGCCGCACAATAAACCTATGGAGAATGAGACTAATGCATTCGTAAACAGCACCATCATGCTCGAAATACAGGCATGGTAGAGATGCCATCTCAGAGAAACAGAAGAATAAGCTTCCTCTGTCTTAAACACAGAAACAATTCCATTTGGAGAGGATTAGAGATATACATGCAAATGTATTACAATGTATTATTTCCTCTGTTGTGAGTCAGTGAGAAGTGGGTGTTGGTTAGAGTCAGTGGGTACAGTCTGTTTTGGTTGTTAGCAGTGTGTGAGTGTGTAGAGTAGTCGTCTGTACCTTCAGGTTTGTCACCACCATTCTTGTCTCCGTCTGACATTTAAGTTCAGTTCAGTGGTTCGCCTGTCCACCTCCAACAGTGCCCTACCCAGAGGGCCAGAACACCACTGAACAAGGGGGATGATCAGAGCCCGAAAGAGAGAGAAGGCGTGGAGGAAAGAAGGCACATATCCATTGTACTGACGGCCTTCCTCTCACACTCCCAGACACATCCTCTACGCAGAGGCCGGCAGGAAGGGAGGGAGAGGGGGCAAAGAGGGGGAGGGCAAGAGGGAGGGGACTATAGCCAAAAGACACAATCCAGATGGATGGGGGAAAAGGGGGAGAGCTAGGGGGTTGTGGTCTTGTGTCCAAGAGTGCCGCTCTGTGTCTGAAATGATTATTTTCCTTTATGGACGAATGAATTTTATACATACTTGTTGATAGAAAAATGCATACATACAGTACTTGTCATTAGAAATTTAGGGGAAAACTCTCTATTCCATATTTGTAAGACATTTGTAGTTTGTAAAGCAGCTCAATACAATAATTGAATTCTGTACTGACCTTCAGCTGTACATTGGTCTCTTTGAGGAGCGAAGTACCAGCAAAGTCCTCCGATCCTCCACAGCTGTTGAGATCTGGGACAAACTAGGGACGTTTCACAACTGCTACCTCTAAAGGGAGTTTGTTTATTTGTGTATCAGCCAAGGCCTCTGACCTCTCCCCACGTCTGTGTTTACGTCTCCCCATTTCCTGGACCTCTTCAAAACACACTGAACCTTGCCAAGTGGCCCAGACACTAGCCAACAACAGCCTCCGTGGGGGTATTATTACAGCCTTTGTATTTGTGATGGTATTTCTTAAAACTATTTTCCTTTCCAGTTTGTAACGCAATCCAGTTCATGCAGCTTCCACAAATCAGTGACGCAGTCAATTAGAGTTTATTTGATGTAAAGGCTCCTGTACCATGTCGTTAGGGGTTCATATAGCAAGTACCATAATGGGTTGAGGCCAGGTATCTAACAAAACAAAAGACTAAGAGAAACATCCCAAATATGACAGCAACAGATTGGGGAGAGGATGTTATATTGACTCCTCTAAGGGTGGGACTGCTGTACCGTCAAGGCCAGTACCCCATTGTTCTTACTGTATCTTACTGACCACCCGGATCACTAAAGTCACTAGATGTCTATCATTACTTCCCCCACAACATTAGCCTTGTGCACCTCACCACTCATGTCAATGCTCTGCTAGCTATAGGCCCAGTATGCATACCAAATGGCATCATATCGCCTATAAAGTACACTACTTTTTACCAGGGCCCACATAGTACACTACATTTGAAAATAGGGTGCCATCTGGGACCCCAGTTTGCTGGCTGAACACAACACTGAGGTGTGGGCTGTACAGATGTGTATCACTGGGCCACTCCTCCACTGTCATCACCTTGAGCTGAGAACAGCCCCACCTCCACCCAGAGGGGCTCCAGGGAACAGGAAGTCTATTTCTGTAGTAGTAAACCAAATACAGGGAGTACTTCCTGTCTGACATTCCTGGCCTGGGCTGAGTTCCTGCTCCACTCCAACCCCAGTCACTTAAAGGCCCAGTGCAGTCATGAATGTAATTTTCCTGTTTTATATACACTTTTCCACACTATGAGGTTGGAATAATACTGTGAAATTGTGAAAATTATGATAATGCATTTTTAGTGTAAGAGCTGTTTGAAAAGACCGCCTGAAATATCAGGCCGTTTTGGTGCGATGGGTTTTTTGTCAGCCTGGTGACATCACCAGGTGGTAAATTAGTTATTATAAACCGGGTGGTTTGAGCGCTCAATGCTGATTGGCTGACAGCCATGGTATATCAGACCGTATACCATGGGTATGACAAAACATTTATTTTTACTACCTTATTGCTTAAATAGACCAATAAAAGAGTTTCAAACCTTTTTGCCACTACCAGACAGTCCTAGCTAAATTCTTGCTTGAAAAATAGCTCTTCGCTAAGAAGCTATTTTAGTTTATTTTTGGCCATTTCAATTGAAAAAAAATCACAGTAACTTAATTGATACCAAGACATTATTTGATAGAAATTGAGATACAAACTGCTGCATTGGGCCTTAAATAATTACAGTGCAGTCAGAAAGTATTCAGACCCCTTGACTTTTTCCACATTTTTTTACGCTATAGCCTTATTTTAAAATTGATTAAATCGTTTTTTCCCCTCAATCTACACACAATAACCCATAATGACAAAACAAGCAAAAACTGCTTTTTATAAATTTTTGCAAATGTATTAAAAGTACAAAACTGAAATATCACATTTACATAAGTATTCAGACCCTTTACTTAGTACTTTGTTGAAGCACCTTTGGCAGCGATTACAGCCTCGAGTCTTCTTGGGTATGACGTTACAAGCTTGGCATATATTTGGGGAGTTTCTCCCATTCTTCTCTGCAGATCCTCTCAAGCTCTGTCAAGTTGGATGGGGAGCGTCGCTGCACAGCTATTTTCAGGTCTCTCCAGAGATGTTGGCTCGGGTTCAAGTCCGGGATCTGGCTGGGCCACTCAAGGTCATTCAGAGACTTGTCCCGAAGCCACTCCTGCTGTGTGCTTAGGGTCATTGTCCTGTTGGAAGGTAAACTTCGCCCCAGTCTGAGGTCCTGAGCAGGTTGTCAAGGATCTCCCTGTACTTTCCTCCGTTCATCTTTCCCTCAATCCTGACTAGTCTCCCAGTCCCTGCCGCTGAAAAACACCCCCACAGCATGATGCTGCCACCACCATGCTTCACCATAGGGATGGTGGCAGGTTTCCTCCAGACGTGACGCTTGGCATTCAGGCCAAAGAGTTCAATCTTGGTTTCATCAGACCAGAGAATCTTGTTTCTCATGGTCTGAGAGTCTTTAGGTGCCTTTTGGCAAACTCCAAGCGGGATGTCATGTGCCTTTTACTGAGGAGTGGCTTCCGTCTGGCCACTTTACCATAAAGGCCTGATTGGTGGAGTGCTGCAAAGATGGTTGTCCTTCTGGAAGGTTCCTATCTCCACAGAGGAACTCTGGAGCTCCTTCAGTGACCATCGGGTTCTTGGTCACCTCCCTGACCAAGGCCCTTCTCCCCCGATTGCTCAGTTTGGCCAGGTGGCCAGCTCTGGGAAGTCTTGGTGGTTCCAAAACATCTTCCATTTAATAATGATGGAGGCCACTGTGTTCTTGGGGACCTTCAATGCTGCAGAAATTTTTTGGTACCCTTCCACAGATCTGCGCCTCGACACAATCCTGTCTCGGATCTCTACGGACAATTCTTTCGACCTCATGGCTTGGTTTTTGCTCCAACATGCACTGTCAACTGTGGGATCTTATATAGACAGGTGTGTGCCTTTCCAAATCATGTCCAATCAATTGAAATGACCACAGTTGGACTCCAATCAATTTGTAGAAACCTCTCAAGGATGATCAATGGAAACAGGATGCACCTGAGCTCAATTGAGTAAAAAAAACAAACTAAAAAAACTGTCACTTTGTCATTATGGAGTATTGTATGTAGATTGATGAGTATTTGTATTTATTTAATCCATTTTAGAATAAGACTAATGTAACAAAATGTGCAAAAAGTCAAATGGTCTGAATAGTTCCGAATGCACGGTAACTGTCATAAACACAGCCAATGGCTAGCTCTTTCATATTGTAATATTGCCATCACTATATTAATGGCGAAAGATTGGTCATTGAGGTCACACTGCATTGTGTGTCAGCTTTAAGACTGAGGACAATAAAGGCTATATTTGAGCCCATGGGGATTTGAACTCAATGGTCATATTTTCCATATAAAAATGTACAGAAAAAATATATACAGTTGAAGTCGGAAGTTTACATACACTTAGGTTGGAGTCATTAAAACTAGTTTTTCAACCACTCCACACATTTCTTGTTAACAAACTATAGTTTTGGCTAGTCGGTTAGGACATCTACTTTGTGCATGACAAGTCATTTTTCCAACAATTGTTTACAGACAGATTATTTCATTTATAATTCACTGTATCACAATTCCAGTGGGTCAGAAGTTTACATACACTAAATTGACTGTGCCTTTAAACAGCTTGGAAAATTCCAGAAAATGATGTCATGGCTTTAGAAGCTTCTGATAGGCTAATTGACATCATGAGTCAATTGGAGGTGTACCTGTGGATGTATTTCAAGGCCTACCTTCAAACTCAGTGCCTCTTTGCTTGACATCATGGAAAAATGAAAAGAAATCAGCCAAGACCTCAGAAAAAAAATTGTATACCTCCACAAGTCTGGTTCATCCTTGGGAGCAATTTCCAAACGCCTGAAAGTACCACGTTCATCTGTACAAACAATAGCAGGCAAGTATAAACACCACGGGACCACGCAGCAGTCATACCGCTCAGGAAGGAGACACGTTCTGTCTCCTAGAGATGAACGTACTTTGGTGCGAAAAGTGCAAATAAATCCCAGAGCAGAGCAACAGCAAAGGACCTTGTGAAGATGCTGGAGGAAACAGGTACAAAAAGTATCTATATCCACAGTAAAACAAGTCCTATATTGACATAACCTGAAAGGCCGCTCAGCAAGGAAGAAGCCACTGCTCCAAAACCGCCATAAAAAAGCCAGACTACGGTTTGCAACTGCACATGGGGACAAAGATCGTACTTTTTGGAGAAATGTCCTATGGTCTGATGAAACAAAAATAGAACTGTTTGGCCATAATAACCATCGTTATGTTTGGAGGAAAAAGGGGGTGGCTTGCAAGCCGAAGAACACCATCCCAACCGTGAAGCACGGGGGTGGCAGCATCATGCTGTGGGGGTGCTTTGCTGCAGGAGGGATTGGTGCACTTCACAAAATAGATGTCATCATGAGGAAGGAAAATGATGTGGATTTATTGAAGCAACATCTCAAGACATCAGTCAGGAAGTTAAAGCTTGGTCGCAAATGGGTCTTCCAAATGGACAATGACCCCAAGCATACTTCCAAAGTTGTGGCAAAATGGCTTAAGGACAACAAAGTCAAGGTATTGGAGTGGCCATCACAAAAGGTGTATGTAAACTTCCGACTTCAACTGTATATTTGACAAGAAAATGCCACGCAAACTGCAGGGACTCAAACATTCATCAGATAATGTACACTAATAGCCATTTTATTATTTACTTGTAGTACCTTCAATCAATCAAGTGCATATAAGAATGTTGACAGATAGCTGATAACATCCACATACAAAAAGAGAATGACAAATTGACAGTAAATACATCAGGGGAGGGGAGGAGGGGGGGTAGGTTAACTACAGAGTCTTCAGACAGCAGCTACATTCCTCATGTCCCTTTAGGGTCCTACTAGGATTTATCTTCGTCAGATGAGGCAAATATTATACGGAACATCTCCTTCAGCTAAACATCATTCTATACTCTCCTTTGCCTTGCCTGGGTAGCTACCATCTTTGTGGTCTGGCCCCTGTTGTGTTTTGCACAACACAGCACTAGATTTTGAATGAAGGAACACAAAGAATGTAACTAATGAATGGTCAGTATTTTCAACCTCATAGCAGATACCTCAGTTTGTCAAGTACAATACTATAACTCAACTTGCACTGCAATTCTACTTGAATCACTAAATTAATGAGTTTTTAGAATAGGTAGGTTTTTCGTTTTTTTAGGTAGACTATATTATTTCTGAGAGACATATTTCTACACTTTAGAGGGTATTACAGCAATGCTGTAGTACTGAAATAATTTTGTCCAGTAGACATGTCGGTCTTTGTAGGCTTATCAGAATTACAACTACACTATTGGACTAATCATCCGTTTAGTGTTAGGGCTCTTCTGCACTAGCTTTGATACTTATTCAGTTGTGTTTCTAGATTATATGGATTTATTCAATTATCCACATCAAGTTCAGTTAAATAGTATATAATGCTTATAGGCCACAAGATGGAGCTCTATTTCAAAGAGCTATTCAAAGTGACAAATCCAAGGTAAGGCAAAAATATCACCACATATAAAAGAACCTCCCAATGGTAATCATAAGAATTCATAAAGAGATTCTATATATATATGACAAGAAAATGCCACGCAAACTGCAGGGACTCAAAACAAATTAATCAGATAGTGTACACTATTATTGTTATTATTTACTTGTAGTACCTTCATCAATCAAGTGCATATAAGAATGTTGACAGATAGCTGATAACATCCACATACAAAAAGAGAATGACAGTAAATAGGTAGGTTAACTACAGAGTCTACAGACAGCAGCTACATTCATCATGTCCCTTTAGGGTCCTACTAGGACACTAATATTACCGAGAGCGAGAGAGATGAAGAGAGATAGATAGCATTATATAATAGTGCGTTACAAACTGCTCTCCCTTATGTTCCCACTGCTGGCCTGAGTGTTAGGCTGTGCTCCAGCATGGTTCAGGGCTTGGCGAGTCCAGGTATGCAGGTCCAGGAGAACCTGGTTCAGCTTCTCCATCCAGTCCCCTCGATCCTCCCGCGTATCTGCTGCGAACCAGCACCTGAAGAACAGAGAGATCATGGAACAGAGATTGGGTTCAACACTTAATGAGAATACTGAAATGTAATGTAAGATCTATGAAGCTAGACCACCGTCTAGGAGATACACAGACAGGCTTACTTTAGCAGTATCCATCATCCACAAAACATTCCTATTGAAGACATTCATGACCACCTGTTGTCAAGGAAATGTAATTTGCTTGTATCATAGGTGAGTAAAGTTGTTACTTTACAGTTCATACTAGACAACTATAAAAATATTATCATCTTACTTGGCCAGAGCGCTCTGGTCATCCTGTTGTGCAGTCTGGATGCCGCTGACCAGTTCAAAAGTATAAGGGCGAGCACAGGAGTCCCTCTTCACTGGCTTCACACTCTGACTAGAAGAACTAGACAGAGAGATGCTGCCTTCTGCTACCTGTAAGCATAACAGACAGGGAATGTTTTTAGAGTTCAATGACCTTAAGAAATATCAAGTCAGGGTGTAACTTGGTTTACGAGAAATAGAACCAAGAGCTCCAGTCCATAGTCATCTCTGTCAATTCAATGCCCACCTTGCTGCCCCTGTCATTGGGGTGGTTCCAATAGGACATGTGGTTTCCCTCCAGGACAAAGAAGCGTCGATGCCAAGCTCCAAATTCATTCACCACCTCAAACATGGTCTGAATGGAAGGAGAAGGGAGAAAGAAGGGGTGGGCGGAGGATGAAACACAGTAAAGAAAGTATATAGGACAGGAAAAGGACAGAGATCCCAATGACTTGGGTTGAAACAAAACAGTAACTCACAAGGAAGCCCTGGTGCTGGACGTTAGAGTGGCTATCGCTGTCCAGTCGCAGGTAGATGTTTCCCTCTAGTGGAGATAGGAAGGGTACCTGCACAGAGAGGAGGGGGAACTATCATGACATGGATGCCAGGGTTGTGCTGCTTGTAATAGTTAATCTAGCTAGGGAGGTAAACAAAACATGCAGTAGAAAGCAATATGCAATGATAGAGCAAAATACAGTCATTTGAACATACATTTATTTCTACACATTTTCATCTACCTATAGAGTACGCCATCACTGATATTGAAGCCAGTGTAGTTAAAACTAATTATTGGTTCTTGATACCAGTTTTGCTGGCCACATACTCAGAGGCATGAAATAAGTCAAATGGAGAAGCAAAGAGAAAAGGTGGCGTAAAAGTGAGTGGGAAACGTGAGTGAGAGAGCTAAACCTTTTCCTGAAACTCATCTCCCAGGAGTCTCCTGATTTTGCCTTCAAACTTCATCTGTGCACAAGTGGAGAGAGACACACCACAGTGAGGGGTAAAGGTTACATCACTAGTGACCTCACCCAGACTCTGGAAAACTTTACACCAAAAACAAACAAAAGTAATGTGAGAAAATGACGACCATCCGATCTGTATATCGCAACTGAAAGAATTACGGGTGGAAAAATCTGAAATGTGACATGATATAGATTGAACCAAATGGTAACCCACATCCTCAAGTGACAGAGTGAAACAAGCTGGCAATCAGGTGGTTCAAAATCAAAAGGATGCAAGATAAAACCATGGAATGGAGTGACAAAAAAAATAAAAAAAAAACACATACATGCCCACATCTTCCCACACTGCAGGTACAGTAAAAATATCTGATACACAATCATCCAGGCTGGAGCACTGCAGCAGGTGTGACTGTGTGTGCAGCCAGGTGAGGTGAGCCTACCTTGTCCAGGGGGAACTTGCTCTGGCCCAGGGAGGCCAGGGAGATCTTGTGAGAACCAACCAGAGAGAAATGGCTGGTGCGCCGGGTGTTCAGGGCCGGCATGATAGAAGCTGTGGGCGGTTGATTCGATCCAATCAAAAACTGCCACCATTCAGGATTAATGTTATCTTCAGATAATATGCAACCAGGACAATAATACTTACATGTCACACTGTGGTTGGATCTCTGTTGAAAAGCAACGAGAAAAAGTTCAGATGAGAAACGTGTAACAGTTAAGGAAAAGGGGTTGCTGCCTATCCATCTCTCTGTTACACATGAAATGCCTGTGTGCCTTACTGCACTCTTAAATATGTCTTCTCTGATATCTGAGATCAATACAGTGTCCTAACATATACATTATTCCATTTAAAAGGTTCATACAAATACATACAGTGAGTGGGACATTTCAAGTACTAGGCAGATAAGAAAGCCGATCACTCACCTTGATGGTGCTTAGAAGCTTCCTTGGGGTGACCTTAAAGAAGAACAAGTAAGATCAAAAATGAGCTTTTGTGCAGAACACTCACATGTATACTTCATTGTAATCCATAGAACACTGGACAGCATTTCTTAGTCAGAAGATTGGCTCACTCACCCTTGACCTGGAGGAGCTGCGGAGATCCACATTGCAGATGTTCCCTGAGGTGTGGGACTGAGTAATAGAAGAGTTTGTAAATAATACATACAAATTGTTAACACATTTCTCATCATTGACCCTCTATTGTAAAGATATTTACTAATACATCTGTTTTCGGTGAGACATACAGTAATATGTTCCATCTCACCAGGCTGTAGACCTCCACATCAATCTCAAAGTTAGAGCGAATGTCCTGCCTGAAGGGACATAGTACAGAATCAGTAAGTCACAGAAAGACTTGGACAGACGAGGGGTGACAGCCATTTCAGCAGTAACACAGTAGACATTACATAAGCATCTCCTTCAAGGCACGGACAGACCAGTAGGATTGCCGGCCGAGAGTACTTGGCACCTCTGAACAGTGCCGGACGTAATGCAACCTGATTCTACATGTAGAAATGGCGGGTGGTCCCTATAACACACGCGCCGACAGCAAGCGAATGGCGAACAAACAGCCCCCTACTGTATAGACCGACAATCGAGTTTTCACCTTTACTCCTAATGAACTAACTTCCTCCATATGTGGAACCAGTGGCGGGACTCACAGGGTGATGGAGGTGGGGAAGGAGATGGTGTCTCCATTCTGGGCGTCCGCTGCAGTGGCCAATGGGGTCGCAACAATGTTGCAGTGTCCATAGCGAATCAGGACAAAGAAATAATGAGTGGGGCGACCTTTAGGGAGGAGAGAAATATTCAGGAGAGTTGTTCTTTAATCATCTGGTATGGTTTCAAATGTGTCTTGAGCTGACCATCAATTGTACTATACTGTTTTGTGCATTTTAACCTAAATGAGCAGGCAAGCAACTAATCTCTGCAGCTGGCAGCAGAAGAGTAAATGATTCCAAATAAAATATGCAAAATAAACTTCACACTATAAAGGTGACAACATGCATAGCCTCTCGGATGGTAGGTACCTGTTCGTGTGCGGGCTGAGCAGATAAACTCCACCTTGAGAGGGAGCTGGACACTGTTGATGTGGAGTGTGCCCCTGCAGGGCTTCTGGGACATTCTGGAGTCCCCCTCACCATCACCCCCCTCTAGCTCCTCTGAGACTGAGCTCCCCCTCTCCCTCAGCCTGGTCACCTCAGCCAGCAGGGCTGCCCGCTTCTCACCTGACACAGAGTGTGACAGAGGGGACACAGTCAGATGATAATACAATGGAGACAAATCAAGAGGTTCATCATACACTCCAGAACAGAAGGATATGGCAGGGAAAGGAGAGGAATAACCATAGGACAGGGATAGAGATGAGTTTGTGTAGAAACTAACTCCGCAGACGGGAAAACTGTAATCATGGCGCTAGAAGGGGGATATGACCACTGGAGACTCACAGGAGACAAGCAGTAGTTTCTCAGCCTCTGCCTCCTCCAGGGAACCCCTGCCGTGGTCCTCGTCAGTGCAGCAGCTCAGGGCCTGCAACGTCTGATTGATGACCGTCTGCAGCTTGGCAGCCTCCTCATTCAGAACCTGACCAATCACAGGAGGACAGGATATTCATGCCACCCAGCCATACTCATTTAAATACTCTTTCTTTACACAGTGTCAGAGGCATAGTTATGTTATCCATGTGGTACATTTGTCAATGCCTTCACATAAAGGAATGTTTTGGATGATATGCTACACAGGTATTCACGCTCCATGACACAGAAGACACACACTAGACTCAACCGCTCCAAGTCGTACTACAGACCATGATCCTGTCCTTGGTGTTGACAGCGTGCTGGGGGCGGGACTTCTCAGCGGCACGCCTTTGCACCCCTGGGGTTACACTCTGAATGGCTGGCTTGGTGCTCCGTCTCTGGGTACGGTAGGCATCGATGCTGTCAATCAATCAATCACAAAACACTTTGGAGTCATCAATTACAGGTATAAATCACAAGCCAATCATATCTTTCTAAAGATTTTTATAGTCAATTAATTTTTCCAATTTCACTCGTTAACCAACCGACCCTGACCCCCGGGTGCACGTTTAGTTTTTTGCCTTAGCACCACACAGCTGATTCAAATAACCAACTCATCATCAACCTTTGATTTGAATCAGGTGTGTAGTGCTAAGGCAAAAACCAAAACGTGAACCCAGCAGGGACCCCAGGACAGAGTTTGGGAAACCCTGGTGTAGAGGACATGATGACTCACCTGTAGAGAGGGGAACTGTCGGCAGGGGGAGTGGTCAGCTCTTCAGGACTCAGAGATGGAAGGTTGGCTGGCTGACTGGCTGCAAGTCTCTGCGGGGATATCAAACACTTAAATGTCCATTTGGATGTGTAAAACATTCAAAACTTTGAAACCGCAGGGTAACACTTTCAGAATCACATTGAAGAAGGTGACCATGGCGCCCTCTGTCTGTCTGCAGAGCCTTACCATAGGGGTGACCACAGCTTCCACAGACTTGCTGAGAGGAGAGAGGATGCAGCTGGGTGGGAGGGTCAGCAGCTCATCTGCACTGGAGTCCAGTTCCCTGGTCTCTTCCAGGTCTTCACCCTCCTCAGCTTTCGCCTTGTCCAACTCGGTGTCCGTTTTCTCCTTTCTGCACATCACTGTGGCTATGCCACTGTCGTGATCCTCAGTGCCCTCCTCCTCTTCCATCCTTCCCTGGGCAGCAGCCTCCACCACATCCTCAAACATCAGGTCAATCGTCTCAGCAGTGTTGGTTTCATCTGGAGAGCTCAGCTCAGCCTCTGTGGATAAATCCCCATATGCAGTAAGTTAACATTCAGGCAAACTATTGCTCTAGTATGTCTGTGACCTGGTTTTCCCAACTTGTAACAAATATTTCAAATGGCTCATCATTTGGCTGTTCATAGTGTAAAAAAAAAAAAAAAAATGATAAGGGTGTGAGGTGGTGGCAGTGACCCATTGAACCCATTGTTTAGAATGGTGCGCACTGCAGACAGTAAGATATTACCAATATATTTATAACCCAGGTGTGTAAGCGACTGCATGTATAGTGCCTTCAGAAAGTATTCACACCCCTTGACTTTTTCCACACTGTGTTGTGTTACAGCCTGAATTTAAAATGGTTTAATTGAGATTGTGTGTCACTGGCATACACACAATACCCCATAATGTCAAAGTGGAATTTTGTTTTTCTAAATTCTTACGAATTAATACATTTAAAGCTGAAATGTCTCGAGTCAATTGGTACTCAACCCCTTTTATGGCAAGCCTAAAAATGTGCTTAACCAGTCACATAAGTAGCATGGACTCACTATGTGCGATAGTTTTTACCTCATCTCTGTACCCCCCACACACACACACACACAACTACAGTGCCTTCGGAAAGTATTCAGACCCCTTGACATTTCCCAATTTTTTTTAACGTTACAGCCTTATTCTAAAATTGATTAAATAGTTTCCCCCCCCCCCAATCTACACACAATACCCCTATAGTGACAAAGCAAAAACAGATTTAGAAATTTTTGCTAAACAGAAATATCACATTTACGTAAGTATTCAGACCCTTTACTTAGTACTTTGTTGAAGTACCTTTGGCAGCAATTACAGCCTCAAGTCTTCTTGGATATGACGCTACAAGCTTGGCACACCTGTATTTGGGGAGTTTCTCCCATTTTTCTTTGCAGATCCTCTCAAGCTCTGTCAGGTTGGATGTGGAGCGTTGCTGCACAGCTATTTTCAGGTCTCTCCAGAGATGTTCGATCGGGTTCAAGTCCGGGCTCTGGCTGGGCCACTCAAGGACATTCAGAGACTTGTCCCGAAGCCACTCCTGCGTTGTCCTGTTGGAAGGTGAACCGTCGCCCCAGTCTGAGGTCCTGAGCACCCTGGAGCAGGTTTTCATCAAGGACCTCTGTACTTTCCTCCGTTCATCTTTGCCTCGATCCTGACTAGTCTCCCAGTCCCTGCCGCTGAAAAACACCCCCACAGCATGATGCTGCCACCCCCATGCTTCACCGTAAGGATGGTGCCAGGTTTCCTCCAGACGTGACGCTTGGCATTCAGGCCAAAGAGTTCAATCTTGGTTTCATCAGACCAGAGAATCTTGTTTCTCATGGTCTGAGAGACTTTAGGTTCCTTTTGGCAAACTCCAAGCGGGCTGTCATGTGCCTTTTACTGAGGAGTGGCTTCCATCTGGCCACTCTACCATAAAGGCCTGATTGGTGGAGTGCTGCAGAGATGGTTGTCCTTCTGGAAGGTTCTCCCATCTCCTCAGAGGAACTCTAGAGCTCTGTCAGAGTGACCATTGGGTTCTTCGTCACCTCCTTTACCAAGGCCCTTCTCCCCCGATTGCTCAGTTTGGCTGGGCAGCCAGCTCTAGGAAGAGTCTTGGTGGTTCCAAACTTCTTCCATTTAAGAATGATGGAGGCCACTGTGTTCTTGGGGACCTTCAATGCTGCTGAGATTTTTTGGTACCATTCCCCAGATCTGTGCCTCGACACAATCCTGTCGTCTCGGAGCTCTACAGACAATTCCTTCGACCTCATGGCTTGGTTTTTGCTCTGACATGCACTGTCAACTGTGGGACCTTATATAGACAGGTGTGTGCCTTTCCAAATCATGTCCAGTCAATTGAATTTTCCACATGTGGACTCCAATCAAGTTGTAGAAACATCTCAAGGATGATCAATGGAAACAGGATGTACCGGAGCGCAATTTTGAGTCTCATAGCAAAGTGTCTGAATACTTATGTAAATAAGGTATTTCTATTTTGTATTTTTAATAGATTTGCAATAATTTCTAAAAAACTGTTTTTGCTTTGTCATTATGGGGTATTGTGTGTAGACTGCTGAGGATTCTACATAAAAATGAACTTTTAGAATAAGGCTGTAACATTAAAAAATGTGGAAAAAGTCAAGGGGTCTGAATACTTTCCGAAGGCACCATCTGTAAGGTCCGTCAGTCGAGCAGTGAATTTCAAACACAGATTCAACCAAAAAGACCAGGGAGGTTTTCCAATGCCTTGCAAAGAAGGGCACCTATTTGTAGATGGGTAAAATAAGAAAAGCAGACATTGAATATCCCTTTGAGCATGGTTAAGTTATTAATTACACTTTGGATTGTGTATCAATACACCCAGGCACTACAAAGATACAGGCGTCCTTCCTAACTCAGTTGGCGGAGAGGAAGGAAACCGCTAAGAGATTTCACCATGAGGCCAATGGTGACTAAAACAGTTACAGAGTTTAATGGCTGTGATAGGAGAAAACTGAGGATGGATCAATAACATTGTAGTTACTCCACAATACTAACCTAATTGACGGAGTGAACAGAAGGAAGACTGTACAGAATAAAAATATTCCAAAACATACATCCTGTTTGCAACAAGGCACTCAAGTAATACTGCAAAGAAATGTGGTAAAGCGATTCACTTTTTGTCCTGAATACAATGTGTTATGTTTGGGGCAAATATGATACAACATATTACTGAGTACCACTCTCCATATTTTCAAGCATAGTGGTGGCTGCATCATGTTATGGGTATGCTTGTAATCGTTAAGGACTGGGGAGTTTATCTGGATAAAAAAGAAACGGAATGGAGTGAAGCACAGGCAAAATCCTAGAGGAAAACCAGGTTCAGTCTGCTTTCCACCAGACACTGGGAGATGGATTCACCTTTCAGCAGGACGATAACCTAAAGCACAAGGCCAAATCTACACTGGAGTTGCTTACCAAGAAACAGTGAATATTCCTGAGTGGCCGAGTTACAGTTTAGACTTAAATCTACTTAAAAATCTATGGCAAGACCTGAAAATGATTGTCTAGCAATGATTAACAACCAATTTGACAGAGCATTAAGAATTTTGAAAATAATAATGTGCAAATGTTGCGCAATCCAGGTGTGGAAAGCTCTTAGACTCACCCAGAAAGACTCATAGCTGTAATCGCTGCCAAAGGTGCTTCTACAAAGTATTGATTCAGGGGTGTGAATACTTATGTAAATTATATATTTCTGTATTTAATTTTCGATCATGTGCAAAAATGTCTAAAAACATGATCTTACTTTGTCATGATGTGTGTGTAGATGGGTGAGAAAAAAAAGAGAACAATTTTTAATCCGCTTTGAATTCAGGCTGTAACAACAAAATGTGGAATAAGTCAAGGGGTATGAATACTTTCTAAAGGCACAGTAAGTAACCCAACTTGTTTATTTCTCACCTCACCAACTTGTGCCAACAGCCCTAGACCACATTTGTCTCACCTGACATACTCGCTCTTCTCCAGCTAGATGAGGAGTCCAGCTCACACAGGGCCGAGTCACTGATCATTTCTGGCTCCAGGGTAAAGGTGACTTTCTTTAGCTCTCTTGCCTCTGACTGCAGTTCACAAGTCTGTTCCTCATCTCTAAGCAGCTCAGAGTCTTCCTGTTCTCTGTCTGATGGAGCTGATGAGTTTGTGGTTAATCCCTGCTCTTGACCCAAAACAGAATCCCCCTCCCCTTGGCGTTCACCTTCGGCAGACGCCACACCCTGGACCTCATCTACAAGACTTTCTGCCTTCCCTTGTTCTTCAACTCCAGAAGATTCCATCTCCTCCTGCTCCTGACATAATGGGAACCCAACCTTCTCCTCTAGCAGGGACCCCACTTTCTTCTGCTCTTCACCTACAAAGTACCCCACCTCTTCAACTACAGAAGACCTCATATCCCTCTTCTCCTCCTCTAGTGGGGATCTCATCTTTCCCTTCTCTTCCTCTATCGTGGACCCTACCTCCTCCTGACTCCATTGCTACCTGCTTATCATCTAAAAGGGAATGGCACTCAGCATCCGACTGTTCACCTATATAAAACTTCACCCCCCTCTGCTTCTCACTAAGGAGTGAACCCCTTTCCTCCTGCTTGTTACTAGCAGAATACTCTGCCTTGCCCTGCTCTTTCACTACAGGACCCTCTGCTGCCTCATGTCGTTTTTCTGACAAATGTCCAGAGTGCACTCTGCCTCCTCTGCCATGTTTGTCTCCACCGCGTGTGGTGGGACATCCATGTTGTAAACTGAGGACTGCCACCTCACCTGTTGAATAGTCACAATCTCACACCCCTATTCTACACTGACATTTGCACAAAACTCAGATTCTTCCTTTTAGTCAGTTAGATTTTTCTCAACTTTTACTGTTAAAGTGTCTACCTCCAAGCTCTTTATCTGTAATACATTGACTTCTCCTCTTGCAGCGTCTTACCAGTGTCTTGGATCGGAGGCGCCACTCCATGGATCTTAGCAGTGACAGAAGTCTCAGTAAAGCTGCCGTCCTTCACCCAGAGAGGCTCATCACCAGTCACATTGAGGTCTGCCTGCTGGACAAAAATAAAATAGCTCAGGCCTCCAAAATACAAGCAAGCATCTTTGTTCCTCTCATGCACACATATATTACAAAAGGTACTGTGCCACTATGTGAAGGACCAGGTGAACCCTAAGCCTAATTACCATTCAAGTGACTTTGGAGAGGACAATGATGCCTTATCAGTGACACCTGTGACATTTCGAGACACCCCGGTTTCTCCGCAGAACCAGTTACACCCAGTCCAGTGTCCATATAGGTAAACTCACATTCCATGGTTGGAACGGTGGCCACTGCAGTCTCCTGCTACGTCCAACCATCATCCGAGGGGAGGATGAGACAGGTGGGGTCACCCTCTAATGATCTCACAACAAATACCATTGTTCTATCAGGAACCGAGTACTTGAGCTCAACCAAAGAGCCACAAACATAACCCTTAAGAACAATATTCCATGACCAGACAAGAGGGGAGGGTAACACCAAACTTACTTCAGCCAGTGAGGAATCAGAGAAGCTTCGCTTTAGGAAGACATTCTCTGCGATTGGCTGGGCCCTTAGGAGACACAGCTCCTCCTCCCTTTCCTGATTGGTCAGACAAATAGAAGCCTTTAGACAGACACTTCACAGGAATCTTAAGAATTGTGTAACAACATTTCAGCATTGCATACCTATAGATAAGCTCCTGCTGTTCACAAGTTAGTTGATGAGCACACAAACCACGTCGAAAATCTTACTTCACTGCCTGGAGTGTTTGTGTGACTGTGTGTGTGTGTGTGGCACAGACCTGGCGTATACGGGAGGCTTGCTTGGAGCTGGGCGTATTACTGTCCTCGAGTTTAAGCTGTAAGTTGGTAACGGCGTTGGAGAGGGTACGGGGGCACCGGTTGCCTGGCAGAGGGCTGGCCGGAGGGGTGGTGGGGGCTTTAAACCGCTCCACCCGTGAGCTGAATTCTGCCTCACCTGAATAACAGACCAAATGCTCCTATCATACAACAATCTCCTCAGAGCAGACAAGTGTTCTCCCTCACATTCAATGACTGATAATGATGCAGTTTTTACATTGGCAAGTGAGTGTGGCACTGTGTAAAGAAGCTTTAAGGTGAATGTGTAAGAATCCTCACCAATAAGATGGTGCTCTTTGAATCCATCCTGGATTATAATGGATGGTACCCCAGACCCTGGATCAGAGAGGCATCTCTGAGCCAGTAGAGGCCCCCCTGCAAACAAAACATCCCCTGTTGGTCACGGACTTTCAATGACTACAGATCTAAGTGTTGCATGGATACCATCATATTCTAATTATATGGATACTGTATACAAGCTCCAAGTTGGTTATTTTAGGAGGGAGAGTTATCAAATCAAACTTTATTTGTCACATGCGCCAAATACAACAGGTGTAGACTTTACCGTGAAATGTTTCCTTAACGAGCCCTTTCCCAACAATGCAGAGTTAAAAATTACGAAAAATTAGCTAAATAAAAATAGAAAATAGTAACACAATAAATATAAATAAAGAGGCTATATACAAGGATAGCCCTTGATCATGGGATAGTCCTTGATAATGATGACTCAGTTCCATTACGTAAGTCAGGGTTCTTCAATTCCGGTCCTGGAGGGCCGAAACACCTCTGTTTTTCATCCTCTCCTTCTAATCAGGGGCTAATTCAGACCTGGGACACCAGGTGAGTGCAATTAACTACCAGGTAGAAATAAAAAACAGAAGTGTTTCGGCCCTCCAGGACCGGAATTGAAGAACCCTGACGTAAGTCATTGGACGAAGGCATCTTCTGTACGGGAACATTTAAGAGCCCCGACGCTCGGTCTAAACATTAACACGCATCGCTTACGGTACGATTTTTGAAGCATGAGGACCTTTTCTTTCATATCGGCGAGAAATAATTTTCAAAGAACAAAAGGTTAAATTGATACACACCTTTATAGGGTCAGGGTTCCCACACGGCCATATTTTCCATGTTACAGCGCATGTTTACAGGAAAACAGACGGAAGACATTTACATTTACATTTACGTCATTTAGCAGACGCTCTTATCCAGAGCGACTTACAGGAGCAATTAGGGTTAAGTGCCTTGCTCAAGGGCACATCGACAGATTTTTCACCTAGTCGGCTCGGGGATTAGAACCAGCGACCTTTCGGTTACTGGCACAACGCTCTTAACCACTAAGCTACCTGCCGCCCAAGACAGAGTGGACTACCTGTGCAAATTAGCTATGTGCATCTCCGAACACCTGTGTGTAAACCGGAAGTCGGACACCACAAACATGTTGTCGCTGAAAAATACTGCTAGCTGAAACTGTTAGACCACTGTTAGTAACTGTGTATTTTGCATTTGTGAAATTATTTGAAGTGATATTAAAGTAGAGGGATTTATATTTCCAGAACTGTACCGCATTTGAGAATTGATTCACGTTTAGATGGAGTGTTTGGCCGTTTTGGCTGCCAGAGTCAGTTTGCCTTTAAAACAGAACATGTAAGGTCCTTGGACTATAAGGAGTAACGTTAGGCTCCTTTACATTATTGGGCTATATACAAGGAGTACTGGTACCTAGTCAATGTGCAGTTGAGGTAATATGTACATGTAGGTAGGGGTAAAAGTGACTAGGCAATCAGGATAGATAATATTAATAAACAGAGTAGCAGCAGCGTATCTTATCTTACCCTCACGTCTCTGGGTTAGTTGCTGTACTCTGGAGCGGACAGAGCAGAGAGCAGGGGTGTCTGGCTTCACCTCTAGCTCTGCACAGCGGAGGCGGTCTCTTGATGAAGACTTCTTGTCAGGGCTGACGTTCTCCTCGCCCAACAACTTCAGGCGACGCCTCTTCTGAACATCATTGACCTCTAAGACAGGATAAGGAAGTTTATAATAACGGGTATGCCCCAACACTGCACTGTTAGTTAGAGGTTTGTTAGTGACACATTGACAACACACTCACCTGACGATGAGGGGACATGATCCTCTGTGTTAGACAGAGGGTCTCTCGGTCTCTTCAAATCTGTCGACAACCAACGTCGATGTTCCCTATCCATGCTCCTGTAAAATAAACACCAAATGAAGTGCAGTGCCTATGTAGTTATCGATTATGCAAATTAGGTCCAGCTAATGGACTCTGGAGCCTGCATACTGCTGCTAGCTGGCTAGCTTGGGTTAGCTAACGTAGCTAGCTGAAAATATTTCGCTAAAATGTGTAGGATATAACATCATCTTACCTCAACAGAAGTGTCCGTGAAGGTCAGGCAATAACTGGGGCAAACAAGTCACGACTGGGCATCAACTGTGGTGAAAATTCAAACGATTTTTGTTTATTCGACGCCTCTCCTACTTTGAATTTCAGCGGGTCTTTGGACGTGCGTCAGAGGTGAGTGAAAACATCACCATAAGACTACCGTAACCCCAAGCATGAGTGCGCAAGCCTTTTGGTCTTGAATTTATGGTAGACGATGAACTTCCAGAGCGGAAGAGGCAAGGAACTAACTTCATTAGAACCTTGAAGTCTCCCAAGCTCTCTATTTGTCAAATTGTCACTTACAACCAAAACAAGGCAACAGTAAACATGTTGTTCCCCACGAATGATGCAGTGCCCCCCCTTTGGGCCAATTAGTGATAACAATTCAAGCTCAAACGGGACAGCAAATATACTTGTTCAAAGTTTGGAACGTCAGTTGATTACTGTAGCGCCCCCCTTGGGCCTATCAGTGTAATTTTTTTAAATGTCGGATCTCTGTCATTCACCCAAGTTTCGTCAAAATTGGGCCAGAGGTGTCTGAGATATTTTATGTGACTAACGTACGAACGGACGGAGTCAGATCCATAGTCCCCCCCCTTAGATTTCATCGTGGGGGACAATAACTATGTTTTAGCTCTCCACTGTTAAAATAGAAATAAGAAATAAATAAGCTAAAGAAAAAGGACAACGCTCTCCACAGGACCTCTCCAATCAATCTTGAGAGAGAGATGTTCGTGACAGCTTGGTAAGTAAATTCTGTCGCGTGTGCCAACTCCTCAGTAAAGAAAGTAGCTATTGGCTGTCCTAAAAGTCGCTAAATGACGTCATCACATAATTTGCATAATTGGCAATGTGCATGTAATGTGATGGATGCTGTACAGTCTTGGTCAAAAGTTTTGACAATGACACAAGTATTGGTCTTCACAAAGTTTGCTGCTTCAGTGTTATGAGATATTTTTGTCAGATGTTACTATGGTATACTGAAGTTTCATTACAAGCGTCAAAGGCTTTTATTGACAATTACATTAAGTTTATGCAAAGAGTCAATATTTGCAGTGTTGACCCTTCTTTTTCAATTCCTCTGCAATCCGCCCTGGCATGCTGTCAATTAACTTCTGGGCCACATCCTGACTGATGGCAGCCCATTCTTGCATAATCAATGTTTGGAGTTTGTCAGAATTTGTGAGGTTTTGTTTGTCCACCCGCCTCTTGAGGATCAACCACAAGTTCTCAATGGGATTAAGGTCTGGAGAGTTCCCTGGCCATGGACCCAAAATGTCGATGTTTTGTTCCCCGAGCCACTTAGTTATCACTTTTGTCTTATGGCAAGGTGCTCCATCATGCTGGAAAAGGCATTGGTCATCACCAAACTGTTCTTGGATGGTTGGGAGAATAATAATAATAATATGCCATTTAGCAGACGCTTTTATCCAAAGCGACTTACAGTCATGCGTGCATACATTTTTGTGTATGGGTGGTCCCGGGGATCGAACCCACTACCTTGGCGTTACAAGCGCCGTGCTCTACCAGCTGAGCTACAGAGGACCACGAGAAGTTGCTCTTGGAGGATGTGTTGGTACCATTCTTTATTCATGGCTGTGTTCTTAGGCAAAATTGTGAGTGAGCCCACTCCCTTGGCTGAGAAGCAACCCCACACATGAATGGTCTCAGGATGCTTTACTGTTGGCATGACACAGGACTGATGGTAGCGCTCACCTTGTCTTCTCCAGACAAGGTGTTTTCCGGATGCCCCAAACAATCGGAAAGGGGATTCATCAGAGAAAATGACTTTACCCCAGTCCTCAGCAGTCCAATCCCTGTAACTTTTGCAGAATATCAGTCTGCCCCTGATGTTTTTCCTGGAGAGAAGTGGCTTCTTTGCTGCCCTTCTTGACACCAGGCCATCCTCCAAAAGTATTCGCCTCACTGTGCGTGCAGATGCACTCACACCTGCCTGCTGCCATTCCTGAGCAAGCTTTGCGCTGGTGGTGCCCCGATCCCGCAGCTGAATCAACTTTAGGAGACGGTCCTGGCGCTTGCTGGACTTTCTTGGGCGCCCTGATGCCTTCTTCACAACAATTGAACCTCTCTCCTTGAAGTTCTTGATGATCCGATAAATGGTTGATTTAGGTGCAATCTTACTAGCAGCAATATCTTTGCCTGTGAAGCCCTTTTTGTGCAAAGCAACGATGACGGCACGTGTTTCCTTGCAGGTAACCATGGTTAACAGAGGAAAAACAATGATTTCAAGCACCACCCTCCTTTTAAAGCTTCCAGTATGTTATTCTAACTCAATCAGCATGACAGAGTGATCTCCAGCCTTGTCCTCGTCAACATTCTCACCTGTGTTAATGAGAGAATCACTGACATAATGACAGCTGGTCCTTTTGTGGCAGGGCTGAAATGCAGTGGAAATGTTTTTTGGGATTAAGTTCATTTTCATGGCAAAGAGGGACTTTACAATTAATTGCAATTCATCTGATCACTCTTCATGACAATCTGGAGAATATGCAAATTGCCATCATCAAAACTGAGGCAGCAGACTTTGTGAAAATTAGTATTTGTGTCATTCTCAAAACTTTTGACCACGGCTGTAGGAGAGAGGAATAACGTCGTGGGAGAGACCAAAAGTTAGTAAAAAACACCCTACATTTACATCCCGCCCTGAATGTAAGCCAGTGCGGGATCAGCCAGCCGCGGCTTCCCGCATGCGCGATTCATTTGCAGTCTGGACGCGGAGGGGTGAACATCTCCTGCTCTGACTGCAGCTGGGAGGGACTGCTGCGCGAGGACTTGGCTGCCTGTGAGTGCTTTGGGACGGGGGTAACAAAGCACCCGCTGCTCGTTGAGAAGAGTAAGAACGATACACGCTTTCACATCAGTCTCAAAAAGTCTCCAATAACACCAGAAAAAGTCGCTAGTTGCTTTTTTGAAAATGTGTCGCTAGAGGGGTCTGAACTCGCTAAATATAGCGACAAAGTCGCTAAATTGGGAACACTGAGAGCTGGGTGTATCGCTAACAGGGTTGCCAGGTCAAGCTAAAATTTCTAGAACAATGACCCCTGAAAATCAGCCCACAAGGCCTGAAAAGTAGACCACATTTTTTTTTCGCAGCAAGACAGGAGTTGCTACACTTATCCAATAAACCCCTTTTCCATAATGTTATCGAGCGAATTAAGAAGGAATATAGACTTTTTAACGACAGGCTAAAAAGTAAAATTCTGGTTTCCATCAACATAACAATTCTTGCAAGTTTAAGAATATGTCGCAAGAGAAAAGATAAATTGCCCTTATTAAACTCTCTAGATCGTTTTTTATGTATTTTTTCACCTTTATTTAACCAGGTAAACCAGTTGAGAACAAGTTCTCATTTACAACTGCGACCTGGCCAAGATAAAGCTAAGCAGTGCGATAAAAACAACAACAACACAGAGTTACATATGGAATAAACAAAACATACAGTCAATAACACAATAGAAAATCTATATACAGTGTGTGCAAATGTAGTAAGTTATGGAGGTAAGGCAATAAATAGGCCATAGTGCAAAATAATTACAATTTAGTATTAACACTGGTGTGATAGATGTGCAGAAGATGATGTGCAAATAGAGATACTGGGGTGCAAATGAGCAAAATAAATAACAATGTAAATAACAATATGGGGATGAGGTAGTTGGGTGGGCTAATTACAGATGGGCTGTGTACAGGTGCAGTGATCGGTAAACTGCTCTGACAACTGATGCTTAAAGTTAGTGAGGGAGATTCGTGTCTCCAGCTTCAAAGATTTTTGCAGTTCGTTCCAGTCATTTGCAGCAGAGAACTGGAAGGAATGGCGGCCAAAGGAGGTGTTGGCTTTGGGGATGACCAGTGAGATATACCTGCTGGAACACATACTACGGCTGGGTGTTGCTATGGTGACCAATAATCTAAGATAAGGCGGGGATTTGCCTAGAAGTGATTTATAGATGACCTGGAGCCAGTGGGTTTGGCAACGAATATGTAGTGAAGGCCAGCCAACGAGAGCGTACAGGTCATAATGGTGGGTAGTATATGGGGCTTTGGTGACAAAATGGATGGCACTGTGATAAACTACATCCAATTTGCTGAGTAGAGTCAAAAAGAAAGGAGGACCAAGGCACTCTTCATATAATTAATTAAAATGCCTTTATTAGTATGGCATGTTCAATAGAAACAAGATCTTTACAAAATCTGACACGTTTCGGCTGGGAGTACAAAGAAATAATACAATGTCCTCTTTTGAACAGCTTTTCCAATTAGCCCTAATTTGAAGAGGGAGTGGTTACAAAGTTGATTGGACACACCTAGTAAGCAATACTATACACATGAAAAAGTGAAATACTGTAACTATGTTATCATACAAATACAACTCCAAGTTAGAAGTATCAGAACACTTAGAAAGGTAGTTCTAACCTTAAATATGACTAGGAAAAGTGTCAAAAATAAGAAGCAATATATTCCATAGTACACTAGAAACCAGCAAAACATGAACAACAACATTCTAAATAAACATAGCTGAGGGCAATTGAGCACAATGTCCACTAGATGACAGCAAATGGACCTATCACAACCCTACAGGAAGGGTGAGAAATCCATATCTTCATTTAAACCAGGGTATTTAGTGGCCTGTAGTTTGTAAATCCAAAAACTTTCCCTTTGGTTTAACTGTTTCAGACGGTCCCCTTTTCTAATAGAGGCCGGAATATGATCAATACCCATAGCTTGTAGGGAGGCAGGGTTACCATGGTGTAAGGACTTGTAGTGCCTTGCCATGGGGTAGTCTTC